ATTACCCTCAAGCACCCTCGAGAGCTAAGAAGAACTCAACAGTAATACTAAAAAATTCCCAAAGCGCGGAAAAACGCGGATGACCAAGTCGTGACTGGTATCCGTTTTGTATCTGATTGGTTTAAAGGGTAGCGCGAGTTTTCTGGACCAATCACTGAGAGAAGTTAAGAAAAACCAATGCGATCCTAGATTATTTACGAAGCTCAATTGACAATTGCCTGCATTATTTTGGGAGAAACGGTATCAAAGGTATTTGACCTTCCCACAAGAATAAGTGCTTGGCAAAAAAGTTATTAAACAACTACAGTAGGTCGAAAAGTTGACCATGATTACGGGTTCTCCATTACGTTTCAACTCGTTTCGGGAACAGGGAGAATTCTTTGCATAATTATTTCGCCACATATTTTGATTCTATGGTAAGTCATGCAGTTATGGTTATCGTGGGACTTCTATTGAGATCAGATGTAATTCAACCAGGGATTTTAGTTCATAAAAGTAGACTGAAATGTCCTGAGAGATGAATAGAAATAATAGAAAACAGCTTAGGATAGATGCCCCGCCAATTAGAGTGAAAACAAGCTCAAGGTTAAAAAAGCAGAGAAGGGAAAAATGGCTATATTAGAATTGTTGGAGACCACTCAACAGACACCAAAGATCCATCAGACGAAAGAAAATGTCTACAAAACAACAGAGGGGAGAAAATGTGGAACTGACAAGAACGAGGACAAACAACGAGAATGATCAGTTTCAACTGCGTATTCGTAAGAAGCGAAAGGCAGGAATCGTCTACGTTTCGGATGAAGTAAATTTCGGTTTCTCGAATTTGGAGTACAGTGTATACTGTATATATCTTACGGATGGTAAGAGGTGACCGACGAAGATCTAAGGGATTCTTTGACTTTCTGCGCTCCGGACTCGCCTTTCCCGCCGTTACGAAGACAAAACAAAAAAAGAATAAGATCCAACAAAGATCTCTGTCATATCTGAAAGACTCAGAAAAAGATAGATGGAGAGAGATGTAATGATAGACATAGCGTCTACGAAAACCTGACACTAATCGTATTCTGTGACGTCACTTTCGCAGGGAAATGCATAATGAATATTTATTGGTTAACCCCTCTTGCCGACTCTTTCGTGAATTCTGATGGGCTAGATAATTTATTTTCATCACTAACGAACAAGGTAGTGATCTGAATGCTTTCATGTTCAACTTTTCAGACAACAGCGATTTAAGACGAGGTTTTTAGGCAAGTTTGCACGACTTTTGGGATAGAGACATTGCAAGAAGAACAGTAGAAAGCCAAACATGTGTTTTTCAAAGGTAACGATGTCTTCGTTTCGTTACCAGCTGGCTATGGAAAATTTTTAATATATCAAACAGCATCAGTGATCGATCGCCTCTCTTCTCTGGAAGAAACCGGTCATTGTAGGTGACCCTCCACAGGCTTTCAAGGAATAAGGTGAACGCACGCATACGGCACGTTCTAACACGCTCGCACGCTAATGGCATGACACGCTTACCGTGCAGATATGCACATAAAAACAATTGATTTTGGAAAGCGTGTTCGTATTCATTGTTCATATCTCTCTAACGCGGTAGAGCTTTGTTTCTATAACACGCTAGATTTTTTTTTAACACGCTAAGTTCATTTGTTTCCTTAACACGCTAGCTTATCTTGTACAACCCAGCTTACTTTGTTGCTTGTGTTTGTCAGCTTCTTAATTGTGAGAATGGTGTTTGTAAAGTATATTACTTACAGAGTATAAGCGAAAATGAATAAGATCTTCTTTTCTTTTCTAAAGTTGTTATAAAAAAGGAAACGTCCACGGCAAATCACGGCCCTTTCCCTCAAGATCTTCACAAGGAATTCAGTGAGCACGACGTGTTTCACAAGGTCCAGAGGAGCCCAGTTTGAACACGTGAATTACCTTTTTAAAACCTAAATATTACCTTGGGAAATTTAAGTCCTTATCGCTTCACGTAGTTAATAAGCCTAGTACCGAATCTTTGTGAATCCTTCACCAAAAGATTTCCGACCCGAGGCGGTCGCTGTTCGTCACTCTGTGCAAATCGGCATGTTTTGAAAACACTGAAATGGCACAATTAGTGTATTATTTCCCGTTAAAAAAAATTGTGTCGGTTAATTGAAAAGAGTCTGGCCATTGTCAACAAAACCGCGTTCTAAGTTATTTTGATTTTGGCTAATCTAAGGCAAATAAACATCGCTAATTATGAAGAGAATAAAGAAGGCATAAATCGCAAACTAGAAAATCATTTATCTACCCAAAATGATGCTTTTACAAACAGGTTAGGTGACGATGGTCAAAGGCAACTATAACGCTTTAAGTTTGGCAAATAGACTGTCAGTTAATAGAAAAAAATTATATCAGATATTTAATTATTTTATAAACTCCGTCAAATAGAAAAAAAAAGATAAGGTTCCCGTGGTGAGCAGGAATCGGACCCCGCACCGCCGATTCAGAGAGTGCAAATGCTACCATTGCATTACACGGACTAACAAGTTTAACGATACAGATAGATAATGCCTCGGAGACTAGCAGAACAGACAAACACGATGAGAACACAGTTTACCCTCAACGAAGTAGCCATTTGCTTTGCATCATACAGGTTCGCTCTTATTATTTTAAAAAGGTTGTGCTAGCTACCTTCAAAAGTTCATGAACGATTTCAAGCGCAGAGGACTTTGCTCGTTCGGCCCGTGTTTTCCAAGCTGTTTTGAGAAAATGAGAAATTCGAAAATGATGGAAAAAACTAAAATATAGTTTTAAATGATTGATAGCAAGTCGGGATATTCCTTTATGTTTGGCGATGTAGCGTCCGAAGTTGCACTGGATATGGAATATCGTATCGGCTAGGCGTATCGGTGAACTAAAAAGCCTTACAGCGTAGGATGTACTTCTCGTACAAATCGAAAGAAACTTTAACTTTAAGAGGCGTGTTATAAAATTGGCACGGTCACTGTATTATATCGTGCAAAGTTCAAGCAATATCTTAACGTGTTTCTTTGTTTCTACCGGCAAGACAATGGTTGCGAAGTTGAGGTAAGTAACTGACACGCAACTAGCGTGTTAAAAGCTAGTTCTTTTGTTTTGGCGTGCAAACGTGCGAGCGTGCCGTGTGTATGCGTTCACCTTAGTCCCTGAAATCCCGTGGAGGGTCATATATTTATTGTGCTGTCGGTTAAAGCTCTCGTAAAAGGCCAGGAGCACTATCTTAATGGACTTGGCCAAGAGGATTGTCTGCCGCTTCAACTTTCGGTCTCTTTGCGAACGGTGCTGCGATGCTATTAAATTAAAGCTAGTTGTTTATTGCAGCGATTCTTTCAAGTCGCTCTTTCTTCACGCTTTCAGCGTAACTATCTCTTAAAGAAATCTATAAATACCTTGAGATTCTGCGGCAAATGATCTAACTTTTTTCGACGACCGTGGCACTGTTTACAAATGCAAGCAGAAACCGCGTGGACGTTGAAATCTAGTTTCGTAAGGGCGATGCTGATTGAGTGAAGTCACAGAACATGATTAGACTGATTCAGGTTTTCGTAGGCATTCCCTCGCTTTCGTAACACCTAGCGGGGGGTTGGGAGGGTACGGCTACGCGTAGGCTATTTCATAAATGAAAAGCAAAAGAGAAAATAGTCTCGTTTAAAAGGTTGCTTTGCGCCAAAGGGGCTGAGCATGTTGATAGTGTGATGAGTCTATCGACAGCGAAAGGTGCCCTGGTTATGTGAAGTCTGCATTGGCGTGCTTGCACAGCAGGGTCTCCGCATTTTCTGGTTCATTCTGTTTGCTTAGTTAAAAATGTGATGTGCTGAATAATTAACGCCGCGTATTAGACTTGATGGCGATATAGAGCACTTAGAGAAGGTAAGATTTTTGAAGATGGAATAAGATTAACATCATTTACCCAATAAAATGGAGACAACATTGAAGAAGCTAATACGAGATGGTAACATATTGGGCGAAATACCTATGTTGACATTCTCTCACAAAAGCAGTGACCTCTAAAAATTGTCATATGCATGGCTTGTTGTATTCCTTTTTCCTTAATTTATTCGATTACTCAGAAAGACTTGTTTCCTAGAAAGGTTCCCGGTTATTATGCCGCGTTGGCATATTCACTCGGCTGGAAGCCAGCAATTTCCTGTTCCGTAATAATTGCTTTAACAATGACCTCTATTACTACAAATAATGCCAGATGGTAAAATCCATGAAGATGCTGCAAGGTTAACATTATTTTGCTTTCAGTTTGAGAAGAAAACGCAGTGGAAATGGCCTATACGCGAAATCGCCTGAGGGCCTGTCACCTTCTTTCCCTTATTTCTCAAAAGGAACCTTGTATAAAGTGAGGCGTTTTGTTCTGTAATAAAAACAGTATAATCCACCTAAAAACTAAGTTTTTAAGTGTTATCCTCTGTGATTGGTGTTGCTCTTTCATGTACATGCATATTTAAAAAGCTTGAAGGCCGTCTACTATATTTGTATAGTGGCGTGATTGTTCACAGCACTTGTCATTTGACTCACAAAGGATTGTCTTCACGCTCAACGGAGCAGGCTTGTAATTGATAACAAGTTATTGACTCCATTCGTTTGATCATCTTTTTGTTTTATGGAATTTTTATTCTGAAGAGTCTTTACATAAATTTTGTGACACTGAGGTTGTTGTCGGTGATTGCAACAGTTCTCTGTTGGTTTGTTTAGTTTTCCTTCCCCAAATGAAACCAAAGTCCCCTCTCGTGCACTATGCAAAAATATCTCTGTGACGAAAGCATGTCGAAGCTCCAAAAAATAATTTAGCCTTTTCAGTTCACGAAAAGTTATATATTTTTTAAGATAAAGGCGAGTTCTGTCCTAGCATGTGACCGAAAACTGTAAACTGAGAGCATGGCTGAGTCGACGGCCCATTAAAAAACATGGCTACCTTTGCATTGTCCATATAGTGCCACATAGAGGCATAGTTCAGTGGGCAGGAATAAAAGCTGTTTTTAATCCAGTACTTAAAAAATCAACTTTGAAATTCAATGAGTAATTAGATTTCACTTGCACGCTAACTATTTTAATTGTGAAAGCCACCAGAGCTTAATTACATTTCTCGAAAGTTTCCAAAGTAGGGCAATTGATAGATTTTTAGGCGGTTCAGTTTAAACTTGGTACATCTTGGTGTGATGATCAACGAAAGTTTGGAATGTAAAATGGCATCCAGGATCTTGGCCGTCCTTTTCCTCACTTGTATACAAAAAAGCATGGTACAGGGCGGAAGCAAAGGTACTCGCGCCAACTAACAAGTGAATACAAAGCGCACGCGATGTCAATTCGTCTAAATTTATATTCATTTGGGCCTAAATTCCTAATTTTACTTTTCTTGAACATCACTGTAGAACCTGGCGTAACTGTTACATGCCGTGCCCATGAGATGGAAGTCACATTTGAGAAGAGAATATTCACCACACTTGAGGCGAGGAATATGTCCTTGGATGCCCCTGCGTGTTCAGCCTTTGACAGCCCACAGTTTATTTCCATAGGCACAGCCCTAAATGAATGCGGCACAAAATTCTACGAAACTGGAGACACCATCGTGTTCTCCAATGTTGTTCACAAAGATGCCGAGCTAGTGAACGGCCAGATTACACGGGAACATGATTTTGAATTCTCGTTTAATTGCAGCTATTCCAAAACGAAGTTTCTCAGCCTGCAATTTGTCCCCGAGGGAAGGCTTGATGTTCCTGGTGTAGGTACGTAGATGCGTCACCAATTAACAGTTCATCACCATGCAATTCTGTTGATTCTGTGGCTTAATCACTACTTCTAGCATTTCAGAGTCGATTTCAAATGATCAGTTTTACTGCGCTTGTAATCATTAAGCATCCTAGGAAAGTAGCACGCTTTACCTTGATCGCTTTTTACATGTCAGAGTTTCGTTGCCTGTGGTAAAAAGACGGGGAATTCAGTACTTGAATATGACTCGACAGACAGTTACTTCCATATTATCTGCTAGAAATTTAATTATCTCTGGGTAAACTAATGCAAATGACTTATCTGTTTGACAATAAAATATCATTTCAGAGGGATTCGGTGACTTCAACTTTACATTCGATGTCTACACAAGCTCTTCCTATTCAACACCCCACTCCGCTTACCCCGTCGAGGTGACACTCAATGAATACATCTACCTGGGGTACAAGGTGGAGTCCAGTGCTAACCTTGGGGTGATGGCTCTTAACTGTTTGGCTACGAAAAGTTCAGTTTATTATTCTTCACCGCAATATCCCATTATACAAGATGGGTAGGTGTCATGTTAAGGAGTTACCTAATTGTTTAATTTTTAAACTTTTAGTCTTGCTAGCTCTTCGAACGTAAACGGCATCAATAATCTATCATCCTTGTTCCTTCCTGGACCTCAAATTCCTCTTTCGGTAGTTTGATAATGATTGTTAATTTCTTAGCATAATATGATCAAAATAAGATAATTTCATCATTTTGCCAAAACAATTTTGTTTTTGCATCAAAAGGTGTGCAATGGACACGACACTGAGTCACGACTACAACTCAAGCAGAAATTGGCAAACATTTGCACTGAGAGCATTCAGGTTCTTCAATGATTATGACTCGTTTTATATCCACTGCGAACTGTTAGCCTGTCTTGAGGAGTCTATATCATCTAGGTAAGTTCAACTGCGGTTGATTATGCACAGGAAAAGTAGTTCAAAACCAAAGTCCAAAGTCAACCGGAATAAGCTCCTTTCATGTTGAGGAGTTTTTGGAACAAGATGATAATATTTTGCTTTTTTAAGACAATTTAAGATTTTTATTAAAGATGCTTGCGCATTACCCCAGTTTTAAATCTCAATGATAACAGTGCAATGAAATAAATATTCGTAATTTGATGACTTGAAGGTGCCAACAGGGATGCGTACCGTCAGCTAATAAGAAGAAACGAGGACTGGAAGAGGACACAGCCGGTCCATACATCATCAAAAGAGGGCCAATCAAAATTGTCCGAGCGAAAAGCCAAAACGAAAATGGAGGTGACTCACTTTCATGTACCAAGTTAAATAGAACTAAAAAAAAGTGTGTGTATATGGACAAGAGTAAAGGGAAACGTTCTCCACGTCACGAAGTAAAAGGCAGTCCTAATACAAAGATTTACGAACTTAAGGAGATACTTAAAAATTCGATAAGTGCGAAAGTATTGAGTTTGACAACAAAATTATTTTCCGAAGGAAGTTGTAAAATAAATCATACCTAAGTGGTTATGAAACACTAATTAGATTGCAGGGTTCTCAGAGGCTGAGAAATTAAGGGTTATATTCTATTTTAATTGTACGAATACACTTGGAAGTCTGTACTCCTCGCAAGACCATCAGTGGTAAGCATAAAAAAAGCATAAAAGTCATTCTTGTCATAGACTGTGGACGTGATATCTTAACACACTAAGCAAATTTGTTTACAACTCTATTTTTTTTTTCGTTTTTATAGACACAGGGAAACAATCAGCAGCTGTAATCGGAGGCGCAACTGCCGCTGGCGGAGTTGGTCTGGTTGGAGTCATAGCTCTGGCTGCTGTTTTTGTCAAATATCGCATTTTACGGCTCATGACAAACAAAAACAAGGTCAGAGACATGTACAATGACACCACCCAAGACGATGACATAGTGGAGAGGGATTCCGAGAGTCAAAACTCTTAGCTCATACACTGCTACTCAAGTCAGAAGCCGATAGAATATTTCTGACTATACGTCATTACCAAGTTTTGATTTGTGACAACACTAATCAATTTACGCCAAATTTTTAATGTAAAGGAAGGTTTAGTACACAGAGTTCGTTTTGTTTTCTAATCGGCGTCATTTACGAAGAGAAATGAGTGTTACCGTATCATTGACATTTTATCTCGGAAGTACATGTTTAGCATTTATTCGAGACCAGATTTTCTTGGCAACCAATGTGTATCCATTATCTTAAAGAACCTTTATAATAACTAAAATTTAATATACTAAAATAGGAGAAAAGAAGAAGAAGGAAACCCAAAGTTTGCATGTACGAAACTAGCGTCGAATTTACAGAAAGCTCGAGAAATAAAATAAAGATTTGAAAAGGTTATAAAAAAAATAATAAATTCCATGAGTCAATTAGAACTAGCGGAATTATTAATAGAACCATGAAATCACTGGGTTGATAAATAATGCAAAGGTAGTTTTCATGTTTTCTATTTCTGTTTGCTACTCTGACTCTGCACTCGGCTTGAAAATAAGTTTAGATTGCATGGGAGAGTGCATGGTTGTCGATATTTATGAAGACGCTTTCAACGCAATAGTAGTCAATTACCATTTAGTAGGTTTCGTGATAAAGTCTTGTTTCCAAGACAATTAGAGAAATATCAGGTCACAAGTCAAGTTTGGAACGCTGTTCGGTGTTTATAAAAATACTCACTGAATCAATAACACAAAGGAAATCAATCATCTTCAAGAATGCTGCTTGTCAAGACGAATCAGCTGTGTCCACTCCGAGACTCGATGTGGGGTACTCTGAATACAGTACTGATCACTCTACAACTTAGCAGCACTGATCGTGTAACCTCCACTTTCAAGCATTATTGATTATATCAGTTTCAGCTTCCTCAATCACATCAAAAAGATTACACTGCGAAAGTAGCTTCAATGCAACTGAACTTGAAGCATACTGAAATACGAAATACTTGACTAAAAAAGTGAAATAAATTTAGATGAACTTTTGAAGAATGTTGTGCATTGTACGTTGGGTACATGTGATGTTTTCAAAAAAGAGTCTAATTCTCCTAAATTAACCAAGGAAATGTGCAAAGTGGTAGGCACTACTCTTCAATATTGTATCAAGTTTAAATGTTGATGTATCATAACGACTTGATATGAAGATATGAGGATGAACAGTCAAAATGCAAACAACGCAGATTGAGGTCACTTTGCATGGCAAGGTCGAAATTTATTAAATAAAAAATCACTCAAGTTGCATTTCTCATTACAACTGCCTGACTAGGCGAGTTTATCTTAAGTCTTTTCCTTTTCAAAAGAGGGGTATTAAAAACAGCTCATTAGAATCGTGCTAAGTAGAACGATAAAATAATTTTAAGGTATGTAGTGTCTGATGGGTTAGATTTTCACCTAGTGATTTCATTAGTTTTCTCGATCGAGCTCTGCACTGCTAGATAAAGCGTTGGACGTGACGTTGGACATGACTTAATAAAAGTGTTTAACCACAGCAGGCGCTCGTCTCAAGTAGATACATTGCCTTGCAATATAGACCAGGTGTAGTTAGTTCTTCGCATTCCAAAATATACATTTTGAGGGAAAAAGTTAGCATATGTTTTTTAGGATTTGAAGCACAAAACTCGCTTCCTGAATCTAATTAATATGAATTTTCGAGCTGGTGCGACAATGTTCTCACGCACTAAGCATGTAATTAATGCCCACGCCATGAGAAAAAAGAAGTGATTACTATGCATGTGCGGCAAACAACCTTTATTGCATTCTCTTGGGTTGTGAAATATATATATCATAAGCTTTCTCTTCACTCATGTTTGAACAGAAGTAAAACATGAGCTGTATAACCACATAATGTGTTGTTATGAAAGAAATGATTCGGCTCGGTATCTACTCAACCCCCTGTGAGGTTTCATGTCGAAGTAACTGAGCTCATTCAAAGTGTGCCGAATTAATTAGATAAGCCTACGTTTCATAAGTGATTTCTTAGCTTGTACCTTAAACTACTATACTTTAACAAAATGAAAAAACATTAAATGAATAAACAAATGCATCCCTATTTTATCAAGAAAAGGTAATGGTGTATTGAATAGCTTCGAGACTTTTGATTACCTTGGATACGCCCGAGTAATCTTAATCGACATGATTTAACTTAGGCTCATGCCTAGCGTGCCTGGTGAAATGGATTTAGTTGTTATATAATTTTTCCTTTTTTTTTTTTCGGAGTGGGTCAGTCGGAACGGAAGGCTACCCAAGATGATGCGTTATACGTTCACGCGCCTTCTTTGCTTACTTGTGTTCGTACAATGGTCGTTTTTAGTAGAAGGGTCTCACTTCAGACATGCCCTTATGAGCTTTGCTCCGACTGATGCTGATAACAACACGGTATGGTCCTTAATTGCACGCTACTGAGCTAATTTCAGAGATTTGTTGTCTACCGTTTTTGCATGTCGTATATAAAACCTTGATGGTAGAAGTTGAAATTCAATTTGATGAACTTGCCTTTATATGTGTAAGGCTGGTTTTTTTTCTTCAGTTTGTAAATGAGACATTGCAAACGCAGAATTGCAAATGAACGTTTTCTCCGAAGCATTTACAAACTGCTCAGAGCGACTGGCTGTCGCCTTGTTTAGACCTATTAAGACCTTCAAATTTAAAGCTCTTGAAACACTTCACCAAACAGTACTGTAAACTTTTGTTTCTCAAGAGACCAAACTATGCGTCAAGGCACATTAAAAAGGAAAGCACATTACAGAAAAGCATATTCCTCTTCTCCATGTGGCGGTAATAACCTTTCTAGTCATGGCTCCTCCGTGTTGAAGAAGGCATGCCTCAGGTCGGAACATTTAACAAATCGGAATCCATGGCTAGGTTATCGATAGACGTGTTTGGACTTTACGTATCTTGGTATTGAAGGAAATTTGCTTCCTGCACTGATTCAGACTTCAATGGGCGTATTTTCCTTTTTTGATAAATATCAGTAGTATGTTGCACTATTGCTATATTTTGTGATTTGGTTTTAATGGCATACGAATGCCGGAAAAAGTTAGCATATACGTTTGTATTTTGCTATCCTCCAGTCTTTTCACGGCTCTCGATGCGCTTTTTTTTTATTGAGACGGATGCTACATATTTCTGGACTACCGTGATCTACTCTCTTGCAGTGAGTCAGTAGACATTTCTACATGTATTTTTAGACTTGTGTTTTGGAAAGAAAAAACCGCTTTTGTACGCCTATGTTAATCAAAATTATTTTCCTAATTTTTTGTTTTGTTTTGTTTTTTTTTTGTTAGAGTGTCTGTGCGCAACAAGCCTTAGCAGTAATTGCTTTAATTGGTTTTTGTCCATCTGCCGAATCACCTCTTTTGAAGAGTGCGGCACAATTCAGTGACTTGCAAACTTTACAATCTCTTAGCGAGTAAGGAGCAGCATGTTATTGAGATTTAAACTGTATATTTTTCTATTCCTGCTTTGATTTTTTTTCACGTTGAAGAGATACTTGGCCAAGATGAAATCGCGTTCGTTCTTCCTTTGACTCAACCAGCTGTGTCCAGTTCTTGGAAAGTCGCGTTCTCACTGGTTGTTCGTTCATATTCATAAGTTTCTCCACACGCTTACGCAAGCGAATATCATCAAGCCAAGATTTTGCTCAATTTTCAAAGGCCGTCTGTCATTGAGCTCGACGGAGTTAATCCTACTCTTTTTCATTGCAATTACTTGAATTGTGCAATTTTTTTTTCTTTTTTACTTTTTTATGCACGATATACTCAACCAAGTAAGAATCACTCTATATCTTCCTTGATACAACCAACTGTGGCCATTTCTTGGAAAGACTGCGGTTTTTGTAATTGTTTATTCATTTGACGTATTAGCGTCATATTCATAATTTACCTCCAGGCGCTTTAAGCTTTCTAAACTACATCTACCCAATTTGGTTGACTTTCCAGTTTTTCCGTCTTAGCGGTTGACCTTTTTTTACCATAGGCATTGATTTCAAACTTTCCACGACAAGGACAACTGTGTTTAGTTACTGAAATGTGTGTATATGAAGCACATTGAAGAACTGTCTTTTGAGAAAAGTTATGAAACGGAGGATTATTTGAAGAATGAAACCGCCCCCCTCATCGAAATGCATCGGTGGCAAAAATTCACTGACACTTTCCGTTTTCAGAAAAGAATAATCAACGATTGTTTTTTAGTTAAAACTATATACTCGCCTTACAATAGTTGCACAGCGACTAACGGCTGAAGAAGCCTCCAGGACATGGAGAAGGAAATAAAATGTCTGGTAGACAAGGCTACACAAGGGAAATCGGTTTTTTATTTCTATTTAGGTGTTAGGTTCCACTGATACCACTGTTTTTTTGGTACCTGACGATAGGTTCTGACCACCTAACTTGAAATATCGCCAGCGTAAAGTGGCTTTTTGTTTATGTGTGATAAATAATGGTAATAGGACTGATTGGAGTCTAATTCGCTCTTTAATCACATGAGCAATTAACAAAATCGGGCGACTGCAAAGGGGGAATCAGATTTTTAAATCACCTAACTTTTTTGCATGATATCTTTCTAACTATTTTCCAGATACGGTTTACCTTCCGTCTGGCTTTTCGAAGGTCATTTTCTTCATATCAGTGTGATGAGAACACAACTAAAGTAGGAGGAATTATTGGATCTGGCAATTATTGGAGAGCTAAATGCAGCGATCCTTTAAATGCAGTGTGTTGGACCACTAATATTGCTGACACTGGCTTTCGCTGTACTGACTTCAGTCGCGATGAAGACTGGTCCATGGGGGAAAATAACTTCACCTACACTTTTCCGTCCGGCATTCTTGAGTGGAATGTGAGGTGTGTCATTAAGAGAAAAAGAAATACAAGACAACTAAGTTTTTAAGAATGTCGCAGTTTTAAGGCAGCGGAGAGCTTCGAACAATTAAGAGTCGTTTGCAATGACCAAAATCATCCCTCAACATTGGAGTATCTTTCTGATACCCTGTGTTTAACGCGGAAAATGGCTGAAAGCCATTCCTGAGTTGTTATAATGACCCAAAATTCATTTCTTCCATCGATCACTCGGTCACTCTATTAATTACTCTTTATTCCTTCCATTCCTATTAACTTTTTGGTGTGCTGACTAGTGTATAAGGCTTTCTCATGTTCAGTTTCGTTGTTGTGGTGGCCTGTCCTCCCAAATCAAGGTAACTTTCTAGTTTCTGTTTTTTCACAAACCTTTCTTTCACGTCTCGTCGACAGATACTACAGTTGCTGTTGGATTTCTAATCTTGTGCGATATGCTAACTCAGCCTGGTTGATATCTACCAATATAAGTCTTTCTAGAAGATCTGATAATGGTAAAATCAACTCAGCTCCAGTCTCCAGGAGCCCAGCTATTGTACGGTTTCAACAGGGTTGTCAAAAGTCTCTTAAAATCCCAGTTGAAGATCCAGATGGCGATTTTGTGAAATGCCGTTCGGCAACCGACGCCGAGTCCTCCATACCAAGAGATAGCTTCCCTCACGGTGAACTTGATGAGGTAAATTTGTAAGCTCTATTCTTACCATTTTTCTCAATCCATAAGTACAAAACTTAAGCTAAAGAACGCTAAAGAACGCAATCTCTCGGACTTTCTCTATAAATCAACTCGGATAAAGTTTCTCAGTTGAAAAGTAAATTTAGTCTTGTTTTGGGATCAAGTCGGTAATTCTTAGCAGACCCATGAGAGCTTTCTGAGTAAAACAACGACCGAGTAAATGGAGTGATACTCAGAAACCCAATAGAAATTACAACTAAATTTAAAAAAGAATAGGGGTATACAAAATAGAAGAACCTGTTATACTTTTTGTACCAAATTGTACCTCAATTTTGCCTGAAAACGCAAACTTTATGTTCAGAGTTAGTGTGAATATATTAGCGGTAGCGATCCAACGCTTACGTTTCAGTGTTTCTCGGAATTTGCTTGGTTAGACTGTTAACGATTTTATATAAGGATTTGAAATCTATGTGCATTTTTATTGGCTCTCACTCATGATCTACTGGAGGTAAGACGCACTGTTCAGTAATAGATCAGAGATTGCGTCAAAATGTGGTAAGAACAACATCTATATACCTCAAGTATCTATTAAATGGTACTTCCATACTTTGCTTCGCAGAAAAACTGTGTTTTAACTTACAAAGGTGGATATGGAGCATCGGGCACTTACGCAGTAACCTTAACCTTGGAAGACTTTCCAGCTGGAACCACAAACTTCAATAACATTAGACCATTCAGTGCTGTGCCACTGCAGTTTCTTGCCATAATAAGCGTTGGATCTGGTTCTTGCCAAGACATACCTGTTTTTACTGCTTCCACACCTAAAAATGGTGAATGCTCAGAGATTCAGATTGGTTCAGTATATAAAGCAGTAATTGAAGTGCAGCATCCAAACATTGCTAAACAGTAAGTATTTAAGGTTGAAATTAAGTCCAAGGCATCTGAGCTTGTCTTTTTCGTTCATGAACTGTATGTAACATATCCAAAGGAGCGTTACTTGTCATGTCATGTTTGCTGTTAACAAAGACTCTTTTCTTTATATGCTAAGTATCGTTGAGATAACCACAAGCTCTCCATTTGGAATGCAATTTACCTCATTAAACTTCCACGGAGGCATTTTCTACAAGAATGTCAAGTGGTATCCGAGTAAGAACCAAGTTGGGCAGCAGTTGTTATGCTTTCAAGCTTTAGATTCAGACGGGTAAGATGCTCTTTTATGTTGTATAAAAAAACTTGTAGCTTAAATCAGAATGTGATGAACTGCTAAGTAAGACTGACTTATTTCAAGTTTTCATCAGAACCAATGATCGCTGTCACGACCGAGCATAACATTGATGGTGTTTCATTGGAATCCAACTTGTACATGTCGGGCAGCATTTTTTAACCCAACAAGCGGAGATCTATACTTATACTAGAAACTCGAGTACTACCTGAAAAACAATTTGTGTCAGGTTGTCAAACTAGTTTACAGGAGGATGAGAAAGTTCATGTTGCATAAGTTGGTTTGTTTATATTTTTGCTTTCATTTCCAATTTCCAGAGTTCAAAGCGAATGGCGTTGTGTCACGATCCTTGTGGGGCTAAGTAAGTAGAGCGTTTATATTTTCAGAAAAATGGATATTTTGAGCTTTTGTTGTCTAATCTTTTCTTCCATTAATGTTTAATGCTGACGAAGAGTTGCCTTGTCCAATTTTTTTTTTCAATACAGAGTAAAATGATAGAAAAAAATTAAATAAAATGCATACCAACTAAGTCCGTCAGCCATTTACCTGTGAAGTAGCATGTATCATTTCCTCCATTATTTATATAGGAACTCAATTATTTTTAGGTAATACGCCTCATGTTATTTTGGGTACAAGAAGGCCAATAAGCCCCATAAGTGAGTTTGGAGCTGGACTAATATGGTGGAGTATTCATTTTGACAGAGTGGTGAGGAACACTATATTCTTTCCTTTAGAAGAGTGACCTGTATTTAAATCCTTCATTGGAAAATTTAAAGTAAAGGTATATTACCTAAATATCACACCAGATTCCCAATACTAGGAAACCACAAAAAGATTTACAATCATCTTTTGGAAGAACTAGCTTTCAGATCTTGGGAATTCAAAAGGTTAGGGAAACATATATAAAAAAATAAGAATATACTTGAATTTACGATTAAGGTTTTTTTTTGCAGATAAAGAAGCCTAGAAGCTCAGCATTCATCCGATTGGTTCTGCAGTCAAATGGTGTTACCGTCTTCAAAGTGAATACCCTTTCTGGTTACGTTATTATCGACAGTAACCGCACAGTACTGCATTTTGCCACCCCTAAGGCTGCACTGAGCATGAACGGTTCATATGCCATCTTGATAGATCCTGGTGCAGTAGTTGGGCAGGGCTGCTCGTATGATGGTCCACCAACACCTGGTATAACCTCACCCATAGACTGGGCCTTCCCCGTAGATGGTGTCTGCCCTCTTGGTTATGCTCTGGTTTCTCCAAGTTTTCAAAAGTGTGAGGGTACGTCCGCTGTTGTAGTATTTAGTGAAAAAGTACCCGGTATCTTTGCCTTACATTGGTCTGGTATGGGTTATATGAGAGTGCATCATCCATGCTCCAATCTTAACCGATGCAATAAAAGCCATCTGTTAATAGGATAAACTTTAGTACCAAGCCTGTAAATATATAGTGAGAATGATTGTTTTCGGCTTAAATGGGTTATGTTACAATTATTTTGAAATTCTTACGTGCACGAAGGATAAAGTGTTGGAATTGACTTAATGAAATATGTGCTACCCATTCCCAAATGATTTTTTATAATGAAATTGCTCTCCATTATGATGCATCATTGCGCGATATCCCAGTGTTTAAAGTAGCAAAGATCAGTCTCCATTTTCACTCTTAATATTACACCATTCTTTGCGCAGAAATTCTGATGTCTACTGCCTGAGTGTGAAAACTAGTTAAACAACAAACATTCAATGAGATCAAGCAGAGCCTCAAAATACAAATTATATTAATTCAAATAGTGCAACCATTTCAATATTTTATATGTAAGCATAAACTCAAGTTTAGATTTTTTTAACGAGAGTCTATCCATGACAAAATTACTTTTCTGTTCGCAGATATAGACGAATGCGGCGGACATCATCGGTCAAAACGTTCTTATTGGTGGTACAACGTGTTTTCCCAAAATTCAGGTATAAATATCCACTGGTACCATAATTTTTGTGATGCTTTCTCATGTTAATCAAAATAGTAATGGAAAATGAGGTCTCTAGCGTAATGTTTCGATTATCATTCATTTATATGGATCATCGGAACAAGCAGACTTACCCTGTCAGTTCTGGGAACATGATCTACCTTAAAATCGTGACTGAGTTGAAAACAAAATCTCACCTATACATGCGCAAAACTAGATTATCATCCTCTTCCAGTGGAACCTGGCATACTGTGACAGTGGTTTCTAAGGAGCTGATTTCTCGGAATTCCTCTCTTAGGGGCTGGTGTGAAATGGTTCCCCATTCGTTTGTCTTTGACCTCCTCTTCCAATCCGCCAAAGAGAGCCCTGAGCAAATTTTTTTGGTCATCTGTTCGCTAACTTTACATGTTTTAAAGTTTGCCGGTTTTCGGATCGTTGGCAAGATGTACAACTTGAATGGTCTCAAGTTTGTATTCTCTCGATGATCTTCACAATTTACTATTATTGTACACTCCCCGGCAAAACAATTTAAAATCACACCATTTCAGTCTAATCATTTCCTTTGTTTCAGTTTGGATCTCTCTGAAACTCATTGTCTCTTCATGGTCAATACAGCTAGAGACTTCGACAGAATTTAGAATCTTGACTTTACAGAGGGTCTCAATGGGGTTAACCGACAGCCGTGAAACCACCAAAAAATTTACCCGTTAGGCGTAAAAAATTGACAGTTTTTAAGCGTTAGTCGTAAACAATGTTCACCGTTAATGACAAATTTCTAGAAGAAATGGAATGATATTAACCATACGCGTTAGCCGTAAAATCGCCAAAATTTTAACCGTTAGCCCTAAAAGTCATCACCCATTGAGACCCTCTTTTCAGTGGGAGTAATATTCTCAATTTTATTTCATTAGTTAACTTTGTAACTGATTTCTACTTCAGACATTTCTACCGCGTAAACGTCTTGGTTTATTCCTTTCGCATTTCTTCTGGTCACTATTTATCATTCATCTTTGGTATAGGATGGTATTTTGTCATACTTGGTGCAAGCTTAAGAAAAGTAATAGAAATAGTACTTACACATTGTGCTTATGTTCCTTCGAATTTCAATGTGCAATATCGATCCCCTTGAAGTACTTTTGCAAGACTTAGCACTTATCGCATATTTTTTTTCTCTATTCATTATCACATTTATAGTGTATGATAGTGTAAGCTAATCCTCTGTAGCTCTGAGAAGGACTATTGTCGGTACTACTGACTGACGTTTCGACAATTAACCTGAGCGAACGTCATCATCAGAGTCTTGAACCACCAGGTTCAAAACCATTTCCTGTACTTTAGTGTATCTCTAACTAAAGAAAATTTTACTCAGAGGTGGTAGTCGGTGTGCCAAACGCTTTCTTACCTGAGCAAAGGGGTCATATCGGTTAAATGATCATTCCTGCTTGGAACTTCTTGTGGTGTTTATTTTCAATTACAGACTATTCGAGCACAACAAGTATTAGCTGGTGATTATCTTGTTTCTGTTGTTGCCACCGCTGCTACTCCACCACCACTATCACTACCATCTACCTCTAAACCTACCCTCTGACACCAATGCTATTCCTACCATTACCGCTAACCCTAACTTATACAATTGCCACTTACACAACCACTTTCACTAACATCACAACCACCTTGCGGCTATACTGTTATCACTACTATGACCACCTTCAGTACCACTTTTTCTACCACTGGCACTACTACTTCCAACACTAATTTATTACCACGACCAACACAACTAGCGCTAGTATTTCCTTTACTATTTCCACCACTATTTCTATTGTAGACATAGAGAAGGTAAGAGAGATAGGGAAACTGCGGTCAGCCTGACAAAATAGGCACTTGAGGGATTTAGTTACGAACAGATCTAATTAAATTCGACTTATACACGGGAAAGACATAGTCAGAGAGGCAGATTGACTAAAATCACACAACTGTTAATAACATCTGTCTCGGCATAATTCCTGGTGGAAGTCAACTTCGAAGCTTTTACGTGATTATCATTTTCCTTTTACAGGTAATAACTCTACGTCAACTGCAACCAGGATATCGCCTTCTCCAGGTATTTCTTTATTTTCTTTTTAATTTTGTCTTTTTGTGAACGCTGTTCTTGGATTTCATCATATTATACATGTTTTTTAAATTCTCTTAAAGAAAATCTACATGTGTCTTCCGGCAGTATTCAAAACAGCCCAATAGATTCTCTATTCTAGCCATTCTAATAGACACACTCAAGTAAAACAGAACGAAAGACAGGAAGGCAGGCAGGCAGACTGACTGAGAGACAGCAGACAGACAGACGGACAATTTGCTGTGACGAAGGGCAAACGATTCAAATGTCAGCTTTAGAAACTCTTTCAGGAGGCCAAACTACATTATCAACTCATTTGATGAAACCAAACTATGTTGATACATTCATCCACCGACCCATCACCACAGTTTCTTTAAAACCTCCCCCCTTTAAATAAACAGATAGTCAGGCAAGAGACAAGACAACAGACTGGTAAGTAGATATACGGAGAGACCGATCCAGAACGGGAAGAAATCTTTGCCATCTGGCTTATGAAGTTAAAGGCATTTGTCATATGTCTCCTTGTTCAAAAAATTGTGAAGACGGTTATTGTGTCTGACATAAAATTTTCAAAATTATGCGATGAGGAGATTAAAATACATTTGGTACAATAGCATATGTCGATATTTTTGGGTCAGTAATAAACAAGCTTTGGAAAAACATTCCTGAAGTGGCAAACGTGATAACAATGCCTCTCTATTTCTTTTCACAGAAGTCTCACAAGGCATAACACCCACTTCAGCTGGTATATTTTGTTTTATTCTTCTTCTACGCCTACAACAACCACTTCTGCAACTACCATGACCCATACTATTATTACCGTTATTAATACTACCACTACTTTTTTTACTAAGTTCGCTGCAAAGCAAGAAATTTGCCTTTATAAGGCATGACTTGAATGGACAAATAAAAAACCATCAAGCAAACAACAGCAAAAAGATAAAAACAATCTTTACCAAAGGGGTTGGAGTTGGCAAATACAATTAAACGAAGATTCTGTAAACTAAAGATGTTTACCAATTGGAATCGTCGTGTTCGAAATCTCGCAATTTTTTAAATTTATCTAAAAACGTTTAGACTCAGTGATGACGTAACTCTTGATAGTGAATTCGATGAATGCAAGAGGAAGCCTCACCAATTTTGTTTTCCCCACAGCTCCATGGGCATCCGCCAGCGCAGCTCCTTCATTTCCTTCAGGTTGTATTTCGACCCTTTTTTTGCCCCATCTACCATCAAATGAATATATATATTTGGTGAAAAAAAATTGTTTTTGAAATAACAACTTATGGTGGTATTAGATAAAGCGGAAAAGAACTCAGTTTCTTTGAATATGTGGACCGTAGGGGATTTTCGTTGGCTTAAAATAATTGACTAAAAGCTTATGCGATTGGTTGGACACTCTTATCAAAATGGCTCGCTAGATTATCATTATGCAGCTGTTTGCAGAGTTCAAAAAACAGCGATGCACAATAGAATTGCCTTAAAGCTTTTTGTGTGATAACGACTTTGAGGCTTTTAACATCGCCAGGCCATATTAATAATTAGTAATGTACTTCATTTTTAATGTTGTTGTCCCTTTTCTCTTTATCAATTTGTTTTCCTCTTTTGCATTCAGAATGTTATTACTACTCATACCTAACAGAGGAAGAAAGAAGTATGGGTTACTATAACCGCTCAAACGGATATCTCATATGTGATTACTTCTTACCGTTTGGATGGTATCGATTTGGTGGTGCAGCGGGAACAGAGATGCCTACGTCCTGTGTAGGACAATATCGATGTGGCACCCTTTCACCGGGTTGGTTGAATGGCTCGCACCCGAGAGCAACTGATGGAATTGTCCGTGCTAAAGTGTGTTTCCATACGAATTCTGATTGTTGCCGGTGGTTTCTCAACATCCGTGTTCGTAACTGCAGCGGTTTCTACGTTTACGAGTTTGTGTCCATGCCAACTTGTTATAGTTATTGTGGTAATGGTGGAGGTAAGACAGATAAGCGTAAAATTAATGTAGAAAAACAACAGACAGAAAGACAGACAGTTGCAAGAGACATACAAATATCAGACAGACAGATGGTTGAGAGACGATCATACGGACAAACAGGAAACATATTCAAATGTAGACCCTTAAAACTGGCAAAGTTTCATTGAAATCGGTGAGATAGCATGTAGCACGACTGCCTGGTGCTCTCATGGACACACTCTTAATCCATTAATAGCTGAATAAAAGAGGCTTGCATCTCTCCGAGCAGTTAAATCATTGAAGAAACCTCCCAGATTGTAGTCGTTTATGAGGAAACGTAAGTTACATTTAAATTAAAGGCACTATGCTTGTGGTTGACATAATGATGTTCAATGAACTTTCATTTATTTTGATTTCAGCTCTTAACTCAACTAGTATCGCACCTACATCCTGTGAGTATCTTTTCTTTTAAAATGAATTTAGATTCAGCGATTGTACACCGATTGATTTTTGTTATTTCTTCGAAAACAGGAGAAACTGAAATACATGTGTAAGATTAAATCGAAGACGCTCTACCATTTCTAAAATTCTTTATTCCTACCTGATTAAATAACTGAAGAAATAGTCGAATCAAGAAAATTGGATGAAAGATCCTCAAAGTATATTTTATGTCTAAGCCTGAAAGTGCTACAGGATTTTAGCCTTTCTCAATGTAATTATGCATTTTTATACTAAGTGGTTATGAATTTCAATACTAAGCACCACCATTCTATTTTATTCTTGCTTTTTAAAGCCCACTCTATTGCCGCTGTCACCCCAGCTACTCCTGGTAAGTGACGCGTGGTAGAAATCAAGGCATACCCTTATAACATTTAAAGTGAAGGTGTTAATTTGGATGCTGCATGGTATGAATTTCTATGTAGTTTAATTGGAGCCAGCTACATAGCCCTTGGTCCAGAGTTAAACGATTCCGCTGACTACTAAATCAATATAAAAGATGGCGTTACTCAGTGAATGACACGGCATATCGGAGAGAAAGAACTCCGAGTGCTCCGAATAGGTGTTGAAGTTTGCCGTATTTTTTTAAAACAATTTCTCGCCCAAACGTAATTCTTTTTAAACCTCCAGTTTGTCACATAATGATCGAAAATTGAACGGAAAAAGGACAGCAAGAACGTAATGACAGTTAGAATACGTGTTCAAACGAAAACTCATGAATAAACCGACATAGAAACACTTGTGGAAAACCAACAAATTTAGCGTGAAAACTTTCAACCATTTAACTCCCAACATCTGATTGTTAATTCTCCCCTCCAGTTGCTACACAGAATTAGATGTTAGATGAAGATAACAACTTCTTCCTGATAAGTTTGAGTATACTCATTACCAGTTTGCTATATGATGTATTGATATTATAGGGAGAAGTTACATAATAATCACACCTGGGAGTAAAAGGGTTAAGAGTTTTCGAAGGGCAAACGCTTGAAATGTCAGCTTTAGAAACTCTTTCCGGCGGTCAATCAACATTATCAACTCATTTGATGAAACCAAACTATCTTGATACATTTCTCTACCGACGCATCACCACAGTTTCTTAAAACCTCACCTCTTTAATAAACAGTTAATAAGGCAAAAGACAACACAACAGACCGGTCAGTAGACATACCGAGAGATGGATCCAGGACGGGAAGAAATCTTTGCCATCTGGCGTATGAGGTTAATGGCATTTGTCATGTCTCCCTGTTCAAAAAATTGCAATGAAGGTTGTTGTGTCTGACATAAAACTTTTGCGATAAAAATTATGCGATAAGGAGATTACAGCACATTCGGTACAATAGCATATGTCCATATTTTTGGGTAAGTAATAAACAAGCTTTGGAAAAATATTCCTGAAGTGGCAAACGTGATAACAATACCTCTCTATTTCTTTTCACAGATATCTCACAAGGCATAACACCTACCTCAGCTGGTATATTTTGTTTTATTCTTCCTCTACGACTACAACAACCACTTCTGCAACTACCATGACCGATACTATTATCATCATTAATAATACTACGACTACTTTTTCTACTAAATTCACTGCAAAGCAAGAAATTTGCCTTTATAAGGCATGACTTAAATGGACAAATAAAAAACCATCGAACAAACAACAGCAAAAAGATAAAAACAATTTTTACCAAAGGGGTTGGAGTTGGCAAATACAATTAAACAAAGATTCTGTAAACTAAAGATTTTTACCAGTTGGAATCGTCGTGTTCGAAATCTTGCAATTTTTTAAATTTATCTAAAAACGTTTAGACTCAGTGATGACGTAACTCTTGATAGTGAATTCGATGAATGCAAGAGGAAGCCTCACCAATTTTGTTTTCCCCACAGCTCCATGGGCATCCGCCAGCGCAGCTCCTTCATTTCCTTCAGGTTGTAATTCAACCCTTTGTTTTATCCTATCTACCATCAAATGAGTATATATTTGTTGAAAAAAAAAGATTGTTCATGTAATAACAACTTATGGTGTTATTAGGTAAAGCGGAATAGAACTCAGTTTCTTTGAATATGTGGACCGTAGGGGATTTTCGTTGGCTTAAAAGAATTGATTAAAAGCTTATGCGATTGGTTGGACACTCTTATCAAAATGGCTCGCTAGATTATCATTATGCAGCTGTTTTCAGAGTTTAACAAACAGCGATGCACAATTGACTTGCTTTAAAGCTTTCTGTATGATAACGACTTTAAGGCTTTCAACATCGTCAGGCCATGTTAATAATTAGTAATGTACCTCATTTTTGATGTTGTTGTCCCTTTTCTCTTTATCAATTTGTTTTCCTCTTTTGCATTCAGAATGCTATAATTACTCATACCTAACAGAGGCAGAAAGAAGCATGGGTTACTATAACCGCTTAAACGGATATCTCAAATGTGATCGCTTCTTACCGTTTGGATGGTACCGATTTGATGGTGCAGCGGGAACAGAGATGCCCACGTCATGTGTAGGACAATATCGATGTGGCACCCATGCACCGGGTTGGTTGAATGGCTCGCACCCACGAGTAACTGATGGAATTGTCACGGCTAAAGTGTGTTTCCATTGGGGTTCTGATTGTTGCTTGTGGTCTGCCAATATCCGTGTTCGTAACTGCAGCGGTTTCTACGTGTACGAGCTTGTGCCCCCGCGAGGTTGTCACCTTCGTTATTGTGGTAATGGTGGAGGTAAGACAAACAGGCGTAACATTAATGTAGAAAAACAACAGACAACAAGACAGACAGTTGCAAGAGACATACAAATATCAGGCAGACAGATAGTTCAGAGACGATCATACGGACAAACAGCAAACATATTCAAATGGACAAACAGGGAAAAACGAAAAACAGACAAATGAAAGGAGCGACCACATACTGACACACACAAAAAAGAAAGTAAAGCCGTGACAGAGCTTGGGATAGAGATTAGAATGAGGGTTGTAGAGACAGAACGTATAACGTGTAACGAACGAGTTTATAAGAGATACTCTATTTGCCTGTATCTCAATAGGAGGAAGAAGTAGAACTGTTATTTCACCGATAAGTGGTTAGGTTCTAGCCTACATTAAAGGAGGAAAGCTAGAAATCCCAGTCAATGGGAGCACCAGGCGGTCGTGCTACATGTCATCTCACCAATTTTAATGAACCTTTGCCAGTTTAAAGGTCTACCCAAAACTCAGAAAGATAAAGTGGCTTCTGTTTGGTTTTTTTCCGGTGGGAAGATAGACCACCCCCGGCTTTTCTTGGTTTTCGCCAAGGAAATCGCCTCAAAATAGGTAAAATGTTTAAAGCTTTCACTGCGATGCTATTTAACCAACTACTCTGAGGGCTTGCACACATATTATTACATTCTTAGTAAATGTCCGTAGCAAGTATCGGTCGACTGGATTGACGGCTTGTCAATCAACAGAGGTAAATAAACGACTGTGTTTGTAGACTTTTCGATTCATCCAAATATTTGACAACTTTGAGCTTAAATATCTCCCCTTGCCAGAAAGCTACAACACTAATCTTAATTCCCCTTTATCATCGATCATTTCATCTCTGAAAACCATCAAAAAAATCTTTGGGCGCTATTGTATTTTTGTCTTGGATGCTTTTTAAAATCTACGGCTGTGACAAGTTTCTCTCATCTACACGTGTCACGCAATTCTGGCTCTGGCCGGTCACTTGATCGATAAACCTACATTTTTAGCTCTTCATACATGATGATTGATCAAGAAAGCTAAAAAAAGGGGAAAACTTTCGAGATTTTTCGTAGGAATGGAAAATTTCACGTTTAGAGAGATGTATGTAGGCGAAAAATCGATTGGGAAATCGTAGCGTTTCTTTCTTACGTCGTTTATTACTTTGGTGATTTGCTAAAATCAACAAATATGGCTTTTGCACAGAACAAAACATTCATTAGTTTATAATTTGATAAACCATCATCATTGCTCATTTTAGGAGATTTTAAAGTCACACGCTGCGTGTTGGCTGACATTATTACAAGTTCCAGTGTGTTACAACTTCGGCTTCTGCAAACGAGAAATTCTACGCTCTCGCTTGAGAGCAAATATCAATAGCTCTATCAAACTAAAAACTGTGCCACTATCCCGAAAATAAAATTAAAATAGTATTGTCGTTGTCACTTACCGCCATCGAACATTTCCATACAGAACTCCCGAAATAAAATCATTATTCATCACTTGGATGGTTTACTTGGACCCAACATATTGACCAGCAGCGGGCCGTAAACCCTTAAAACTGGCAAAGTTTCATTGAAATCGATGAGATAGCATGTAGCACGACTGACCGGTGCTCTCATGGACACACTCTTAATCCATCAATAGCTGAATAAAAGAGGCTTACATCTCTCTGAGCAGTTAAATCATTGAATAAATCTCCCAGATTGTAGTCGTTTATGAGAAAACGTAAGTTACATTTAAATTAAAGGTACTATGCTTGTGGTTGACATAATGATGTTGAATGAATATTCATTTACTTTATTTTCAGCTCTAAACACAACTAGTATCGCACCAACACCCTGTGAGTATCTTTTCTTTTAACATGAATTTAGTTTCAGCTATTCTACTCCGATTGATTTTTGTGATTTCTTGGTAATCAGGAGGAACTGAAATGCATGTGTAGGATTAAATCGAAGACGCTCTATCATTTCTAAAATGCTTTATTCCTACCTGAAAGACTCGTCTCAGAAAAATTGGGTGAATGATCCACAAAGTATGTTTTGTGTCTTAGCCTAAAAATGTAACAGGTTTGACAGTCTTTCTCAATGTAATTATGCATTTTTATACTTAGTGGTTATGAACTTCAATACTTAGCACAGCCATTCTTATTTATTCTTGCTTTTTAAAGCCCACTCTATTGCCGCTGTCACCCCAGCTACTCCTGGTAAGTGATGTGTGGTAGAAATCAAGGCATACCCTTATAACATTTAAAGTGAAGGTGTTAATTTGGATGCTGCATGGTATGAATTTCTATGTAGTTTAATTGGAGCCATCTACATAGCTCTCAGTTCAGAGGTAAACAATTCCGCTGACTACTAAATCAATGTAAAAGATGGTGTTACTTAGTTAAAGACACAGCATACTCGGAGAGAAAGAACTCCGAATTAATGCTCCGAATAGGTGTCGAAGTTTGCCAAATATCTAAACAACTTTCTCGCCCAAACGTAATTTCTTTTTAAACCTCCGATTCGTCACATAATGATCATGTTTCGAAAATATTCTGTAACGAATGCACCTGTAAATTATCAGCATATACTAACTTCTCCATTGATTTCTAAAATATGCCAAAAAATAACCTAAATCTAACAGTAATTTACAGTGATACAATACAAGGTAAACGAAAATTGAACGGAAAAAGGACAACAAGAACGTAATAACAGGTAGAATACGTGTTCAAAACGAAAACTCGTGAATAAACCGACATGGAGACACTCGTGCAAAATCAACAAATTTGGTGTTAAAACATTTAATCCTTTAACTCCCAGGTGTGATTATTATATAACTTCTCCCTATAATATCCATACACCATTCAGCAAACAGGTAATGAGTATACTCAAACTTATCAGGAAGAAGTTGTTCTCTTAATCTTACATCTAATTCTGTGTTGCAACCAGAGGAGAGAATTAACAACCAGATCTAATGCTGCGCGGAGACTAGAACTCTAGTAATAGCTGAAACCGCTGAAAGACGATGCAATAAGTAAAAAAATTTACAATTAAAATTTTGAATTAATTAGTTATTGCTGAAAGACTTAACGGCATACACCAAATACAGTAACGGACTAAGTGAGTGAGGATAAAAATAACAGTAGAAGAACTGTCTATGCTTGTTTGCAGTGCACGGAATCCAACCGACACCTGCCTCTGCAATGACAACGAACTTCTATGCTGTTTCAAGTGTAAATGTCCAGCCAGATCCTTCCCAGTTCCAGTTGCATTTACCGGCGCAATGTGAACAAAATTGTCACAACACGTTAGGAAGTTACACTTGCTCTTGCGTTAGTGGATACCAACTTGCCGCAGACGGGAAATCGTGCTTAGGTAAAATTGATTCTACCAAAATAAGTTTTGAGATATTTTTTTCCGATACATTCTCATAGTCTCGCTATGGATTTTCGTAGAACAGAAAAACAAAAAAGACTCTGTTTTGAACACGTGCGCGATTGAAATAGCAGATCGTTGTGTTTTTGATGTTCAGCTTAAATCCCAATTTAGCGTTTAATGTGTGCCGGCCGTTTTAAACTTTACAAAGGTTACCGATCAATGAGCCCTTTACACCCATACATCAGAATGCATATTCTCCATACTGTTCTACATACATTTCTTAGTGTGTTTACAAGGAGAATTTGTGTGACTTCTTTAGTTGGTGATCATTTCCTTTATTCTTATTACCTCTGTGAGTGATTCAGGGGTGATATTGTAAGGAACAAAATTAAATGCTATTCATTCCTATGATTAACCATATAGACCTCAGAATGCCCTAATTGCTCTCCTCGTCTCGTGCGCGCTTTCCGTTCTCCTTAAGTGCCCATGGTAAGTTTAGCTTACTATTTGAATGTTTGAGGTGACTGTGTGTTTCTCTTCAATTAATTTTATAACTTATTTTTTTCCCTTTTGTGCAGACGTTGATGAATGTTCGATCAGTAATGGTGGCTGCAGCCATCATTGTTACAATATCCCTGGATCATTTTATTGCGGCTGTCCGGAAGGAACCAGTATGGGTGCTAACAATTTGACTTGTGTTGGTAAGGAATGCTAAACTAAACTTTCTGCATATGACTACTGAGGGAAAATTCTGCCTTTGTTAAGAATGGGGATAAACAACGATCAACAACGAAAGACGGCTGATCGTTCCTGTAATGCAAGTATATTTTTTCGGGAAAAATAAGATTTTTTTATCCAATGCAACAGCGGGCTTGACAAGATTTCAGCAGCACTAATATGTCTCAGGACTTTATTTTGTTATCCCTCCTGTCCAAAAGATACACATGTGTTCGCCCATTTGAAAGGAAAGCAGAAAAACATTGTGGATGCATGGTACTTTTTTGTGAATTAACCATCTCAAAGTTATTATGGATAACGCACGAGTAGTTGGGACACATTTGAATCCTGCTAAATTTAAGGCTATTGCTTTTTAATTTCATCTTAGAACCTGGTGTCTCTGTTAACTGCAGTGACATTATAACGGTTGCCTTAGAAAAGAAGACATTTCCATTTTTTGACGTTGCCCGACTACACTTGAGGTACTCCTCGTGTAAAGCCACACAGAATGACACCCATCTGCTGATCAGCACTCCTTTGAATGGTTGCGGAACACTGTTGAACGATACTGAAGATGATCTTATCTTCTGGAATGAAATCCGAACATCGGTGGTCGTTATCGACAATGTCATAACTAGATCACATGACGTCAAAATTCCATTTTATTGTAGTTATTCGAGAAGAAAATGGGTCAACCTGGGTTTCAAGCCTCAGCATCTACACTTTGGAACAGAAGGTAAATGAAACTTTCCAGCTCTTGTTCTGATCACTCCAAATCAGCAACATGCATTTTCAGCTTAGGTACTTTCCTCCTCAGGAAGATGCCATCCTTTTATGTCTACAGTGGAATGAAGATTTGTTTCAATTTATCACGTTTACGTGCTAAATGACTTTATCTTTTTCCGCTTTCCAGCTGGATATGGAAACTTTACCTTTAAAATTGACTTTTACAAGAGTTCGTCATTTGCCACACCCTATACTGAGCAGGACTACCCCCTGAGTGTGGCTGTCAATCAGTACTTGTATGTGAAATACAGTGTAGAATCCAGTGCTGATCTGGTGATAATGGCCGTGACATGTAGGGCCACTAAAACTGGAAGCTTGTACTCCTGGCCACAATACTCTATTATACTGAACGGGTATGTATGTTACTCGAACATATTACTATTTCATATCACCTAGATTTCTTTCTATATATATGACATCTATATGCTTTAAAGTTTTGTAGTCCCCTGTGCTGCGAATGCTTAATTCTTGATGCAAAGTATGGAGGCGGTCGGCGTTACTAAAGGACAACTTCGAACGTTTTACTGATTCTAAGGAGTAATGAACGGATGGACTTGGACCATATAGGCCATCATCACATCACGTTTCTGGGGAAAGGCGTTATATCACAAAAACGAAATCCTTTTCACATTTCCTTACCAAATATTCCAGCTTTTGAAAGCTATAATTACCCAGAATATTCTTAAGGAAGTTTTCTAGTGGCAGCGTGAATTAGAAAGAAACAGACTGAAGTGACAATGAGCAAAATGTTCTACATGCGCGCATGAATTTCAACTTATTTCTTACTTTCACTACCAACAGATGTCCGCAAGATACCAGCATGGAATACAACTTTGATCCCCAAAGGAATTACCAGCAGTTTAAAATCAGAGCATTCAGATTCTTTAAGGACTACGATCAGGTGTACATTCACTGCGAAGTTTTGGCCTGTCATAAATACTCTCCAAACTCCAGGTGAGTTAACTAACTCGTACAGAAACACTGTAGGCAAGGTGATGCCGAATAAACATCTATCACTGACGAATATCACAGCCACGATTGAGAAATTTGAGTGCAATATGATTTCATCACTCACAATATAACAAAGGCGTTCGAAGCTCATTCAAATCTTCCTCAACAACTTTGACAGGTGCACCCGAAGTTGTTTGGGAAGTAAGAATAGAAAGCGGAGGGATGTTACCCGTGACGAAACAGAACATGAAGAGAGTACTACCAAAGTCACTCTGACACGAGGACCACTAATATTTCAACAGGACGAAGAACCAGGAGGCAAGTTCACATATAATGTGAAAAATAAGGGATTGAAATAGATAAAGTTTTCTCAAATACTGCAGAGCTTGTGTAAGACATGCCAACAACGCCGGCTGTCTTGCCTAAATTTCAAATTGGGTAGTTTGTCACTGGTTCAAAAATGATAATGATGATGAGGAAAACTTTCAAAACACAGCTTAAAAAAAGAAAGTTAGGTCCTAATATGTAACTCGCATTTTCATTTTTTCTATTGTCAAAAATAAAAATATGAGTATTAAAGGACTAGGAAATAGGTAAACTAAGGCGATTTTAAATCAAGTTAACAGTTGATTTTAGTTTCTTGCTTATAAATATTAAGTTATTTTCTTCTCTCTTTTCCACAACTAATTTCATTAACAGAAATAAGGCAAATTAGACTGAGCTATTCGTTTAATTTCAAATGTTTCTCTTTCTTCGGTCCTCGCTTGAGCTTTGATTCCTCCCCTGCATTCAAATTTCAGACACAGGTCAAAACAAGCAAACTGCGCTGATTGGTGGCGTAGCAGGCGCTGGAGGATTTGCTCTAGTTGCAGTTGCTGCATTGGCTGTTTTATTTGTCAAGTACCGCATGGCACGACGGTTCATGAACAGAAACAAGGTTGGAGACCAGTACGCAACCCAAGATGAACAACTAAGCAGAAGAAATGCTTACGTTCAGCCTGAAGACATGGTCGAACAAGAAGACTCCTTCTAAATATAAGCTTTTTTCAGGGCTCACTTGCTCAAAGGACAGATAACGCTGTCCGACGGATAAATCACTAACCATTGGAGAAAAGTGTATAAACCGTACTGCGCTATCCACTGGATAGGGATTTATCCAATAAGAAAGCGTTATCCACCCTTTGAACAACCGAAGCCTGCATTGTTTACTTATCTCCTTATCAAGCAGCAAATACAAATGTTGTTCAAGAAATTTCTCATGGCAGTTACGAGGTTTGAGTGTTTTTATTGCAACCTCTGATAAAAATAAACATTCTCATCTAACTCCTGGGCAATTTAGCCTGAGCTTACGTAACTCTTTTGTTAACTTACACCTTTAAAGTGTGCAGTCTCTTACAGACTGCAGGCCTTACTTTGTATAGATCACTTTTAATTATATATAGAGAGAATGTTTTTAAGAATATCTAAGCCAAAACTGTATAGATCTTTGAGCTGTACCTTAATTTAAGAACCTTTCACTGTTGAAAGGCAATTTTTAGAAAGCAAACAAAATTGAATGGGGGAAGTTCTTTTTAACCAAGCTGGTTATCATTTCTCATTTTCAAACCTGCCTTTTCATTCGCATTTTTGTGTTCATTAGTTTTAGTCGCTTTAAAATATCGAAAAAATTAAATGAGTGCACTTTACCTACTGACTCTCGAGTGTTACTAAAAGCTAAAATAAGTCAACACAGAGACAATGTTTCAACCACTTTGAAAGAATCCCAAAGATGGAAAGAACACACTGATCCACGTTGAACAGGTAAGGTCAGTAGCTGTTATTCGAAATGCCGTCTTACTATCCGAATCCTTCCCATCGTGTCTATTGTGAGCGGAAGTTAGCTTCTGAGAGTGTGGATAAAACAGTACTATTTTGACGGTAGACGGCGAAATCTTAGACCTTTGAAGGTTCAAGAATCAGAATAACAAAGAGAAACGAAGAGACTTAGCCTTTGTTCTTCATTAAAGTCAACAATTTGGCGAATATTCAAAGAAACCAAATTTTTAACTTACATCAAAAATTTAGCGCGTAAACTGTGCCCCCTAGAGTGCTCAATTACTTAAAAAAAAATCATTTCCATTTTCCTTTTTGCCAGGCACTCACCTCGCTCTGGTAAAATTTCCCGGATACCCTGTGAGGATCAATATCAGTATCTGGGCAACTGCCCACCTACCCCTCCCCTAACTCAACAACAGTCAATTGATAACAAGTTAGGGTTAATGTTGGATTAAGGGAGGGGTAGATAGGTAGTTGCCCAGATACTGATATTGATCCCCCTGTGATTGATCTACTTTTTAGTGCACGTGTCACGCAATCGGGTGACGCTTCCGCTTCCAAAGGCCTAGCGAGTTTTCAATTAATTTCGGGGTTATAGTCGATATCACTTTGTCATTCACGTCTTCGAGACCAAAGATTGAATCCTGGATTGAAGCTGTTCCGATTCTTTTGCCTTTGATTTTACCTTCGTTTGGCAGTGAAGGTGATGTTCTAAATCGGGGTGGAAGCTGAATAATGAATAATTAATAACGGGTTTTAAAACTTAATAATAAACAATTGGGTTTGGAAACCTCGGAATAATAAATAACGTAATCATACCAATGGAATAGTAAATGCCACTTTCTTATTCGATTGTCTTGGTTATGTATTTTCTGATATATCTTCAGTAGCTTTTTTTTTCAAGTGAAATCAACAATGTACGGAGTAAAACTACAAGAGACGCAAAAAGTCTCCCGGCGAAAACTTCCGGCCGGAAGTGTTTCGAGTTGTACGACAACTTCACAGCTTGACAGATATTCTGTCAAATGTCTGTTATGGCATCGTTTGACGTTTGATTCGCGTGGAAGTTGCTTGGTGGTTATCGTTGTCGAGGCTGTGTCTGATCGGTTTTCGCAAGGGGTAATGCTTTGGATATGGTGAACATTTTCCCTCGGCAAACTTTCCTGGTCACCTGAAAGACGGCGCCGTTGAAGGCATACCAAACAGATTTTGAGATCGATTTGTGATACGATGATAACGATAATGAATAGTGCATCAGAAACTTCGAATAAACTTCTTCATGACATGAGTACAAATTTTTCTTTCTCCCTATCCAGGTCGCGATCACCGAAAAGACGCCGGAAGGATAAATCGAGGTACAGATTTATATGCTATATGCGTATTTCGACGAAATAATCGGAGAATTCCAGTAAGACATTTCCTTGCATCATGATCATAAAGTGGCGCCCATCGCCATTGAGAAACTACTACGTCCACATCAAGTAAAGCAGTTCCCTTGTAAAACGATTATGATCGAGTAATAGTAAAAGAAATTTGGGGAAATTGATTTTGAAGGATGTTATTTCTTAGATTAGCACCAAAATTTCATAGTAACTTATTTGCAGACTACTTTAATTTTGTTTTGTCCTTTCCAAAATCTCGCACGTCCCTGCTGGGAATAGACAACTAACCGACTTGACCTTTCGCTTGTGCTTTATCATATCGATTCGAAGTCCTGTCTTTAATGACAACTATTTGAAAAAAGTTCAAGGTGTGATTGTTATGAAGATGTCGATAAGCTTCTCCAATCAAAAACACCAATATGATGATACCGCATGATCCAAGTATTACAATCTACGTGCAAGTATGAATTCGTCAATTAGAAAGCATCGTGCGCCGGTTGTCCTCATCAGCTCATAAGAAGCTTTCGTTGTTCTAGGCTCACAGTATTTCACTTTCTGTTAGAAACGGCTAGTTCTTTTCTATTTCATTATTAATTCGTTTACCTTTACTATTCATCAATATTCGCCACTATCCGTCACTTTTCGCCACTATCCGTCACTATTTGTCACTATTCGTCACTATTCGTCACTATTCGCACTATTCGGGCCCTTATGTTCGGCTCGTTTACGCTTTGCTAAAAGGAAACGAAAAAGATCGTTACTCAGGCTAAGGTTTTGGCAGAGCTGCATGCGATAAAGATAGCATGCTCATTTTTACAAAAAATATCGTTTTCTCTGAGGCTTACCGAGACGATAGGAACTCACCGTACACCATTATACAGGGTCGTAACGAGGTATATTTTTTCGTCGCTGATCCCGTATTTTTACGCAAATTTTTAATCCCTGATCCCAAAAGTGATGAAAATTTTGATCCCTGATCCCACAAAATCTAGACGCCTGATCCTTGAGCCCATGGAAAACACGCTGATCCCGATCCCGAGGGCTTTGATCCCGGATCCGAGGCTGTGATCCCTGATCCCACCCTTTTTTAGGCCTTTGATCCCTGATCCCATATACCTCGTTACGACCCTGATTATAGACCGCGTGCGTACTGACGAGATTATTACTGATGCTTGCGGTTGAGATCTTACAAGCTCTCTCAAGAGGAAGCGGATAGAATTGAACGACTGTTGAAAGGTGGCGATAATAGTGACATCGACTCTGACGACGAACTCGTCGAAAATGAAGAAGTGTCCGATGAGGATTCGTTTGTGATGAACCTCCCAAACATGTATTTGTCAGCACCAGGTCGCGGCTTTCATCAACACGCTTACAGCTGTTTTGATATGTAACTAGACATGTTGAGGAAACTCCTTGCTAGTTGAAAATCGGTAGACCAGATAAATGGGCTTCCTCGCGTATTTCTTATCAGTAATTATGGACTCTTAAAATGAAACTGGAAATGTAGCAATCACATTGCCGAAATCACGGGAACTTAATGAACAAGGAAATTCTAAAACTTTGTAATTTTCAAGTTCGTTCTCATTGATATCAACAAGACTAACATTGGTCTGGCGTTTGTTAAGTTTATGTTCGACAACAGTCCGCTTTGATCTCCTCTTGGTTTTAACAACTCCGTCTTATTTCTTCGGCTTTTACCTTTGTTCTGACGTTCTTTTGATGTTTTGAGATGTTGTTGAAATGTTTCAGTGGATTTGTAACCTGCTCGTGATTGTTACTTTACTTCGAATTGCGTGACTAAACCCATTTTACCAGTCAATATAGGCATCATAGTTATTTTTTTGTCGTCTTTTGACAGATTTTGCAATCTAGGTGCTTGCAGGTTTGGGCTCGACCCCAAGTTTACAAAACCAGTTACTGATACTACATTTGGAGCTACCTAATTCCATCAAGAATGTCAGAAAGAGAAAATTTATTTAGTATCTTGTAATGGACAGTCTTCCTTTAACTTTAGTATCAGCTTGGGGCAGTCGGTAAAGCTATAAACGAGTAAACACAAACACAATCATTGTGCTTGTTAATAGTGATAAGTCTTTTTCTTTTAACCTACAAAGTCTCACTTCATCATGTAAAAGCTCAATACAGACGTTTTTTTTTAACTTTTGCCTATTTTGTGATTTTTCCAAATATCATTCGAGTTATGTTTTTATAGATTTGTCACCGATAACTGGAGCGAGAAAGGCATGTGCGACGATGGAGTTGCTTGCGGAAGAGACTAGTTGCCGTTAAAGCGAATATTAAATTGTGATAATAATAACCATAGCGCCGAAAAATATAACATCAGCTTAGTTTGAAAAAAAGATCGCCGTGTGTAGCACGGTGTGGCAGTAGCATGAAGTATGATGCGACAGTGTGATACTTATAATCAAATGTATAATCATGAATCAAACGTGAAATCGAGTCTAACAAGGAAAAATCCTGCTTACGTTCAAGGAATAGGGAAGAATGAATACCAAACAAAATTTAAAAAAGAATAATGAATAATTCGAAAAAAAAACGAAGAATAATGAATAATCGAGGTACCATTACTCAGCTTCCACCTCCGATTCTAAACGTTCGATTACTTTCCGGTGATTTCTGGCAAAGCAAATCATTTGTACTCAATCAATATTAAGGATGTCTTAATAGTACTTTTGGTCGTAAGAACGCGACTATCAGGGATCAATGTTCTATTAAGTATATTTTCTTAAGATCGTATGGAAAGTTTAAAATGTGCTTCACTTGCTCATACACAGATTTATCGTTCTTAGTTACTGATGAAATTCCGAGGGTGTGACTCAATTAATTCAAAAGAAAATATCCAAGTAGGTCAAAGTCAAATTACCGTGTCCGACTTAATGTAAACATGAACATCGCTGACTAAATCTCATTATATTTCAATTTTGGGAAAGGCCATTACTTTGTTCTTAGGGTAAAACAACACATCTTCGACAAAGCGCGATATTGTTAAATGACTAAAGTAAACCCTGCGATAGTTTAGTGAAGAGAGAATGATAGAAACTTGCTCTCGCCGTTCGCTATGTATATGTAATCACATGAGGCCAAGTACTATTAAGGATTAATTGCACTTGAGTTTTCAAAATTTTCCAAAATTGCCCGAGTCGCGAAGCGACGAGGGCAATTTGGAAAATTTTGAAAACTCAAGTGCAATTAATCCTTAATAGTACGAGGTCTCATGGGATTACTTGTTTATCAATAAAGGGCAAAATTTATACGAAGGAAAATCACGCGCGCAGTCTATTTTTATCTGGGAAGCCTGTTTAGCGCTACGGCAAATCATCAATCAAATTGAACTGACCAATCGATTCAATGAAATTTTATTCTCCAAAACTGTGTCGTGATACACTGCCAAAAGTCTAGAAAACAAAGCTCATTTCAACAGAGCGTTTCTGCCAACAGAAAAACAACAAAGTGCTTTTAACTGAACAAGGTAATCATGCCCTCTCTTGATTACTAAAAATGCCCTCGATTAAGAAAAAAAATGCCCTCTCTCTCAACTAATCAGCGCTCAGTAATTTTGCCCTTTATTGATAATATTTGAAAACTTTCCAGACAAAACATACTCCGTAAAACAACTTCTTTTCCCATAACACCACGGCTGTATTAAACATTCCAAAGATAGGACAAGAAATAGCTTGAAAAATACGAACACTTTAAATGTTATTCGAGCAATGAACCGGCGCGAAGGTTTTAAAGCAATGAATGCCAAAGCCGTTGTTTTCCCGAAACGTGATTTGAATTATAAACTGAAGCTAGTATCAAACGACGATTGGTTTGAATTTTTCCGGGCCTTAGCGTAAGAGAAAACCCAGATAAGACACGACCTACTTCCTCTTCTTTCTTGGATTCTTTGTAGTTCGCTTCTTTTCGTTGATGACCTGTTTCAGTCTGTTTTCTGGTGCTTTCTGTATTTCCTTCTCACTTTGCTCTTCGCTAGACATTGCGAGCTCTGCCAATAAGGCAAGGAGACCTCAACAAACCAATGTGCTTGTGCGAGAGGCCACCTTAATTACTTACCACAGCTCAACCATCTTTCCCATTTCATTTATTCATGCATGACTATCATGTCTCCAAATAAATGCTCATATTCAGAAAGGCAAAGTAACCTCACCTTCAGGTTTGAAATCTAAAGAAGCTTTGCATATGCGACACTTCTAACCTCCTACTCTGTGCATGTGACTCTCAGTGACGATATGTATCTAGTATAGGTATAGTGTGGAGTCCAGTGCTGACCTGGTGGTAATGGCACTTAACTGCAAGGCTACCAATGGTTCAGGTTTTCATTCATAGTCAGAATGCAGAATTATTCAGGATGGGTAGGTAAAATTCAAAGCAGCTTACATGGTTTTAAAAAACCAAATACTAAAAAGTAGGAACTATTACAACTTTTTGGATGTTCCAGGAATGGATTACCTCATGTGTAAAACAGTACTTAATCCTTTAACTCCCATGAGAGATCAAGACATGATTTTTCCTCACCATGTCAATACAATATCAAGCCAACAAGTAATAAGAATGAAGAAAAATATCAACAAGAGGATTATTAGTTGATCCAATACCAAATTCTCTTAATTAAGCTTAGAATGTATTGATACCTTCCCCTTTTTGGGCTTATCATATGCTCTTACTGAATTCAATAGTACCAAAAAATGGAGAACATATGGGAACAGGTATGAGGCAAGGGGAGGGTGTCTCCATGAAAAGATATATCTCTTGCACTGAAATGAAGGTTTTATACATTTTACAATCTTGATGTACCCGGTTTAGGTACATAAATGAATCACCAATTAACAGTTGATTCTGTGGCTTAATCAGTACTTGTAGCATTTCAGAGTCGAGTTCAAATGATCGATTCTACTGCGCTTGTAATCATTAAGCATCCTAGGTAGGTAGCACGCTTTACCTTGATGGCTTATTACATGTCACAGTTTTGTTGCCCGTGGTAAAAAGACGCGGAATGCAGTACTTGCATATTATGACTCGACCGACGGAAAATTTCATATTATCTGTTACAAATTAAAGTATCTCTGGGTAAACTGATGCAAATGACCTTCTAATCAATTCGCGCCAAATTTTTATTGAAGAAGGTTAGTACACAGTGTTCGTTTTCTTCTTATCGGCGTCATCTACGAAGAGAAATGAGTGTTGTTACTGTATTATTGACATTTTGTCCCGGAGGCGGTTACTTAACATTTATTCAAGACCAGATTTTCCTGGCAACCAATGTTTATCTATTATCTTAAAGAACCTTTATAATACCTAAAATTTAATATACCAAGATAGAAGGGAAGAGGAAGACGAAGAAGGAAACCCAAAGTCTGCATGTAGGAAACTAGCGTCGAATGGACAGAAAGCTCGAGAAATGAAATAAATGTTTGAAAAGGTTTTAGAAAAAGCAATTCAATGAGTCAGCTAAGTAATGGCGAAACTATTATCAGTACCATGAAATCACTCGGTTGAAAAATGATGCAAAGGGGGTTTTCATGTTTGCTATTTCTGTTTGCTACCCTGAGTCTGCACTCAGCTTGAAAATAAGTTAAGATCGCACGGGAGAGTGCATGGCTGTCGATATTTAGGAAGACGCCTTCAACGTAATGGAAGTCAATTATATTTAGTAGGTTTAGTGGTAAAGTATTGTTTTCAGGACAATAAGGGAAATATCAGGTTAAAAGTCAAGTTTGAAACGCTGTTTAGTGTTTATAAAAATACTTACTGAATCAACAACACAAAGGTAATCAATTATCTTCAAGAAAGCTGTTTGTCAAGACCAATCAGCTGTGTCCATTCCCAGACTTGTAAAGTACTCTATAACTTAGCAGCACTGATCATGTACCCTCCACAATCACATCGAAAAGACTACACTGCGAAAATAGCTTCAATGCAACTGAAGTTGAAGAGTACTGAAATACGAAATGTTTGACTAAAAAGTAAAATAAATTTAAACGAACTTTTAAGGATTGTTCTGCATTGTACGTTGGGTACATGTGATGTTTTCCATAAAGAGTCTCATTCTCCTAAATTAACCAAGAAAATTTGCAAAGTAGTTGGCGATACTCTTTAATGTTGTATCAAGTTTAAATGTTTATGTATCATGACGACTTGATATGAAGATATGGAGGTATGAAGGTGAAAAGATATGAAGATATGGATGTGAACAGTGGAAAATGCAGAGAACGCAGCGGATTAAAGTCACTTTGCATAGCAAGGTCAAAATTTATTAAATCAAAAAGCACACAATTTGCATGTCTCATTACAACTGCCTGACTGTGCGAGTTTATCTTAAGTCTTTAACTTTCTAGAAGTGGGGTCTTAAAACAGCTCATTAGAATCGTGATAAGTAGTACGAAAAAAAGTCTAAGGTGAGGAGCCACGGTCTGATGGTTTAGACTTACACTTAGTGATTGCATTAGTTTTCTCGACCGAGCTATGCATTGCTAGGGACCCTTTTTCCCTTGAATTCCCCACTCCGATGCCTATCTTTAGAAAAAGCGTTGGACATGACTCAATAAAAATGTTTAATTACAGCGGGCGCTCGTCTCAAGTAGATGCATTGTCTTGCAGTATACACCAGGTGCAGTTGGTTTTTCATATTCCAAAAACACAAATTTTAGGGAACAAGCTAGCTATATGATTTATAGGATTTCAAGGCGAAATATGACGGTTACAAAACCCTTGACTTATGCATAGCTGAAATTAAAACGTGCTTCCTGAAGCTAATTAATATGAATTTTCGAACTAGAGCAACAATGTTCTCACGCACCAGGCATGTAATTGATGCCCACGCCATTAGGAGAAAAGAAGTGATTGCTATGGATGTGCACCAAACTACCTTTAATGTATTCTCTTGGGTTGTGAAATATACATATCACAAGCTTTCTCTTCACTCATGTTGGAACAGAAGTAAAATATGAGTTTTAATAACCACGTAATGTGTTGTTATGCAAGAAATGACTCAGCTCGGTAGTTACTAGACCTACTCTAAGTTTTCATGCTAAGGTAACTGAATTCACTCAAAGTACTGAAGTAATTAATAAGCCCACGTTTCATAAGTGATTTCTTAGCTTGTGCCTTAAACTACTATACTTTAATAATATGACAAAACATTAAATGAATAAACAATTGCATCCCTACTTTATCAAGAAAAGGTAATGTATGTATTGAATGGTTTCGAGGCCTTTGATTACCTTGGATACGCCCGAGTAATCTTAATCGACATGATTTAACTTAGACTCATGCCTAGCGCGCCTAGTGAAATTGATTTCGCAATTATGTAAAAGTTTTCTTTTGGAGTGGTTCAATTGAAACGGAAGGCTACCCAAGATGACACCTTATGCGTTCACGCGCCTTCTTTGCTTACTGGTGTTCGTGCAGTGGTTGCTTTTAGTAGAAGGGTCTCACTTCAGACATGCCGTCATGAGCTTTGTTCCGACTGATGCTGATAACAACACGGTATGGTCCTTAATTGCACGCTACTGAGCTAATTTCAGAGATTTGTCGTCTACCTGTTTTTGCATGTCGTATATAAAACCTTGGTGGTACAAGTTGAAGTTCGATTGCCTTTGTATTCTTCAGTTTGTAAATGAGACATTGCAAACGCATAATTGCAAATGAATGTTTTCTCCGAAGCATTTACTGAGGTGAGGTGAAGAAATTTCACCACAGGCATAAAAAGACAGCCTGCTCAGAGAGACTGGCTGTCGCCTTGTTTCGACCCGCTAAGACCTACTAAGACCTTGAAACTTAAGGCCCCGGAAATCTTGTTCTTCAGATTTTAAGAACTCGTGGGAACACGTCACCAAACAGTACAGTAAACTTTTGTTTGTTAAGAGACCAAACTATACATCAAAGCATATTAAAAAGTAAAGCACACTACAGAAAAGCATATTCCTCTTCTCCGTGTGGCGGTATTTACCTTTCTAGTCATTTACCTTTCTAGTAATCCTCCGTTTAATGCTGAAGAAGGCATGCCCCAGGTCGGAACATTTAACAAAGCTGACTCCAGGTTATCAATAGACAATTTTGGGCTTTATATATTTTGTTATTGAAGGAAATTTGCTTCCTGCATTGAGTCCAACCCTGCTCTTTTTCACTGTATCTGCTTGAATTACATATAAGTGTTTTTTTCTTTTACTTTTACTTTTTTAAGCACGATATACTCAACTAAGAAGGAATCACGCTATATCTTATCTGACGCAACCAACTGTGGCCATTTCTTGGAAAGACTGCGGTTTTTGTAATCATTTATTCAGATTCACAATTTACTTCCAGACGCTGAAGCGTCTTAAACTTCATCCGCTCACTTTTGGTTAACATTCCAGTTTTTTCGTTTTAGCGGTTGAATTTTGTTTTTTACCGTAGGCACTGATTTCAAACTTTCAACAACAAAGAGTCTGACGAGGGTAACTGTGTTTAGTTACTCAAATATGTGTATATGAAGCACAATGAAGGACTGTCTTTTGAGGAAAGTCATTTAACCGGAAGGGTATTTGAAGAATGAAACCGCCCCCTTCATCAAAATGCAGCGATGACGCAAATTCACTAACACTTTCCGTTGTCAGAAAAGAAAACATATAACAATTGCTATAGAGTTAGAATAATGAGACATCTTCAGAAAATTTTTACAGGGACTAACGGCTACAGAAACCTCCACGATATGGAGAAGGAAATACAAGGTTGCCTTCTTGAACCTGACTGCTTCACCCACGGGTTTAGTGGCAGTTAAAGATGTCTGTTTGGCATGGCTATATAAGGGAAATACTGTTCCTTAATTTTTTTCATGCGTTACGCCCCATCGATATCGCTATTTTTTTTTTAAACTTGACAGTGGGATATGATCATCTAACATGATAAAGCCATTTTGAAATATAGTTAGGGTAAAATATTTTCCATTTACGTGTGCATGTGATTCTATAAAATTTAATTGTACTCTTAAAGGTCTTAGAGAAGACCGAAACTTTGTGTAATATCTTTTTCTTTACTTTCCAGGTACGGTTTACCTTCCGTCTGGCTCTTCGAAGGTCATTTAATTCATATTACTGTGATGAGAACACAATTAACGTAGGAGGAATTATTGGATCTGGAGGTTCTTGGAAAGCTAAGTGCAGCGATCCTTTCAGTGCAGTGTGTTCACTGAGCTATTATGTCGCGGACACTCGCTTTCGTTGTACTGACTTTAGTCGCAATGAAGACTGGTCAATGGGGGAAAATAACTTCACCTACACTTTTCCGTCTGGCAATCTGGAGTGGAATGTGAGGTGGGTCAATATGTGAGTTAAGAGAAAAAGAAACTCGTGAAAACTGACTTTTTAAGAATGTATCACTTTTAAGGCAGCACAAAGCCCCGAACAAGCAAGAGCCGTTTCTAATGACCAAAACTATCTTTCAACATTGGGGTGGTCTTTCAATGTTGTAACGGCTGAAGGCCATCACCAAGTAGTAGTTATGACCCGAAATTCTCTTCTTCTTTCCATCGCTTCAATACTCAGTCACTCGATTACTCCTTTCTTCCATTCCAGTTAACTTTTTGGTAAGTGCGCTGGCTCGCGTTTAAGGCTTTCACATGTTCACGTTCATTGATGTGGTGCCGCCTATCTTCCCAAATTAAGATAACTTTTCGCAGTCTCAGTGTTTTTAAAAAATATCCCTTTCTTGTCTTGTCGACAGATACCAAAGTTGCTGTTGGATTTCCAATCTTGTGCGATATTCTGATTCACCGTGGTCGGTATCTACCAAAATAAGTCTCTATAGACGATCTGATAGCGGCAAAATCAACTCATCCCCAGTCTCCAAAAGCCCAGCTATTGTACGGTTTAGACAGGGCTGTCAGAAGTCACTTACAATTCCAGTTGAAGATCCAGATGGCGATTTTGTGAAATGTCGTTGGGCAACTAGCGCCGAGTCTTCCATACCAAGTGATAGTTTTCCATACGGTGAACTTGATGAGGTATATTTATACACTCTATATTATGTTTTTCCCCTGTTTTATAAAAACATGAGATCATTTAAAGCCTTGTAAATTAGGATGATGAAAAAAAAACCCTGGATTCAGATTGGGTCAGTATACAAAGCAGTCATTGAGGTGCGGCTTCAAAACGTTAGTAAACAGTAAGTATTCAAGGTTACAAGTTTAGAGCATCTGAGTTTGCCTTTAATCCTGGTGAGATCTTAACATAGCACTTAGAGGTAGGATAATCTTAACTGCTCGATGTATCTAGTAAAGGTGTTCTTTCTTACTTCGCTTTGCAGAAAAACTGCATTTTAGCTTACAGAGGTGGACTTGGAGCATCGGGCACATACGTAGTAACCTTAACTTTGGAAGACTTTCCAGCTGGAACCACCAACTTCAATAACATCAGACCATTCAGTGCTGTGCCACTGCAGTTTCTTGTCATAATAGGAGTTGGGTCTGGTTCTTGCCAGGACACACCTGTTTTCACTGCTTCCACACCTCAAAATGGTGAATGCTCAGAGATTCAGATTGGGTCAGTATACAAAGCAGTCATTGAGGTGCGGCTTCCAAACGTTAGTAAACAGTAAGTATTTAAGGTTACAAGTTTAGAACATCTGAGTTTGCCTTTTACATCCATGAACTGTTTATACTAAAACATATCCAAAGGTACATTATTTGTCATGTTATGATCGCTGTTAACCTAGACTCTTTTCTTAATGTTCTAAGTATTGTCGAGATAACCACAAGCTCTCCACTTGGAATGCAACTGACACCATTAAACTTCCGTGGAGGCATCTTCTTCAGGAATGTCACGTGGTATCCGAGTCAGAACCAAGTTGGGCAGCAGTTGTTCTGCTTTCAAGCTTTGGATTCAGACGGGTAAGATGGTCTCTCTCGTATGTTGTAAAAAATTTTGTACCTGGAATTAGGATTGTGATGAACTAAACTTAGATCGATTTTTTTTTCAAATTTTAAAAAGAATTAATGATCATTGTTCACGATAAAGTATAACGCTATTGGTGTTTCATTGGAATGTTAGATGTTTATGTCTGCAGTATTCTTAACTAAAAATGCACCAGAGCAACATTATGCTAATACAACGTACATGTGCTATAGTACCGGTACGAGCAAAAACAGTTATGTGCCAATTTAAAAATAAAATGTAAAAATAACGATTAATATAATCTATGTTAATAATAAAAAGGCAATGATCACCATAACATTACAATAAACAAAAATTATCATAAAAGCATATCCATTGAGTCAGTTAGTGATTCATCTACGATTGAATTACGATGTACCATTTAGTTATTAATTCAATATATATACACTTATTTTTAGGTAATACACCTCATGTTCTTTTGGGTACACGAAGGCCAATTAGTCCCATAAGTGAGATTGGGACAGGACTAACATGGTGGAGTATTCATTTTAACAGAGTGGTAATTAACCCTCTATTCTTTACCTTTCAAAGAGTAACTTGTATTTAGGCCCATATTAGTATTTTGATAAATTTCACGCCTTCAAGGGATACCAGTCACGTTAATTAATGACGAGGGAATATTATCCCGATATAACACCAGATTCCCGTTACCAGGAAACAATTAAAAACAAATTTACAGTCATCTTTTGGAAGAACTAGCTTTCAGACCTTGGGAATTCAAAAGGTTAGGGAAACATATATAAATAAAGTAGAATATACTTGAATTGACGATTGAGGCTGATTTTTTGCAGATAAAGAAGCCTAGAAGCTCAGCATTCATCCGATTGGTTCTGCAGTCAAATGGTTTTACCGTCTTCAAAGTGAATGCCCTCTCTGGTTACGTTATTATTGACAGTAACCGCACAGTACTGCATTTTGCCACTCCTAAGGCTGCACTGAGCATGAATGGTTCATATGCAATCTTGATAGATCCCGGTGCAGTAGTTGGGCAGGGCTGCTCGAATGATGGTCCACCAACACCTGGTATAACCTCACCCATAGACTGGGCCTTCCCCGTAGATGGTGTCTGCCCTCTTGGTTATGCTCTGGTTTCTCCAAGTTTTCAAAAGTGTGAGGGTACGTCCGGTGTTGTAGTATTTAGTGAACAAGTACCCGATATCTTTGCCCTACATTGGTCCGGTATGGGTTATGAGGGTGCATCAACCATGCTCCAATCTCAACCGATGCAGTAAAAGCCATCTGTTAATAGGACAAACTTTAGAACAAGGCCTTTAAATATATAGTGAGAATGATTGTTTTCGGCCTAAATGGGTTTTGTTAGAATTTTCTTGAAATTCTTACGTGCATGAAGGATAGGCTGTTGGAATTGACTTAATGAAATAAGTGCTACCCCTTTCCGGACGACTTTTTAGAATGAAATTGCTCTCCATTATGATGATCATCGTGTGATATCCTAATTTTTAAAGTCGCAAAACTCAGTCTCGATGTTCACTTTTAATATTCCACCATTCTTTGCGCAGAAATTCTGATATCTGCTGTTTGAGTGTGAAAAATAGATAAAAAACAAACATTTAATGAGATCAAGAAGTGCTTCAAAATAGAAATTATATTAGTTCAAATAGTGTAAACCATTTCAATATTTTAAATGTAAGCATAAACTCAAGTTTAGATGTATTTTTTTTAAAGAGAGTCTATCCATATGAAAATTTCTTTTCTGTTTGTAGATATAGACGAATGCGGCGGACATCATCGATCAAAACGTTCTTATTGGTGGTTCAACGTGTTTTCCCAAAATTCGGGTATATAAATCTACTGGTACCATAATTTTTGTGATGCTTCCTCACGCTAATCATAATAGTAATGGAAAATAAGGCCTCTCGCATAATGTTTCGATTATCATTCATTTATGTGGATCATCAGAAGAAGCGGACTTACCATGTCAGTTCTAGGAACATGATCTATCTTAAAATCGTGACTGAGTCGAAAACAAAATTTTATCTGTACATGCGCAAAACTAGATCATCATCCTCTTCCAGTAGAACCTGGCATACTGCTGCAGTGGTTTCTAAGGAGCTGATTTCTCGGAATTCCTCTTTTAGGGGCTGGTGTGAAATGGTTCTCCATTCGTTTGTCTTTGACCTCCTCTTCAAATCCGCCAAAGATAGCCCAGAGCAAAGTTTTTTTGTCATCTTTTCGCTAAGTTTACATGCTCATCTGTTCCCCTTTTCCCTCCTCCTTTCCACCCTTCTACCTTCACAAATACCAAATTGACGAACAGAACGACCATAGTCATATTTTTCTTTTCTTGTTTTCATGAAACTAAGTAGTTGAGTGCGGATTAAAGTTTACTGGTTTTCGGATCGTTAGCACGATGTGCAACTTCTCAATTCTGTATTCTCTCGATGATCTTCACATTCCAAAAATTTACTATTATTGTACACTCCCCGGCAAAACGACTAAAAATCACACAATTTCAGTTTCATCATTTCCTTTGTTTCAGTTTGGATCTCTCTGAAACTCATTGTCATGGTCAATATAGCTAAAGACTTCGACAGAATTTAGAACCTTGACTTTACAGAGGGTCTCGATGGGGATAACCGATAGCTGTAAAACGGCCTAAAAAAATGTACCCGTTAGGTGTAAAAATTGACAGATTTTAACCGTTAGTCGTAAACAATGTTCACCATTAAAAACAAATTTATCGTACAGAAATGAAATGATATTAACCGTACGCGTTAGCTGTAAAATCGCCAAAATTTTAACCATTAGCCGTAAAAGCCATCACCCCTTTAGTGTATCACGAACTCAATAAAATGTTACTCAGAGGTGACAGTCGATGTGTCAAACGCTTTCTTCCCTGAGCAAAGGGGTCATATCGATTAAATGATAATTCCTCCTGGGAACTTCTTGTGGTGTTTATTTCCATTTACAGACGTCTATTCGAGCATAATTCCTGGTCGAAGTATAATTCCAAGCATTTACGCGATTATCATTTTCCTTCTACAGGTAACAAATCTACCTCGTCTGCCACCAAGATATCACCTTCTCCAGGTATTTCATTATTTTCTTTTTAATTTTGTCTTTTTTGTGTCTTCCGGCAGCGTTCAAAAGAGCCCAATATATTTTCTATTCAATCATAGGAGTAATAAAAGTATTTTCTTATATTTCCTTTTTGGATGAAGCAACTGCCACATCTTCAATGGCGTCAGTCATGCTACCGGCTCTTCCAGGTAAGGCTAAGAGTTTTAGATTGCTTCTACCGTGAAACCTTACCGACCTTGGTCGGATGGAAAGTGAAAACTAAAACTATTTTTCGGCTTTTTGCAGATTTCAACAAACAGCGATGCACAATTGACTTGCTTTAAAGCTTTTTGTGTGATAACGACTTTTAAGGCTTTGAACATCGTTTGGCCATGTTAAAAATTAGTAGTGCACCCTATTTTTGCTGTTGTTGTCCCTTTTCTCTTTATCAATTTGTTTTCCTCTTTTGCATTCAGAATGCTACAATTACTCATACCTGACAGACATAGAAAGAAGGATGGGTTACTATAACGGCTATTACAGCTATCTCCGATGTGACAACTTCTTACCGTTCGGATGGTATCGATTTGGTGGTGCAGCGGGAACAGAGATGCCTACGTCCTGTGTAGGAAAAAATCGATGTGGCACCCATGCACCGGGTTGGTTGAATGGCTCGCACCCGCGAGCAACTGATGGAATTGTCCGTGCTAAAGTGTGTTTCCATTGGAGTTATGATTGTTGCTTGTGGTCTGCCAACATTCGTGTTCGTAACTGTAGCGGTTTCTACGTGTACGAGCTTGGGCCCACGCCATATTGTTACCTTCGTTATTGTGGTAATAGTGGAGGTAAGAAAAATAACAGACAGAAAGAGAGACAGTTGCAAGAGACACACAAATATCAGGCATACAGACGAATGGTTGAAAGAGAAACGTAAAGAAGAACAGAAAACACGTTCAAATGGACAAACAGGGACAAATGGACGGACTGACCACAGACTGACACACAAAAAGGAACGTAAAGGCAAACAAAGCGTAGGATAGAGACTACAAGGAGGGTTAGAGAATCAGAACGTATAACGAGAGAGTTCATTGGAGATAGCCGATGTGCCTTTATCCGCTCAATACAAGTAAGAAGTAGGATTGTTGCGAAAACATTTCTCTGTTCAAGTGGTAAAGTTATTCGCCTGCATTTAAAAAGGAAGGCTAGAAATCCCAGTCAGTCATCCAACTAATCAATGAATCGGTCAATTAATCCGTCAATACCTGAATAAATTAAGTTTGCATCTCTCCGAGCAGTTAAATCACTGAAGAAACCTCGAAGATTATATTCGTTTATGAGGAAATGTAAGTTACATTTAAATTAAAGGCACTATGCTTGTGGTTGACAAAATGATGCAATCAAAAATATAATTCAATTTTGTTCGATAGAAATGAGATTGTTCCATGCACACATTTTCAATGAATGTTCATTTATTTTGTTTTCAGCTCTTAACTCAACTAATATCACACATACACTTTGTGAGTACCTTTTCCTTTAACATAAATTTAGTTTCAGTTTTTGGCTCTTACTTGGTGTAGAAGACACAGTATACGTCACAATAGAATTTCATCACAACCAGAAATAAGAAAACAATGAAACAATAGTGTGACGTATACTTCTACACCAAGTAAGAGTCCAGTTTTTCTACTCCGATTGATTTTTTTTAATTTCTCTTTACACAGGAGGAACTGAAATGCATGTGTAAGATTAATTCGAATACCCTCTACTATTTCTAGATTTCTTTATTCCTCCATGATTAAATTACTAAAGAAATATTGGTCTTAAGAAAATTGGATGAACAATCCACGAAATATTCCTCATGTCTAAGCCTAAAAATGCAACAGGTTTGTCAGCCTTTCTCAATGTAATTATGCATTTTTAAGAATAATGCTTAGTGGTTATGAAATTCAATACTTAGCGCCGTCATTCATATCTATTCTTGCTTTTTAAAGCCCAGTCTATTGCCGCTGTTACCCCGGCTATTCCTGGTAAGTGACGAGTGGTAGAAATCAAAGCATGTCCTTATAACATTTTAAGTGAAGGTCTTAATTTGGATGCGGCATGGTATGAATTTCTATTTAGTTTAATTGGAGCCAGCTACATAGCTCTCGGTTCAGATTAAAACGATTCCGCTGACTAATAAATCAACATAAAAGATGGTGTTACTCAGTGAATGAGATAGCATAATCGGAGAAAAAGAACTCCGAGTGCTCCGAATAGGAGTCGAACGTACTTCGGATGCTCTACCATACATTGAGACCTGGTAGACTCGTGATGGGCTAAGCCGTTTAATTAGGTCGATGGTGCCAGACGTCTTGCATAATGCAAGAATAGGAATGTAGGATGTGATGCTTTTGCGCAATGATGATGTAAATGAAGATGGTAAATTAATTTGAAACTTGGTTATGTAAGTGAAAGATGAGTCAATGCTTCTTTCAGGGCCTTACATCTATGCCTTATATAATATGAGGATCCTTTGCTAGCGTGAACTTTCCAGACAATTATCCAGTCAACGTGAATACAAATAAACGGTCACTGTAAAACATGGACCAAACGCTATTTTCCTTATGAGTTACACTTATCTATCCAGATATTTGCCGTATTTTTCTGAACAGTTTGCTCGCCCAAATGTAATTTCTTTTTAAACCTTCAGTTTGTCAAGTAATTGTCAAATTTCGAAAAGTAGTAAAGTTATTAGCCTGCATTAAAAGAGGAAGGCTAGAAATCCCAGTCAATCATTTAACCAATCCATGAATCGGTCGATTAATCCGTCAATAGCTGAATAAATGAAGCTTGCATCTCTCCGAGCAGTTAAATCACTGAAGAAACCTTGCAGATTGTATTCGTTTATGAGGAAATGTAAGTTACATTTAAATTAAAGGTACCATGTTTGTGGTTGACAGAATGATGCCATCAAAAATATAATTCAGTTTTGTTCGATAGAATTGAAATTGTTCTATGCACGCACCCTTTTCAATGAATGTTCATTTATTTTGTTTTCAGCTCTTCACTCAACTAATATCGCACCTACGCCCTGTGAGTACCTTTTACTTTAACATAGACTAGTTTCAGCTGTTCCACTCCAATTGATTTTTTGTGGTTTTTCCGTACAGAGGAGGAACTGATATGCATGTGTAAGATTAATTCGAATACCCTCTACTATTTCTAGATTTCTGTATTCTTCAATTATTAAATTACAAAAGAAATAATAGTCTTAAGAAAATTGGATGAACAATCCACGAAATATTTCTCATGTCTAAGCCTGAAAATGCAACAGGTTTGTCAGCCATCTCAATGTAATTATGCATTTTTAAGAATAATACTTAGCGGTTATGAAATTCAATACTTAGCACCGTCATTCATATCTATTCTTGCTTTTTAAAGCCCAGTCTATTGCCGCTGTTACCCCGGCTATTCCTGGTAAGTGACGAGTGGTAGAAATCAAAGCATGTCCTGATAACATTTTAAGTGAAGGTCTTAATTTGGATGCAGCATGGTATGAGTTTCTATGTAGTTTAATTGGATCCAGCTACATAGCTCTCAGTTCAGATTTAAACGATTCCGCTGACTAATAAATCAACATAAAAGATGGTGTTACTCAGTGAATGAGATAGCATAATCGGCGAAAAAGAACTCCGAGCGCTCCGAATAGGAGTCGAACGTACGACCTTCCGATCAGTACTTCGGATGCTCTACCATACATTGAGACTTGGGCGACTCGTGATGGGCTAAGCTGTTTAACTAGGTCGATGGTGGCAAACGTTTTGCATAATGCAAGAATAGGAATGTAGGATGTGATGCTTTTGCGCAATGATGATGTAAATGAAGATGGTAAATTAATTTGAAACTTGGTTATGTAAGTGAAAGATGAGTCAATACTTCTTTCAGGGCCTTAGGGCCGGGTCGCATTACAGACAATTTTCCCGAAAATTGCTTACTCTAGGGACTAAACTCTGTCGACACATCTGTTTTCAATGCGACCCCTCATTTGTGATTTTTCAAAAATTTCAAATTCGGGAAAAAACATTAGAGACGCCGGTGTGCTTGGGTGGGGCTGACCAATTTTTCCAAATCTCGAAAAACCAAAGGAGCACGGCGCTAAAGCTGTCAACAGTTTAAAAGAATGACTCCCAATATAGACGGCAAGGTTACGAACGTGAAAAAGAGCGCGAAATTTCATCACTCACACTGACGTTTTCATTGCGTGCAGTTCGAAGGTACTGTATGGACAGGCGAGATTTTCCCTTTCCTTACGGCCATCAAATGCCAAGAAGTGAGCAATATTTCTTCCTTCAGGACTTGAGCAACACACCCTCAATTTGGCCTGTTGTGAGCGCCGAACAAAGAAAACCTGAGAGTCAATGCTTCCTTGTTCGGCCGCATGGCAAGCGTCGTGACTGACCACAATTTCACCGCTCAAATTTCCTTTGTGCGATCGACGCTTGCATTTTCACTTGCTGAAATGCGACCGTATAGGCTCAATCTTATTTTCATTTCCGGTCTAATGCAATTTAGTTTTCCAGCCGAAAATTGGTCTATAATGCGACCCAGCCCTTACATCTATGCCTTATATAATATGAGAATCCTTTGCTAGTGTGAACTTTCCAGACAACTATCCAGTCAGCGTGAATACAAATAAACGATCGCTGTAAAACATGGACCAAAGAATCCATTTAAATTCAAAGTAGTAGTTTTTGTTTTGATATATTTAAATTCTCTCTTACAGGAAATTGTTTCCATCACCTCAACCAACGTTGGGGTTACTTTGAGAGTCCAGGCTATCCAAGTTGTTACCCGAACAACAAGTACTGCGCCTGGCTAATCGAAGCTCCCGTTGGTCAATACATCGAGCTACGTTTCTATTCTTTCCATTTGGAATACGGATCTTCTAGCTGCCCGTGGGATTATGTCGAAATTCTTGACGGTAACTCACTGCACAGTCCTAGTCTTGTCAAGGCGTGCGGCCAGTTGGCATGGTGGAGATTGTACAGTAGTGGGAGGTTCCTCATGGTGCTGTTCAATTCGGACGTTATCATCGAGATGCCTGGATTTTCTGCTTATTACCGAGCTTCATATTACAGTAAGAGGAATAAATCAATTTATTTAAAACCTTTCTTAAATAACAATATTTAGATGAAAGTAACGTGGTGTAAATGAAATATTTTAAGGGCTCCAGGTAAAGTCAATTTGAATTAAAAATCTAAAGCAAAATGCAAGTTTAGACGGTCGGTCGAGTCGCACCTTCCAAGTACTAAATTGTTTTGTGCTTAAAGAGTTTTAAATACTTTAATAGAAATAACCTACGACTGACTCTTAGAATCATTAACAACATATTGCACTTACTGTAAGCAGTTTTTTTCCTTAACATATACGAATTAAAGCTCTTCCTCATACGCAGGATACAACATTTCATTACCAAGCCAACAAGTGTCAATAACAAGCCCAGTACAGTGTTTTCCTACGCAGACACAAACTGCCACTCCTGTCACGTCAAATGGTAAGTGAACGAAGCCTGTGCTCTTAACGAACGACGTTTTTTAATGATTTGCACTTATCTATCCAGAGTCTGCCATATTTTTCTGAACAAATTTCTCGCCCAAACGTAATTTCTTTTTAAACCTTCAGTTTGTCACATAATGATCATGTTTCGAAAAAATTCTGTTACGAACGCACCGGTAAACTATCAGCATACATTTACTTTGCCATTGATTTCTAAAATACGCCAAGAAATAGCTTAAATCTAACAGTAATTTACAGTGATACAACACATGACGAAAATTGAACGGAGAAAGGACAGAAAGAACGTAATGACAGTTAGAATAGGTGTACAAAACGAAAACTTGTGAATAAACCGACATTTGGCGTAAAAACTCCCAGAAGTGACTATTATGTAACTTCTCCCTATAATATCCATACATCATCCAGCAAACAGGTGATGAGAGTACTCAAACTTATCAGGAAGAAGTTGTTATCTTAATCTAACACCTAATTCTGTTTAGCAACTAAAGGGGAGTTAACAACCAGACTGGAACTCTAGCTATAACTAAAACTGCTGAAAGATCATGCAACAAGTACAAAAATTTACAATTAAAGTTTTGAATTAATTATTTACCCTAAAAGACTTAATCGGATACACCGAATACATCCACGGACTAAGTGAGTGAGGGTAGAATTAACAGTAAAAGAGCTGTCTACGCTTGTTTTTAGTGCACGGAATCCAACCGACACGTGCTTCTGCAATGAGAACGACCTTCTATGCTGCTTCAAGTGTAAACGTCCAGCCAGATCCTTCCCAGTTCCAGTTTCATTTACCGGCACAATGCGAACAACGTTGTCACAACACGTTAGGAAGTTACACCTGCTCTTGCGTTAGTGGATACCAACTGGCCGCAAACGGGAAATCGTGCTTAGGTAAAATTGATTCTAAGAAAATAAGTTTTAAGACGTTTTGTTTTTGATACATTCTCATAGTAGAACAAAAACAAAACAAAACAAAACTTTTTTCGACGCGTGTGCGATTGAAATAACAGATCGTTATATTTTTCGTGTTCAGCTTCAATCCCAATTTGTCATTTGACGCGTGCTAAACGTTTTATACTTTACAAAGGTTCCGGATCAATGAGCCCTTTACACCCATACATCACTGTGCAAATTCTCCATACTGTTCTACAAGGAGAATTTGTGGAACTTCTTTAGTTGGTGATCATTTCCTTTATTCTCATGTCTTTATGTGGAATTCACGGGTGATATTGTAGGGAGAAATTAAACGCTATTCATTCTTAGGGTTCACCATATAGACCTCAGAATGCCCAAGTTACTCTCCTCGTCTCGTGCGCGCTTTCCGTTCTCCTTAAGTACCCATGGTAAGGTTATCTTACAATTTTAATGTTTGAGGTGGCTGTGTGTTTCTCTTCAATTTTATAGCTTTTTTCCCTTTTGCGCAGACGTTGATGAATGTTCGATCAATAATGGTGGCTGCAGCCATCATTGTTACAATATCCCTGGATCATTTTATTGCGGCTGTCCGGAAGGAACCAGTATGGGTGCTAACAATTTGACTTGTGTTGGTAAGGAATGCTAAGCTAAACTTTCTGCATATAACTACTGAGGGAAAATTCTACCTCTGTTAAGAATGGGAATAAACAACGATCAACAATGAAAGACGACTGACCGTTCCTGTAATGCATGTATATTTTTTCGGGAAAAATAAGATTTTTTTATCCAATGCAACAGCAGGCTTGAGAAGATTTCAGCAGCACTAACATGTCTTAGGAATTTATTTTGTTATCCCTTCTGTCCAAAATATACACATGTGTTCGCTCATTTGGATGGAAAACAGAAAAACATTGTGGATGCGTGGTACTTTTTTGTGACTTAACCAACTCAAAGTTATTATTGATTAGGCACGAGTAGTTGGGACACATTAAAATCCTGCTAAATTTAAGGCTATTGCTTGTTAATTTCATCTTAGAACCTGGTGTGTCTGTTAACTGCAGTGACATTATAACGGTTGCCTTAGAAAAGAAGACATTTCCATTTTTTGACGTTGCCCGACTACACTTGAGGTACTCCTCGTGTAAAGCCACACAGAATGACACCCATCTGCTGATCAGCACTCCTTTGAACGGTTGCGGAACACTGTTGAACGAGACTGAAGATGATCTTATCTTCTGGAATGAAATCCGAACGGAGGTGATCCTTATCGACAATGTCATAACTAGATCACATGACGTCAAAATTCCATTTTATTGTAGTTATTCGAGAAGGAAATGGGTCAACCTGGGTTTCAAGCCTCAGCATCTACACTTTGGAACAGAAGGTAAATGAAACTTTCCAGCTCTCGTTCTGATCACTCCAAATCAGCGACATGTATCTTTTGCCAAGGGGTGCTTTCCATCCTAAGGAAGATGCCATCCCTTTATCTCTAGAGTGGAATGCAGATTTGTTTTAAAATTTAACACGTTTATATGCTAAATGACTTTATCTTTTCCGCTTTCCAGCTGGGTATGGAAACTTTACCTTTAAAATTGACTTTTACAAGAGTTCGTCATTTGCCACACCCTATACTGAGCAGGACTACCCTCTGAGCGTGGCTGTCAATCAGTACTTGTACGTGAGATACAGTGTAGAATCCAGTGCTGATCTGGTGATAATGGCTGTGACATGTAGGGCCACTAAAACTGGAAGCTTGTACTCCTGGCCACAATACTCTATTATACTGAACGGGTATGTATGGTACTCGAACATATTAGTGTGAATGGTCTGCCTGGAAAAATACGCAAGTTTCAGTCAATTTAATCAACGATTCACTATTTCATATCATCTAGATTTCTTTCTATATATGACATCTATATGCTTTAAAAGTTTTGTAGTCCCTGTGCTGCGAATGCTTACGTTTTGGTGCAAAGTATAGAGGAGGTCGGTGTTACTAAAAAACAACTCCGAATGTTTTACTGATTCTAAGAAGTAATGAACGGGTGGACTTGGACCATATAGGCCATCATCACATCGTGTTTCTGGGGAAAGGCGTTATATCACAAAAACAAAATCCTTTTTACATTTCCTTACCAAATATTCAAGCTTTTGAAAGCTAAAATTACCCAGAACATTCTTAGGGAAGTTTTTTAATGGCAGCATGCATTAAAAAGAAACAAACTGAGGTGACAATGAGCAAAATGTTCTATATGTGCGCATGAATTTCAACTTACTTCTTACTTTCACTACCAACAGATGTCCGCAAGATACCAGCATGGAATACAACTTTGATCCCCAAAGGAATTACCAGCAGTTTAAAATCAGAGCGTTCAGATTCTTTAACGACTACGAGCAGGTGTACATTCACTGCGAAGTTTTGGCCTGTCATAAATACTCTCCAAACTCCAGGTGAGTTACTGGTACAGAAACACTTAGGCAAGGAGATGCCGAATAAACATTTACCACTTACGAATATCAAAACCATCATTGAGAAATTTGAGTGCAATATGATTTCATCACTCACAATATAACAAAGGCGTTCGAAGCTCATTCAAATCTTCCTCAACAACTTTGACAGGTGCACCCAAAGTTGTTTAGGTAATAAGAAGAGAAAGCGGAGGGATGTTACCCGCGACGAAACAGAACATGAACAGAGTACTACCAAAGTCACTCTTACACGAGGACCACTGATATTTCAACAGGATGAAGAACCAGCAGGCAAGTTCACATGTGAAAAGATAAGGGATATTGAAATAGATAAGGTTTTCTCAAATACTGCAAAGCTTGTGTTAAACATGTCAACAACGCTGTCTTGACCTAAATTTCAAATTTAGGTAGTTTGTCACTGATTTAAAAATAATAATGATGATGAGGAAAGCTTTCAAAACACGACTTAAAAAGGAAATTCAGGTCCTAATATGTAAATCGCATTTTCACTTAATTTTTCTATTGTCAAAAATAAAAATATGAGTATTGAAGGACTTGGAAAATAGGTAAACTAAGGCGATTTTAAATCAAGTCAACAGTTGATTTTAGTTTCTTGCTTATATATATTAAGTTATTTCCTTCTCTCTTTTCCATAACTAATTTCATTAACAGAAATAAGGCAAATTAGATTGAGCCATTTTTTAATTTTAAATGCCTTCCTTTCTTCGGTCTTCGCTTGAGCTTTGATTCCTCTCCTGCATTCAAATTTCAGACACAGGTCAAAACAAGCAAACTGCGCTGATTGGGGGCGTAGCAGGCGCTGGAGGATTTGCTCTGGTTGCAGTTGCTGCATTGGCTGTTTTATTTGTCAAGTACCGCATTGCACGACGGTTCATGAACAGAAACAAGGTTGGAGACCAGTACGCAACCCAAGATGAACAACTGAGCAGAAGGAATGCCTACGTTCAGCCTGAAGATATGGTCGAACAAGAAGACTCCTTCTAAATATAAGCTTTTTTCAGGGCTCACTTGCTCAAAGGACAGATAACGCTATCCGACGGACAAATCACTATCCAGTGGAGAAGTGTGTTTAAACCGTACTGCGCTATCCACTGGATAGGGATTTATCCAGTAAGAAAGCGTTATCCACCCTTTGAACAACCGAAGCCTGCATTGTTTACTTATTTCTTTATCAAGCAGCAAATACAAATGTAGTTCAAGAAATTTCTTTCGGCAGTTACGAGGTTTGAGTGCTTTCATTGCAACCTCTGATAAAAATAAACCTTCTCATCAAACTCCTGAGTAATTTAGCCTCAGGCTTACGTAACTTTTTTGTTAACTTACACCTTTAAAGCGTGCAGTCTCTTACAGACTGCAGGCCTTACTTTGAATAGATCGCTTTCAACTATACACAGAGAGAATGTTTTTAAGAATATGTAAGCCAAAACTGTATAGATCTTTGAGCTGTACCTTAATTTAAGAACCTTTCACTGTTGAAAGGTAACTTTTAGAAAGCAAACAAAATTGAATGGGGAAAGTTGTTTTTCACAAAGCTGGTTATCATTTCTCATTTTCAAACCTGCCTTTTCATTCGCATTTTTGTGTTCATTAGTTTTAGTCGCTTTAAAATATCGAAAAAATTAAATGAGTGCACTTCACATCTTGACTCTCGAATGTAACCAAAAGCTAAAATAAGTCAACACAAGACAATGTTTCAACCACTTTGAAACAATCCCAGAGATGGAAAGAACACACTAATCCGCTTTGAACAGTAAAGGTCAGTAGCTGTTATTCCAAATGCCGTCTTACTACTCCGAATCCTTCCCATTGTGTCTATTGTGAGCGGAAGTTAGCTGCTGAGAGTGTGGATAAAACAACTCTATTTTGACGATAGACAGCGAAATCTTAGACCTTTGACGGTTCAAAATTCAAAATAACAAGAGAAACGAAGAGACTTAGCCTTTGTTCTTCATTAAAGTCTACAATTTGGCGAATATTTAAAGAAACCAAATTTTATCTAACATCAAAAATTTAGCGCGTAAACTGTGCCCCTTAGAGTGCTCACATACCAAAAAAATAATAATTTCCATTTTCCTTTTTGCCAGGCACTCACCTCGCTTTAGTGAAATTTAATTTCACGGGTACTCTGTGATTGATATACGTTTTAGTGCACGTGTCACGCAATCGGGTTATAGTCGATATCACTTACCACTATGTCATTCACGTCTTCGAGACCAAAGATGGAATCCTGGATTGAAGCTGTTATGATTCTTTTGCCTTTGATTTTACCTTCGTTTGGTAGTGAAGGTAATGTTCTAAATCAATTCTGAACGTTAGATTACTTTCCGGCGATTTCTAGCAAAGCAAATCATTTGTACTTAATCAATGTTAAGGATATCTTAATGGTACTTTTGGTCGTGAGGACGCGACTGAGCGCTGCTCAATCAGATCAAAATTACTTGTGTTTGACGATCGATGTTTTGGACACCTTTCAACGAAAAGTGAACTCATTGATTCTTCATTTTATCAGAGAGTGACCAAGAGCTGTATATTGCTTTCCTAAATAATACCGAACGTTGATCCCTGATACTGATTAACAATGCTATTGCATTCGAAAATTGTAAACAACAATTATTTACGCTAACCATGTGTTTACCAGCGTGCTTGTGAGCTCAAATAACCAGGGGTTCTTACGATCAGGGGTCTTACAATCAGGGGTTCCTACGATCAGGGGTTCTTACAATCAGGGGTTCTTACGATCAGGGGTCTTACAACCAGGGGTTCCTAGGATCAGGGGTTCTTACAATCTGGGGTTCAAATCAACGTGTCTTACATGACGAGTCTGTGCCCAGATGTTGATATTGATCGTAAAACCTTACGATCAGGGGTGTGTGTTGATCGCAAATTCTCACATCCAGTGCGTATCCTCTGCTCAGATGTTAAAATTGACTTTACGAGATCATATTCATATTAAACCCGTGCTATGATGTTTATTACGATCGTAAAATCTTACATCTAGGGGTAGGCGCGCAGATGTTGACATCGATCGTGAATTTTCTTTACATCCAGGGGTCTTATATTCAGGGGTTCTTACAATCAGGGGTTTTACAATCAGGGGTTCTTACAATCAGTGGTCTTACAATCAGGGGTCTTACAATCAGGGTCTTGCAATCAGGGGTTCTTACAATCAGGAGTTCTTACAATCAGGAGTTCTTACAATCAGGGGTTTACATCAGTGTATCTTACATGACACGTCTGTGCCTAGTTATTGATATTGATCGTTGTTCCTTACATTCAGGGGTTCAAATGAACGTGTCTTACATGACAGGCTTGTGGGGTTCTTACAATCAGCTGCAAGGGTTCTTACGATCAGGGGTTCTTACAATCAGGGGTTCAAATGAATGTGTATTACATGACGAGTCTGTACCCAGATGTTGATATTGATCGTAAAATCCTACCATCAGAAGTCCGTGTTGATCGTAAACTTTTACATTTAGTGCGTATCGTGTGCTCAGATGTTGATATTGACCTTACAATGTCACATCCATGTTAAACCCGTGTCCTAATGTTTATATCGATCGTAAAATCTTACATCTGAGGTCTGCGCGCAGATGTCGATATCGATCGTGAATGCTTTGTTACATCTAGAGGTCTTAGATTCGTATCTAACATCCAGGGGTTTTTAATTGTACCTCTGAAAAGTAGCTATATAACAATGGCGAGTTATATGAGGGGGTATTTTGTTAAAATTGTACGGTAGTTTTATATAAGGGTCTGTTCCCAGCTACTGATATTGATCCGCTCAAATTGCCAGAACCCCATTTAATTACACGATCAGAGCTCGGACGCTTCTTGAAAAATGTGATGACTATCAGTTTCAGAGATTGATTCTTCAGTTTCCAGCATAAGGAAAAAAAATTGTCGTATCGCAAGCATGTTCATCATAACTCGCCTCGAGATGTTGAGGAAAGAGAAAGCGGCTCCACATTTTGCGAGACAAACCATTTCCCGAAGTTCGAATGTGTCGAGTTGAAAGCATGAAAACATAGCGCTGAATAGTACCGCGACCAAACAATGAAATTCACTCCTCACGCAGTTGGATTAACATCATTTTACCCGAGAGTAATTACAACTAAAACTCATGAAATAGAGTCACTCGAGCAGTCCTTCTCGCAGAGACCAATAGATTCTAGAAGAACAGCCTGTACGAAGTGTCATTTGCGGGCCGGCCATACGCGCGCAAATTGCGTGAATGAATGCTGTACTTCAGCGCGCCTATGTGGAGAGGAGAAACGACAAATCAAAGACTTAAAGACTGATCTCCAGCTTTTGAAATCAAAACACAAAAGGTTAAAGGAGGAACGTGATAGTTTGCTTGAAAACATGCAGTCCAGTAAGCGTACATATTCTCAACGAAACCTCACATGTTTAATTAACAGCGGCAAGGAGAAGTATATTTCTTATCTGAGTGGCCGAGAGTTAATGAACTGGATGGCAATCAACACAGACGTTAAAAAAATCGAGAATATTTGCCATGGGGCTGTTCTTAGGCCAAACGACGATCTCCAAGAACTAATTCGAAAACACGACTCACAAGAGAAGCTCTTGTCGTTGACACCGGGCTCAAGTAGCAGACCCAATGTGGTGAAAGAGCTCTGGGCGAAGAAAGGGGTGACCTTTCCGGGAACTGATCCCATATGCCCGCCTTCAAGGTATTCGATACCTGTGCCTCAGACACCAGAGGAGGAGGACTATTAAATTAATTTGGCTCTGCGTGAAAGTCAACGAAGCACTCCGCGCTATAGTCATGGTGATCAGTTGCCTTCTTCCCATGGAAGATCGATTTCCGGAACTCCAGACTTCAGATTTTCTGAAGACGACATGTCTGCAAATGCCCCTTTTCAAGGACAAAGTAGCACATATACTAGCACTAGCAATTCGTATGAAGAAAATGCGTTGTCAATTTCCTTATACAGTCACAGTTATCAGTTATCGGTTATCTTTTCCCCATGCCAGATCGATTACGCGAGCCCGAGCTCTAGACTTTAATTTTAGTGAAGACTGCCCGGCTGCAAATGTGCCTTGCCATGGCCCGAGTATTGCTTGCGCTAGTACTAGCGATGCGTCAAAGAAAATGCGTTGTCTCTTCTTGCAAGTGCAGCGAATTTGCTGTCTGATAATTCAACGGAGTATTAAATAAGTTGACAGTTATTTTGACTCAGACAACAGGAGACAGTCGTCTGACATTCAGGCCCTGAGAATTTTAAATCTCAGCCGTTGTTAAAGTTACATGTAATTGCATGTTTGTTCTAAAAGAAATTGTTCTCGAAATCGAAAATAGCAAAGGAAATCACGCGCAATCTAAAAACCCGCTTCATCGAAAAACTTAACGCGAAACGGATCCACAGAACTCATGAAATTGATGTAGCTTTCGCAATAAGCGATGTTTTCAGGGGTGAATTTTTCGCACGCTGGTCTAATCATCCTTTTCCAAGTCATTTTCCCCTCAGGTAAGTGGTCTCGGACAGCTCGGCCTATGGCAGAAATAATGGTAATGGCACTAAACTGCAATGCTACCAATGGTTCAGGTTTTCACTCATGATCAGAATGCAGCATTATTCGGGATGGATGGGTAAAATTCAATGCAGCTTACATGGTTTTAAATAACCAAATACTAAAAAATAGGAACTGTTACAACTTTCTGGATGTTCCAGGAATGGATTACCTCATGTGTAAAACAGTACTTAACCCTTTAACTCCAATTAGTGATCAAGACATGATTTTTCCTCACCATGTCAATACAATATCAAGCCAACAAGTAATAAGAATGAAGAAAAATATCAACAAGAGGATTATTAGTTGATCCAATACCAAATTCTCTTAATTAAGCTCAGAGTGTATTGATACCTTCCCCTTTTTGGGCTTACCGTATGCTCTTACTGAATTCAATAGTACCAAAATAATGGAAAACATATGGGTACAGGTATGAGACAAGGGGAGGGTTTCTCCATGACAAGTTATATCTCTTGCACTGCAATGAGGGTTTTATATATTTTACAATCTAATCAAAGAGATTAAGCCTTTTTCAAAACGAATTTTCTCAGCCTACACTTTGTTCCCGAGCGAAGGATTGATGTACCCGGTTTAGATACATAAATGAATCACCAATTAACCGTTTATCACCACTTCTGTTGATTCTGTGGCTTAATCACTACTTCTAGCATTTCAGAATCGAATTCAAATGATCGATTTTACTGCGCTTGTAATCATTAAGCATCCTAGGTAGGTAGCACGCTTTACCTTGATGGCGTACTACATGTTACAGTTTCGTTGCCCGTGGTAAAAAGACAGGGAATGCAGTACTTGCGTATAACTTGACCAACGGATACTTTCATATTATCTTCTACAAATTAAAGTATCTCTCGGTAAACTAATGCAAATGACTTACTAATCAATTTGCGCCAAAGTTTTATGAAGAAGAAAGTTTAGTACACGGCGTTCGTTTTTTTTATCGCGTCATCTACGTAGAGAAATGAGTGTTACTGTATTATTCACATTTTATCTCGGAGGCGCTTATTTAGCATTTATTCAAGACCAAATTTTCTTGGCAACCATTGTTTATCCATTATCTTAAAGAACCTTCAAACACTTTTGCTATTCATTACGAGAAAATACGCATTCATTTGCGTTAAGGGGCGAACAATTGCGTGAAAATACAATCCTTAGAGACAAAAAACCATCATTTGCACGTAAATCAGATTCATCGACGATTTTTGCATTTTAATCAACATTCAATAACAATTGTAGGCATTCTTGGGCGTCATTCGTCATACAAAAGAGGAAAATATACTTTCATTTGCGCTAGCATTCAAGTCATTTACACCATCTTGAAAGTCAGTAGAGAAAATACATAATCAATATAGTGCATAAACCATTCATTAACATTTTTACCACACTGTTTGCAATTGAATAGCATTCCTGAACAGCATTAGTATGAAGAAGACAATCATTTATGCGCTTGTATAAAGCTTTCTCTTCAAAAGGTGTAATACCCAAAATTTAATATACCAAGATAGAAGGAAAGAAGAAAAAGAAGGAAACCCAAAGTTTGCATGTACAAATCTAGCGTCGAATTGACAGAAAGCTCGAATGTTTGAAAAGGTTTTAGAAAAAGCAATTCAATGAGTCAATTAAGTAATGGCGAAACTATTATCAGTACCGTGAAATCACTCGGTTGAAAAATAATGCAAAGGGGGTTTTCATGTTTTCTATTTCTGTTTGCTATCCTGAGTCTGCACTCAGCTTGAAAATAAGTTTAGATCGCACAAGAGAGCGCATGGTTGTCGATATTTAGGAAGACGCTTTTAAAGTAATGGAAGTCAATTATGTTAAGTAGGTTTCGTGATAAAGTCTTGTTTTCAAGACAATTAAAGAAATATCAGGTCACAACTCAAGTTTGAAACGCTCACTGAATCAGCAACACAAAGGAAATCAATCATCTTCAAGAAAGCTGTTTGTTAAGACCAATCAGCTGTGTTCATTCCCAGACTTGTGAAGTACTCTAAAAAGTGAAATAAATCTAAAGGAACTTTTGAAGGACGTTCTGCATTGTACGTTGGGTGCGTGTGATGTTTTCAATAAAGAGTCTCGTTCTCCTAAATTAACTAAGAAAATTTGCAAAGTAGTAGGCAATACTCTTCAATGTTGTATCAAGTTTAAATGTTTATGTATCATGACGACTTGATATGAAGATGTGGAGGTATGAAGGTGAACAGAAATGAAGATATAAAGGTGAACAGTGGAAAACGCAGAGAACGCAGATTAAGATCACTTTGCATAGCAAGGTTAAAGTTTATTACATCAAAAAGCACACAATTTGCATATCTCATTAAAACTGCCTGACTGTGCGAGTTTATCTTAAGTCTTTACCTTTCAAGAAGTGGGGTCTTAAAAACAGCTCATTACGGTCTGATGGTTTAGACTTACACTTAGTGATTGCATTAGTTTTCTCGATCGAGCTATGAATTGCTAGGGACCCTTTTCCCCCCGATTTCCCCCACTCTAATGCCTATCTTCAGACAAAGCGTTGGACATGACTCAACAAAAATGTTTAATTACAGTAGGCGCTCGTCTCAAGTAGATACACCAGGTGCAGTTGGTTTTTCATATTCCAAAAATATAAATTATAGGGAACAAGTTACCTATATGATTTGTAGGACTTCAAGACTCTGGAATATGACGGTCACTACTGAATGAATGGCTTCGAGACCTTTCATTATCTTGGATACGCCCGAGTAATCTTAATTGACATGATTTAACTTAGGCTCATGCATAGCGTGCCTGGTTAAATCGATTTAGCAGTTATATGATAATTTCTTTTGGAGTGGGTCGATTGAAACGGAAGCTTACCCAAGATGACACCTTATACGTTCACGCGCCTTCTTTGCTTACTGGTGTTCGTGCAATGGTCGTTTTTAGTGGAAGGGTCTCACTTCAGACATGCCGTCATGAGCTTTGTTCCGACAGATGCTGATAACAACACGGTATGGTCCTTAATTGCACGCTACTGAGCTAATTTCAGATATTTGTTGTCTACCGTTTTGCATGTCGTATATAAAACCTTGGTGGTACAGGTTGAAGTTCAATTTGATGAACTTGCCTTTACATGTGTGCGGCTCGTTTTTTCTTCAGTTTGTAAACGAAACATTGCAAATGCATAATTGCCAATGAACGTTTTCTCCGAAGCATTTACTGATGTGAGGTGAATAAATTTCACCACAGCTAAAGCTCTGGAAATAGGAATCGTGAAAAAGCTTCACCAAACAGTACTGTAAGTTTTTGGTTGTTAGGAGACAAAACTGTGCATCAAGTAAAGCACGTTACAAACAAGCATATCCCTCTTCTCCATGTGGCGGTATTTACCTTTCTAGTCATGGCTCCTCCGTTTACTGCTGAAGAAGGCATGCCCCAGGTCGGAACATTTAACAAAGCTGACTCCAGGCTATCAATAGAGAATTTTGGGCGTTATGTATCTTGGTATTAAAGGAAATTTGCTTCCTGCATTGAGTCCAACTTCAATGGGCGTATTTTTCTTTTTTGATAAAATATCAGTAGTATGTTGCATTATTGCTATATTTTGTGATTTGGTTTCAATGGCATTCGAATGCCTCGAACCAGTTCGCATATAAGTTTTTATTTTGTCATCCCCTCTTCTTTTTATGGCTCTTTGCGCTTTGTTAATTAAAATGGATGCTACATATTTCTGAACTACCGTGATCTGCTCTCTTTCACTGAGACAGTTTGCATGATTGACGCTCTTTACTAAGTCTTTTCCTATAGCCATTGATGAAATTTGTAAACGATTGAACCTTTGTTGGCTTTGTGTTTTTATACTTGTATCTTGAAAAGAAAAAACTGCTTTTGTATGCCAGGGTTAATCAAAATTAGTTTTCTTGTTTGTATTTTTTTTGTTAGTGTGTGTGCGCAGCAAGTCTTAACAATAGTTGCTGAAATTTTTTTTTTCATCTGTTGGATCACCTCTCAGTGAAGTGTTCGGCACAATTCAGTGACTTTTTAACCTTACAATCTCTTAGCGAGTAGGGAGCAGCATGTTATCGAGCTTCAAACTGTGCGTTTTTCTATTCCTGCTTTGATTTTTTTTTTCACGTTGAAGAGATACCTAGCCAAGAAGAAATCGAGTTCGCTCTTCTTTTGGCTCAGCCAGCTGTTTCTCTGGTTGTTCGTTCATATTCATAAGTTTCTCCACACGTATACGGAAGAGAATTATTATCAAGCCATGATCTGGCTTAATTTCCAACGGCCGTTTGCTATAAAGCGCGACGGAGTTAATCCTGCTCTTTTTCATTGCAACTGCTTGAATTATATAAAAGTTGTTTTTTTTTTTACTTTTTTAAGCGCGATATACTCAACCAAGAAGGAATCACGCTATATCCTATCTGACGCAACCAACTGTGGCCATTTCTTAGAAAGACTGCGGTTTTTGTAATTATTTATTCATTTTCATAATTTACCTTCCAGACGCCAAAGCGCCCTAAACCACATCCTCCCACTTTTGGTTAACATTCCAGTTTTTCCGCTCGGCGGTTGACTTTCTTTTTTACCGTAGGCATATTTAAAACTTTCCACGACAAAGAGTCTGACGAGGGCAACTGTGTGTATGAAGCACATTTGAAGACCTGTCTTTTGAGAAAAGTCATGTAACCGGAAGGGCATTTGAAGAATGAAAGCGCCCCCTTCATCAAAATGCATCGATGACATAAATTCATTGACACTTTCCGTTTTCAGGAAAGAAAACAATTTACAATTGCTATAGAGTTAAAATAATTAGACGTCTTCACAAAATTTGTACAGGGACTAACGGCTATAGAAACCTTCAGGACTTGGAGAAGAAAATACAACGCTGCCTTCTTGAACCTGAACTGCTTCACCCACGGGTGTAGTGGCAGTAAGAGTCTATTTGGCATGGCTGTATGAGTGAGATACTGTTCCTTAATTAATTTTTCTTTATGCGTTACGTTCCATCGATATCACGGTTTTACTTGTTTTGTTTTGTTTTTTAAACTTGATAATGGGCTTTGACCATCTAACATGACAAAGTCATTATGAAATATCGTTAGCATAAATAGCTTGCCATTTACGTATGCAGGTGATTATATCAAATTTAATTATACTCGTTACTTAAAGGTCTTAGGGAAGACCGAAACTTGTATGATATCTTTCTATTTACCTTCCAGCTACGGTTTACCTTTCGTCTGGCTCTTCGAAGGTCATATTATTCATATTACTGTGATGAAAACACAATTAACTTAGGAGGAATTATTGGATCTGGAGGTTCTTGGACAGCGAAGTGCAGCGATCCATTCAGTGCAGTGTGTTCACCGAGCTATTATATCGCGGACACTCGCTTTCGTTGTACTGACTTTAGTCGCAATGAAGACTGGTCCATGGGGGAAAATAACTTCACCTATACTTTTCCTTCTGGCAATCTGGAGTGGAATGTGAGGTGGGTCAATATGTGAATTAGGAAAAAAAGAAACAAGTGAAAACTGACTTTTTAAGAATCTTTCACTTTAAAGGCAACAGAAGGCCTCGAACAAACAAGAGCCGTTTATAATTACCAAAATTATCTTTCAACATTGGGGTGGTTTTCCAAATATTATAACGGCCGAAAGCCGTTACCAAGTTGTTGTTATGACCCGAAATTATCTTCTTCTATCCATCACTTCAATATTCAGTCCCTCGATTACTCCTTTCTTCCATTCCTGTTAACTTTTTGGTATGTACACTGACTAGTGTATAAGGCTTTCACATATTCAGGTTCGTTGATGTGGTGGCCTGTCTTCCCAAATCAAGATAACTTTCAGCAGTCTCAGTGTATCTCAAAAACATCCCTTTCTTTTCTCGTCGACAGATACCAAAGTTGCTGTTGGATTTCCAATCTTGTGCGATATGCTGACTCACAATGGTCGGTATCCACCAAAATAAGTCTCTCTAGACGATCTGACAGCGGCAAAATCAACTCATCCCCAGTCTCCAAGAGCCCAGCTATTGTACGATTTCAACAGGGCTGTCACAAGTCTCTTACAATTCCAGTTGAAGATCCGGATGGCGATTTTGTGAAATGTCGTTGGGCAACTAGCGCCGAGTCCTCCATACCAAGTGATAGTTTTCCTTACGGTGAACTTGATGAGGTACATTTATGCCCTCTAATTGTGTTATTTCCCTTGTATTATAAAAACGGGAGAAAATTTTAAACCTTGTAAATTAGGATGATCACAACTTAAGACCCTAAAAGATTCTTCCATTACTTCCATGACAAAAATATGGATAACGCTTCATAGAGGAAAAAGAAATTTAGTCTTGTTTATTCTTGATGAATGACATCAACACGTAAAAGAAAGAAGGATCAACAAACACACTGTGATTTTCTTGTTAATACTAGTGAGATCTCAATATGGCACATGTATCTAAATATAGCGTTCTTTGCAGAAAAACTGCATTTTAACTTACAGAGGTGGACTTGGAGCATCGGGCACATACGTAGTAACCTTAACTTTGGAAGACTTTCCAGCTGGAACCACAAACTTCAACAACATCAGACCATTCAGTGCTGTGCCACTGCAGTTTCTTGTCATAATAGGTGTTGGGTTTGGTTCTTGTCAAGACATACCTGTTTTTACTTCTTCTACACCTCAAAATGGTGAATGCTCAGAGATTCAGATCGGGTCGGTATACAAAGCAGTCATTGAGGTGCGGCTTCCAAACGTCAGTAAACAGTAAGTATTCAAGGTTACAATTTTAGGGCATCTGAGTTTGCCCTTTACATCCATGAACTGTTTATACTAAAACATATCCAAAGGCACATTACTTGTCTTGTTATGTTTGCTGTTAACCTAGACTCTTTTCTCAATGTTCTAAGTATTGTCGAGATAACCACAAGCTCTCCACTTGGAATGCAACTGACACCATTAAGCTCCCATGGAGGCATCTTCTTCAGGAATGTCACGTGGTATCCGAGTCAGAACCAAATTGGGCAGCAGTTGTTCTGCTTTCAAGCTTTGGATTCAGACGGGTAAGATGTTCTCGCATGTTATGTAAAAGTTTTGTACTTGAAATAAGGATTTTGATGAACTGAAGTTAGATTGATGTTTTTCAAGTTTTAATAAGAATTAATGATCACTTTTCACGACAAAGTATAATACTACTGGTGTTTCACTGGAATGTTAGATCTTCATGTCGGCAGTATTCTTAACTCAAAATGCACCAGAGCAACTCTGTGCTAATACAAGATACATGTGCTGGAGTACCGGTTCGAGCAAAAACAGTTCTGTGCCAAGTTAACTTTAGAGCAAAGTTCATGTTGTGTAAATCGGCTTGCATTTATATTAATGATTCGTGTCATTTACAATTTACAGATTACAAAGTGAATGGCGTTGTGTCACGATCCTTGTGGGGCTAAGTAAGTAATTTTATATCCTCTGGAACATTTCAGTTCATTGAGACATATGGATAAATTGAGCTTAGTTGATTTCTCTTTCCCTCTGTTTAATCTTTAATACTGTCAAGGAGTTGGCAGGTTCATTTGTTTTTGATGCAGACTAGAACCACACAAACAAACACACATAATAGTAAAAATAGCGAATAATGATAAATGATAAAAAGGCAATAATAACAATGAAATCATAATAAACAAAAATTGACATAAAAAGTATATCCATTGAGTCAATTACTTATTCATCTATGATTGAATTACGATGTACCATTTAGATATTAATTCAATATAAATACATTTATTTTTAGGTAATACGCCTCATGTTATTTTGGGTACACGAAGGCCAATAAGTCCTATAAGTGAGATTGGAACAGGACTAATATGGTGGAGTATTCATTTTAACAGAGTGGTAATCAACACCCGTTTTTTTACCTTTTAAAGAATTACTTGTATGTAGATCCTTTATTAGCATTTTGATAATTTTCACGCTTTTGAGGGATAGCAAGCACGTTAATTTATGACGAGGTAATTTTACCCAGATATAACACCAGATTCCCGATACCAGGAAATAAAAAAAAATTACAATTACCTTTTCGAAGAACTAACTTTCAGATCTTGGGAGTTCAAAAGGTTAGGGAAACATATATGGTTAGAATACACTTAAATTTATGATTAAGCTCGATTATTTGCAGATAAAGAAGCCTCGTAGCTCAGCATTCATCCGATTGGTTCTGCAGTCAAATGGTTTTACCGTCTTCAAAGTGAATGCTCTCTCTGGTTACGTTGTTATCGACAGTAATCGCACAGTACTGCATTTTGCTACTCCTAAGGCTGCACTGAGTATGAACGGTTCATATGCCATCTTGATAGATCCCGGTGCAGTAGTTGGGCAGGGCTGCTCGAATGATGGTCCACCAACACCTGGTATAACCTCACCCATGGACTGGACCTTCCCCGTAGATGGTGTCTGCCCGCTTGGTTATGCTCTGGTTTCTCCAAGTTTTCAAAAGTGTGAGGGTACGTCCGCTGTTGTAGTATTTAGCGAAAAAGTACTCGGTATCTTTTCCCTACATTGGTCCGGTATGGATTATGAGGGTGCATCATCCCTGCTTCAATCTCAACCGATGCAATAAAAGCCATCTGCTGATAGGATAGACTTTAGTACCAAGCCTGTAAATATATAGTGAAAATGATTGTCTTCAACCTAAATAGGTTTTGTTATAATTATTTTGAAATATTATGTGCATGAAGGATAAGCTGTTGGAATTGACTTAATTATTTTCCAGATGATTTTTTAGAATGAAATTGCTCTCCATTATGATGCATCATCGTATGGTATTCTAGAGTTTAAAGTCGCAAAGATCAGTCTGCATTCTCACTTTTAATATTATATCATTCTTTGCGCAGAAATTCTGATGTCTGCTGTTTGAGTGTAAAAACTAGTTAAAAACAAACATTCAATGAGATCAAGCAGAGCCTCAAAATAGAAAATCATATTAATTCAAATAGTGTAAACCATTTCAATATTTTAAATTTAAGCATGAACTCAAGTTTTGATGTTTTTTTTTAACGAGAGTCTATCCATGTCAAAATTTCTTTTCTGTTTGCAGATATAGACGAATGCGGCGGACATCATCGGTCGAAACGTTCTTATTGGTGGTACAACGTGTTTTCCCAAAATTCAGGTAGATATCTCCACTGGTACCATAATTTTTTTGTGATGCTTCCTCGTGCTAATCATAATAAGGCCTCCCGGGTAATGTTTCGATTAACAGGATCATATAAATGAATGATAATCGGATCAATATCAGTATCTGGGCAACTGCCCACCTATCCCTCCCCTAACCCAACAACAGTAAATTGATAACAAGTTAGGGTGAATGTTGGGTTAGGGGAGGGGTAGGTGCGTAGTTGCCCAGATACTGACATTGATCCGATTATCATTCATTTATATGGATCACCAGAAGAAGCAGGCTTACCTTGTCAGTTCTGGGAACATAATCTATCTTAAAATCGTGACTAAGTTGAAAACGAAATCTCACCTATACATGCGCAAAACTAGATCATCATCCTCTTCCAGTGGAACGTGGCATACTATGGCAGCGGTTTCTAAGGAGCTGATTTCTCTGAAGTCCTCTTAGGGGCTGGTGTGAAATGGTTCTCCATCCATTTGTCTTTGACCTCCTCTTCCAATCCTCCAAAGATAGCCCTGAGCACACTTTTTTGTCATCTGTTCGCTAATGTTACATGCTCATCTGTTCCCCTTTTCCCTCCTCCCTTCCACCCTTCTACCTTCACAAATACCAGATTGACGAACAGAACGACCATAGTCATATTCTTTTTTTCTGGTTTTCATGAAACTAAGTAGTTAAGTGCGGATTAAAGTTTACTGGTTTTCGTTTCGTTAGCAAGATGTGCAACTTGAATGGTCTCAAGTTTGTATTCTCTCGATGATCTTCACAATTTACTGTTATTGTACACTCCCCGGCAAAACAACTAAAAATCACACCATTTCTGTCTAATCATTCCCTTTATTTCAGTTTGGATCTCTTTGAAACTCATTGTCTCTTCATGGTCAATATAGCTAGAGACTTCGACAGAATTTAGAACCTTGACTTTACGGAGGGTCTCAATGGGGTTAACCGATGGCAGTAAAACGGCCAAAAAATTTACCCGTAAGGCGTAAAAATTGACAGATTTTAATCGTTAGTCGTAAAAAATGTTCACCGCTAAAAAATGTACAGAAATGGAATGATATTAATCGTACATGTTGGCCGTAAAATCGCCAAAATTTTAACCGTCAGCCGTAAAAGCCATCACCCCATTGAGACCCTCTTTTATTTGAACAGTTTCGTGTCCCGTAATAAAAAGTATTTAAAAAGTGAATTAAAAATTCCTCTCTTTTTCAGCCTGCAACGCTACTGGAGAATTCATCAATTCTACCAGCGGTCACATTTCCAGCTACAATTTTCCCGACAACTATGACCCAAACAGGATTTGTACCTGGAATATCACGGTACCCAGAGGGAAAATCATCAAACTGACCTTCTTGAACTTTACCCTGGTGGCAGGTGAAAACGGTGACTGTGCTGGAGCGGCGGGAGATAGTGCCCGAGTCTTTATCACAAACGTTGCTTCTCATAGAGGAAAACCTAATGACTTTAAGATCTGTGGTCAAAAGCTTCCCCCTCCTGTATACTCCGAGGGAAATTTCATTCAAGTGAGATTTGAATCTCGCACTGGTCTTGTAAACAAAGGGTTCAATGCAACCTTTGAGGCGATAGATAGAGATTCACGTAAGAGGTTTTCTTCTGTTGTATTTTCTGAAGGAAGCATAGAAGTATATTGAGCATGTACCCTGTTGAACTAAGCGGGAATTTTGTTGAGTATAACCTGAAAACAATGATGTGAACAATCGATGAACAGCTATAGTCTGTAGAAAAAAATTGAATGTATTCAAGCCTTTCACTTGGACACAAGCTGTTTATATTTCACGTCATACGGAAAATGAGCTGTCGGCGGTATTGAAAGTTAACCAGTTAGTGTAAAATCAACACTAAAACAGTTTTCGAAGCCTGACACAGTCTTTGTTACTCTTTTTAGTGTGCCCAACAGATATGATCCTCAATGAAACATCAGGTTCTTTCTCCTCTCCCTTTTATCCAAGAAACTATCCATTCAACCAGACATGTAGCTGGAAGATTATAGGGAAACAAGGATACCGTGTTGAGCTCACAATACCAGAGTATAATCTTCAACGTTGTGATGGCGCTGGTTGCTTGTGTGATTATATAGAAGTTCAGAATAGCTTCAGTGATCAAGCACTGCCTGGAAAACTATGTGGTACGCCAAGGTATATTCCTGTAAAATTTTATTCACTTCACGAAAGCTTGAGGGTGGTGTTTGTGTCCGATGATACAAACATGGATTATGACGGATTTGGGGCAACTTACAAGCTGTTGAACTACAGTCCTCCAAGTAAGTAGAGAAAACAACGACGTGAGATCTAAGAGTTCGCTGAGAGAATATGTTACATGCAATAAATTCACTCATACAAGTAATGATAAGGAGCTTAGTTAATAAGAGTGGAGGTTACCCATTGTGCTTGTGTTCCTTCGAATTTCAATGTACAATATCGATCCTGTGAAGTACTTTTTCAAGACTTAGCACTGATAGCATATTTTTTCTTTATTCATACTCAGATGTTAAAGTGTAAGATAGTGTAAGCTAATCGTCTGTAGCCCTGAGAAGGACTGTTGTCGGTACTACTGCCTGGTGTTTCGACAATTAACCTGAGCGGAAGTCAACATCAGAGTCTCGAACCCCTGGGTTCAAAACCATTTCCTGAACTTTAGTGTGTCACTAACTCAAGAAAATGTTATTATTATTCAGAAGTGGCAGTCGATGTGACAAACACTTTTTTCTCTGAGCAAAGGGGTCATATCGGTTAAAAGAACATTCCTGCTTGGAACTTCTTGTGGTGTTTATTTTCATTTACAGACTATTCGAGCACAACAACTACTTTAAATGGTAGCTATCTTGTTTCTGTTGTTGCTACCTATGCCACTTCCACCACCACTGTCACCATCAATACCGTCTACCTCTAAACCTATCCTCTGACACCACTGCTATCCCTACCATTACCACTAACCCTTACTTATACAACTGCCACTTGCACTACCACTTTCGCCAACATCACAACCACCTTGCGGCTAAACTGTTATCACTACTATTACCACCTCCAGTAACACTTCCTCTGCCACTAGCACTACTAATTTCAACACAAATTTTACTACCACGACCGCTACAACTAGTGCCAGTATTTCCTTTACTATTTTCACTACTTCTTCTATTGTGGAGGTGGAGAAGGTAAGAGAGATAGGGAAACTGCGGTCAGGCACTTAAGGGATTTAGTTACGAAAATATCCTATTAAATTCAACTTATACACGGGAAGGTCATAGCCAGAGAGGTAGATTAACTAAATCACACAACTGTTAGTTACATTTGTCTCACCATAATTCCTGATCGAAGTCAACTTCGAAGCTTTTACGTGATTACCATTTTCTTTTTACAGGTAACAAACCTACCTCATCTGCTACCAATATATCACCTTCTCCAGGTATTTTATTATTTTCTTTCTTTATAATTTTGGCCTTTTTTGTGAATGCTGTTGTTGGATTCCATTATATTATACATGTTTTTTAAATCCTCTCAAAGAAAATGTACATTCGTCTTCCGGCAGGGTTCACAACAGCCCAGTAGGTTGTTTATTCTACTATAGGTTGTCTATTCTACCATAGGAGTAATAAAAGTCTTATATTTCCTTTTTGGTTGAAGCAACTTCTATATCTTCAACGGCGTCAGCAATGCCATCGGCTCTTCCAGGTAAGACAAGGAGTTTTAATTATTGTGATTCTACCGTGAAACCTTATCGACCTTGGTCGAATGAAAAGTTAAAACTGAAATAATGTACATGAAAATAGAGAAACAAAGATAACATTACACTAATTATGTTTCAATTCGGTCTGTTTCAGGATCCTGTCTTTACAACTTAGGAGGCCATTACGGATATTTCAGCAGCCCAAATTACCCATTTAACTACGACCACCATCTTAATTGTGTTTGGATTATTACTGTACCAAATGGCTACTACATATACCTCCGCTTTGATCATTTCCATCTGCAAGGTGGCCATGGAAGTTGCCCTTTCGACTACGTGCAGATATATGACGGATCGTTTTTGCAAAGCCTCACAATAAGACGCTGCTATTATCAAAACTCTTGGTGTGTTTACAGTCACAGCAACGTCCTTTATGTGTATTTTGTGACGGATCATTCTGTATCCTACTCTGGTTTCACTGCTTATTATGAAAGAGTTCATCAAACATATTATGTCTGCCCGCGTCCAAGTGCAAGTAAGGATATGACCAGAAAGGTTTTCTAATAGTAATCGATTTCCATTAGATTCTGCTTATTATTTATTCGATTTATTTTGCAAGAAAATATTTACAATATCTATATTTGAATATATACAATTTTCTTCTTATTCCTGGCGAGGAAGCTCATTTCGAAAGCCTGGAGCTTATAACTAAGACTTTACCCCCCAAAGACTTAAAACACACTTATCATGGGTGAACTATTATTAACTGAAGATAGTTAAGGTAAAAGGGACAGTAGAGAAAACAAGCAAAAAAAAGTGATTCTTAAGAAAAGTAAACAAAAATACAGACACACGCACACAAATAGCAAGCAAGCAGACGCGCTTAAAACATTTCGCAAAAAAACGAGATAAATATGTGTGTGTATATATATATATATATATTTGAAGAGAAAAAAGAACAAAGAAATACTTATAGTCTTGATTAAAAAAGCTTTGTCCACTAAATTGTCTTTATCAATATCATTAGACGGGCTACATAAAATCAGGCAAACATAAATAGGTTAAGCAGAGCTCTTTTCAAAGAAATAAAGGGTTAAAGGGCTTGCACACCCTTTCTTGTAGATCCTGACTTCGTACCTATATATTTTTTCAGTGGAGAAACTTAGCCACCATGATTATTTTCTTCCCATAGCTCACCAGTTGTCGTCAAGTGTTTTCACTGGTATATCTCCTTCACCAGGTACTTTTTTTCTTATCCAGTGTTTTACTTTATCGTTGATTTTTCATATTGTTTGAATGTGTGAGTTATTGATTGAAAGTATTTTCAGCAAGTTTGTAGGAATGCGACATAATCTCGTGTACATTCTATTTACCCTTCAGAGCTAAGGGGTTAGTACTTTCTATTTCCCTATATTCAACTAACAAACATCTTTTTTGGGGGTTTATCCTTTTCGAGTTGCGTGTATCCTATTTTTGATCATGCCTCTTATCTTCACAGCGTCGATATTACCAATGTCAACAGCCATGCTGCCAGCTTCCTCTGGTAAGACTGCATGACATTTTAGTATCTCTTAAATAATCCTGAATTCCCTGATATATGCTTGATGTCAAGACAATAATTGATAGTCTAACTTATGTTATTGCTTATTTGATGACTGATTTTTTTAGGATCCTGTCTCTACAATCTATATGGGCCAGAAGGAAATTTTAGCAGTCCAAATTACCCACAAAACTACGGCCACAATCTCCAATGTACTTGGCTCATTACGACATCACCAGGTTCTTACATTTTCCTCCGCTTTGATCATTTCCATCTGGAGGGTAGTTATGGAAGTTGCCCTTACGACTACGTACGGATATATGATGGAAATTCTTATCAAAGCTTAACAATGAGACGCTGCGATTATCAAGATTCCTGGTGCGTTTACAGCCACAGCAACGTCCTCTATGTACACTTCCAAACAGATGGTTCAGTTTCCTACCCTGGTTTCACTGCCTTTTATGAAAAAGTCTCTAAGAGATACGTAGTCTGCAAAGTCAATTCGAGTAAGGCTACGTTTAGTCTTGCATTTATCCGCATGTATGGTGGTAACCTTTCAAAAAATTATGCAAAGCAATACCGATAGACACACGCTCAAGTAAAAAAGAAAGAAAGACAGGTAGGCAGGCAGACTGACTGAGAGACAGACAATTCGCTCTGACGAAGGGCAAACACTTCAAATTGTCAGCTGTATCTTGTTATATTTCTCCACCGACACAGCACCACAGTTTCTTCCAAACCTCACCCCTTTAAATAAACAGATAGTCAGACAAGAGACGAGACAACAGACTAGTAAGCAGACATACGGAGAGACAGATACAAAACGGGAAGAAATCTTTGATGACGGTTGTTGTGTCTGACAAAAAATTTTTCAAAATTATGCGTTAAGGAGATTACAGTACATTTAGTACAATAACATATGTCCATAATTTTGGGTAAGTAACAAACAAGCTTTGGAAAAACATTCCTGAGGTGGCAAACGTGGTAACAATACCTTTCCATTTCTTTTTGCAGGTATCTCACAAGGCATAACACCTACTTCAGCTGGTATTTTTCGTTTTATTCTTCTTTTACGACTACAAAAACCACTTCTGCAACTACCATGACCGCTACTACTATTGCCGTTACCAATACTACGACTACTTCTTCTACTAGTTTCACTGAAAAGCAAGGAATTTGTGTTTATAAGAAATTAAATAGAAGAATAAATACCATCGAACAAAAAAACAGAAAAAAGATAAAAAACGGTTTTTAACAAAAGGTTGGGGTTGGCAAACACAACTAAAAAAAGAATCTGTAAACTAAATATTTTTACCTGTTGGAATCGTCGTGTGTGAAATTTCCCGATTTTTTTCCATTCATCTAAAAACATTTAGACTCAGTGATGAGTTAACTCTTGATAATGAATTCGATAAATGCGAGATGAAGCCTCACCAATTTTGTTCTCCCCACAGCTCCATGGGCATCCGCCAGCGCAGCTCCTTCATTTGCTTCAGGTTGTATTTCAACCCTTTCTATCTCATCTACCATCAAATGAATATATATGGAGAAAAAAATAGTTTTTGTAATATCAACTTGGTTTTATTAGGTAATTCGGAATAGAACTCAGTTTCTTTGAATATATGGACTGTAAGGGATTTTCATTGGCTTAAAAGAATCGATTAAAAGCCCATGCGATTGGTTGGACACCTTTACCAAAATGGCTCGCTAGATTATTATTATTATTATTATTATTATTAAGCTGTTTGCAGAGTTCAACAAACAGCGATCCACAATTGACTTGCTTTAAAGTTTTTTGTGTGATAACGACTTTGAAGGCTTTTAACATCGTCTGACCATGTTAAAATTAGTAATGCACCCTATTTTTGATGTTGTTGTCCCTTTTTGACGTTGCTGTCCCTTTTGTCTTTATCAATTTGTTTTCCTCTTTTGCATTCAGAATGCTATTACCACTCATACCTAACAGAGGCAGGAAGAAGGATGAGTTACTATAACGGCTTCAACGGATATCTGCAATGTGATAACTTGTTACCGTTTGGATGGTATCGATTTGGTGGTGCAGCAGGAACAGAGATGCCTACGTCCTGTGTAGGAAAAAATCGATGTGGCACCCATGCACCGGGTTGGTTGAATGGCTCGCACCCGCGAGTAACTGATGGAATTGTCCGTGCTAAAGTGTGTTTCCATTGGAGTTATGATTGTTGCTTGTGGTCTGCCAATATCCGTGTTCGTAACTGCAGCGGTTTCTACGTATACGAGCTTGTGCCCCCGCCAAATTGTCACCTTCGTTATTGTGGTAATGGTGGAGGTAAGACAGACAGGCGTAAAATTAATGTAGAAAAACAACAGACAGAAAGAAAGACAATTGCAAGAGACACACAAATATTAAGCAGACAGACAAATGGTCGAGAGACAAACATACAGAAAAACAGTAAACACATTCAAATGGACAAACAGGGACAAACGAACAAAAGACAAATGGACAGACCGACCACAGAGTGCCACACAAAAAATAAAGTAAAGCCATGAGAGAGCGTACAATAGAGACTAAAAGAAGGGTTGTACAGACAGAACGTATAACTTATAACCCTTTAACTCCTATGAGTGACCAAGACAGAATTTTTCCTTAAAATATCAGTACAATATCAGTCAGACAATGATAAGAATAAAGAAAAATATCAATTAGGGGATTATAGGTTGATCCAATACCAACTTCTCCAAACTAACATCACAAATGAGATCTTGGGAGTTAAAGGGATAACGAGTGAGTTTATAGGAGATACCCTACATGTATTTATCTCAATAGGAGTAAGAGGTTAGATTGTTACGCTAACATTTCACTTTTCAAGTGGTTAAGTTATTAGCCTGCATTAAAAGAAGAGGAAAGCTTGAAATCCCAGTGAATCATTTAATCAATCAATGAATCAATCGATTAATCCGTCAATAGCTGAATGAATGAAGCTTACATCTCTCCGAACAGTTAAATCATTGAAGAAACCTCGTTTTTATTCGTTTATGAGGAAAAGTAAGTTACATTTAAATTAAAGGTACTATTCCTGTGGTTGATGTATAGTGATGCTCAATGAATGTTCATTTATTTTGTTTTCAGCTCTTCACTCAACTAGTATCGCACCTACACCCTGTGAGTATCTTTTACTTTAACATGAATTAAGTTTCAGCTGTTATACTTCGATTGATTTTTGTAATTTCTCCGTACACAGGAGGAACTGAAATGAGTGTGTAGGATTAAACCGAAGACACTCTACCATTTCTAAAACTTTTTATTCCTCCATTAAATTACTGAAGACATAGTCGTTAAAAGAAAATTGGATGAACAATCCACGAAATATTCCTCATGTCTAAGCCTAAAAGAGCAACAGTTTTGTCAGCCTTTCTCATTGCGATTATGCATTTTTTAAGAATAATACTTGGTGTTTATGAATTTCAACACTTAGCACCGTCACTCTTATTAGTTCTTGCTTCTTATAGCGCAGTCTACTGCAGCCGTTACCCCGGCTATTCCTGGTAAGTGACGCGTGGTAGAAATCAAAGAGAAGGTGATAATTTTTTAATTTAAGTGAAGTTGTTAATTTGGATGCTGCATGGTATGAATTTCTATGTAGTTTAATTGGAGCCCATTACAAAGCTCTCGATTCAGAATTTAACGATTCCGCTGACTACTAAATCAATGTAAAAGATGTTGTTACTCAACGAATGACACAGTATACTCGGAGAGAAAGAACTCCGAGTGCTCCGATCAGGAGTCGACGAGACGAGACGACCTTCCTATTAGTGCTTCGGACGCTCGACCATACACTGGGACTTGGGAGACTGGTGATGGGCTGAGCCGTTTAACTAGGTCGATGGTGGCAAACTTCTTGTATAATGCAAGAATAGGAATGCAAAATGCATGCTTTTGCGCGGTTATGATGTAAATGAAGATGGTAAATTAATTTGAAACTTGGTTATGTAAATGAACGCTGAGTCGATGCTTTTTTCAGGGCCTAACACCTATGCCTTATCTAATGTGAGGATATGCACTTTGCTAGAGCACACTTTCCAGATAACTATTCAGTGAGCGTGAATAAAAATAAACGATCACTGTAAAACATGGACCAAAAAACCCATTTAAGTCCAAAGTAGTGTTTTTGTTTCACTATATGTAAATTTCATTTGCAGGAAACTGTTTCCATCATCTCAACCACCCTTATGGTTTATTTGAGAGTCCAGGCAAACCAAGTTGTTACCCGAACAACAAATACTGCGCCTGGCTGCTCGAAGCTCCTGTTGGTCAATACATTGATCTACAATTCTATTCTTTCCATTTGGAATACGGAGCTTCTTACTGCCCGTGGGATTATGTCGAAGTTCTTGACGGTAACTCATTGCACAGTCCTATTCTTGTCAAGGCGTGCGGCCAGTTGGCGTGGTGGAGATTGTACAGTAGTGGAAGGTTCCTTATGGTGCTGTTCAAATCGGACAGTATCATCGGGATGCCTGGATTCTCTGCTTATTACCGAGCTTCATATAGAAGTAAGAGGAATAAATCAATTTCTTCAAAACTTTTCTTGAATTACAATGTTTAGATGAAAGTTTCATAGCGTAAATGGAATTTTTTAATGGCTTCAGGTAAAGTCAATTCGAATTAAAACTTTAAAGCAAGTTTAATAAGACGGTTTTCGAGGTTAGTCAAGTCGTACCTTCCAAGTAGTAAATGTTTTTCACCGCATTTTCGTAATAAGTCTTAAATACTTTAATAGAGAGAACTTACGACTTACTCTTAGAATCGTAAACAATATGGTTCACTTACTGTTAGAAGCCTTTTTTCTTAACATATACAAACTCAAGCTCTTCCTCATACGCAGGATACAACATTTCATTACCAAGCCAAGTGTCAATAACAAGCCCAGTGCAGTGTTCTCCTACGCAGACACAAACTACCACTCCTGTCACGTCAAATGGTAAGTGAACGAAACGTGTGCTCTTAACAAATGTCATTTTTAATGACTTACACATCTATGCAACTTTCTTACCCAAACATAATTTCCTTTCAAACCTCCAGTTTGTCACATAGTGATCATGTTTCGAAAAAATTCTGTAACGAACGCACCAGTAAATTATCAGCATATATTGACTTTGCCATTGATTTCCTTGGTTATTTCAAGAAATAACCTAGATCCAACAATAATTTACAGTGATACAATACAAGGTAAACGAAAATCGAACGGAGAAAGGACAGCAACAACGTAATGACAGTTAGAACAGGTGTACAAAACGAAAAGTCGTGAATAAACCGACATAGAGACACTCCTGGAAACCCAAAAATTTGGCGTGAAAACTTTGAAACCTTTCACATCCAGAAGTGATTATTATGTAATTTCTCCCCATAATATCCATACATCATCCAGCAAACAGGTAATGAGAATACTAAATCTTATCAGAAAGAAGTTATTATATTGATCTAACACTTAATTCTCTGTAGTAACTAAAAGGGAGAGTTAACAACCAGACTATAGTTATAACTAGTTATAACTGAAACCACTGAAAGACCATACAACAAGTACAAAAATTTATAATTAAAATTTTGAATTATGCTGAAAGACTTAACCGAATATACCAATACATTAACGGACTAAGGGAGGGAGGATAAAAATAACAGTAGAAGAACTGTCTATGCTTGTTTGCAGTGCACGGAATCCAACCGACACCTGCTTCTGCAATGACATCGACCTTCTATGCTGCTTCAAGTGTAAACGTCCAGCCAAATCCTTCCCAGTTCCAGTTTCATTTACCGGCGCAATGCGAACAAAGTTGTCACAACACGTTAGGAAGTTACACCTGCTCTTGCATTAGTGGATACCAACTGGCCGCGGACGGGAAATCGTGCTTAGGTAAAATTGATTCTACAAAAATAAGTTTTGAGACATTTTGTTTTTGATACATTCTCATAGTCTCGCTAAATCGATTTTTTTTCGTCACGAGCACGATTAAAATAACAGATCGTTGTGTTTTTGATGTTCAGCCTAAATCTCTATTTGTTGTTTGACGTGTGCCGGTCGTTTTATACTTTACAAAGGTTACCGATCAATGAGCCCTTGACACCCATACATCAGAATGCATATTCTCCATACTGTTCTACATACATTTCTTAGTGTGTTGACAAGGAGAATTTGTGTAACTTCATTAGTTGGTGATCATTTCCTTTATTCTCATTGCCTTTATGTGTGATTCAGGGGTGATATTGTAAGGAGAAATTAAATCCTATTCATTCTTAGGGTTAACAATATAAACCTCAGAATACCCTAATTGCTCTCCTTCTCTCGTGCGCGCTTTCCGTTCTCCTTAAGTGCCCATGGTAAGTTTAGCTTGCAATTTTAATGTTTGAGGTGGCTGAGTATTTCTCTTCAATTAATTTTATAACTTGTTTTTTTCCCTTTTGCGCAGACGTTGATGAATGTTCGATCAGTAATGGTGGCTGCAGCCATCATTGTTACAATATCCCTGGATCATTTTATTGTGGCTGTCCGGAAGGAACCAGTATGGGTGCCAACAATTTGACTTGTGTTGGTAAGGAATGCTAAGCTAAGCTTTCTGCATATGACTTCTGAAGGAAAATTCTGCTTCTGTCTAGGATGGGAATATATAACGATCAACAATGAAAGACGACTGACCGTTCCTGTAATGTATGTATATTGGAAGGAAAGCAGAAAAACATTGTGGATGCGTGGTACTTTTTTGTGACTCAACTATCTTAAAGTTTTTATGGATTAGGCACGAGTAGTTGGAAGACATTTAAATCTTGTTAAATTTAAGGCTGTTGCTTTTTTATTCATCTTAGAACCTGGTGTGTCTGTTAACTGCAGTGACATTATAACGGTTGCCCTAGAAAAGAAGACATTTCCATTTTTTGACGTTGCCCGACTACACTTGAGGTACTCATCATGTAAAGCCACACAGAATGACACCCATTTGCTGATCAACACTCCTTTAAATGGTTGCGGAACAATGGTCAACGAGACTGAAGATGACCTTATCTTCTGGAATGAAATCCGAACGGAGGTGATCCTTATCGACAATGTCATAACTAGATCACATGACGTCAAAATTCCATTTTATTGCAGTTATTCGAGAAGGAAATGGGTCAACCTGGGTTTCAAGCCTCAGCATCTACACTTTGGGACAGAAGGTAAATGAAACTTTCCAGCTCTCATTCTGATCACTCCAAATCAGCAACATGTATCTTTAGGTAAGGTGCTTTCCTCCTGAGGATGATCGATGCTATCCTTTCTTCTCTAGAGTGGAAGGCAGATTTGTTTTAAAATTTAACACGTTTACGTGCTAAATGACTTTATATTTTCCGCTTTCCAGCTGGGTATGGAAACTTTACCTTTAAAATTGACTTTTACAAGAGTTCGTCATTTGCCACACCTTATACCGAGCAGGACTACCCTCTGAGCGTGCCAGTCAATCAGTTCTTGTATGTGAGATACAGCGTAGAATCCAGTGCTGATCTGGTGATAATGGCCGTAACATGTCGGGCCACTAAAACTGGAAGCTTGTACTCCTGGCCACAATACTCTATTATACTGAATGGGTATGTATGTTACTCAAACAGATCAGTATGAATGATCTTCCTGGAAAAATACGCAAGTTTCAGTCAAGTAATCAACGAATCGTTTTTTTCATATCACCTACATTTCGTCCTATAAAGACATCTGTATGTTTTTAAAGGTTTGTAGTCCCCTGTGCTGCGAAAGCTAAATTCCTAGTGCAAAGTATGGAGGCGTTCGGTGTTACTGAAGGACAACCTCCAACGTTTTTCTGACTCTAATGAGTAAGGCCATCATCACATTATTATTCCAGAGAAAGCGTACTATTACAACCACGAAATCCTTTCAATATTTCCTTACCAAATATTCAAGCTTCTGAAAAGCTAAAATTACCCAGAACGCTCTTTAAAAAGTTTTCTAGTGGCAGCATGAATTAGAAAGAAACAGACTCAGGTGACAATGAGCAAAATATCCTACTTGTGCGCGTGAATTATAACTTACTTCTTACTTTGACTACCTACAGTTGTCCGCGAGACACAACCATGGAATACAACTTTGATCCCCAAAGGAATTACCAGCAGTTTAAAATCAGAGCATTCAGATTCTTTAACGACTACGATCAGGTGTACATTCATTGCGAAGTTTTGGCCTGTCATAAATACTCTTCAAACTCCAGGTGAGTTAACAAACTCGTACACCTACACTGAAAGCATTCTTTTGATTAAGTGTCGTCGAGGTGAAGTCTGTACTCGAGCCTACTGACCCGTTCAGCCGGGGCTTATCCCAGTTTCCCTCTAGCATGAAGCGACTAGAAGTATGACTGCTCCCCAGTGGATGTGATGCATTGCAAGGTTACCCCACAGCATTTCATTAGGCCTCCCTGACAGTTCGCGGATACCCATTTATACTGATGTTTCAAGCGTTAGCCCTTCGTTAGAGCGATAGACGGAGGGCCAATCTCCGAAACGTCAGCTTTTAAACTCTTTACAGTGGTCTTACTCTGAATAATGATACGAACGACTAATTATTATTCTATAAAACTCAGATTGAATAGCTGAATTAAGATTATAAAGCAAAAGTAAACATTTTATCAAACTAGATCGATTTGTCCCAGAAACGCTGTAGGCAAGGAGATGCCGAATAAACATTTATCACCGAGAAACATCACAATTACCCTTGAGAAATTTGAGTGCAATATGATTTCATCACTCACAAAAAAAAGGCGTTCGAAGCTCATTCAAATCTTCCTCAACAACTTTGACAGGTGCACCCAAAGTTGTTTGGGAAGTAAGAAGAGAAAGCGGAGGGATGTTACCCGCGACGAAACAGAACATGAAGAGAGTACTACCAAAGTCACTCTTACACGAGGACCACTGATCTTTCAACAGGACGAAGAACCAGGAGGCAAGTTCACATATAGTGTCAAAAGATAAGGGTTTGATATACAAGTTTTTTCTCAAATACTGCAGAGCTTGTGTTAAACATGTCAAAAATGCTGTCTTGCCTAAATTTTAAATTTGGGTAGTTTATCACTGGTTCAAAACTATAAAGATGATGAGAAAAACTTTCAAAACACAACTTTACTGAAAAAGGAAATTCAGGTCCTAATGTGTAACTGGCATTTTCACTTTCTCTACTGTCAAAAAGAAAAATATTAGTATTGAAGGATTTTGAAAATAGGTAAACTAAGGCAATTTTATATCAAGTTAGCAGTTGATTTCAGTTTCTTGCTTATAAATATTAAGTTATTTCCCTCTCCCTTTTCTTCAACTAATTTCATTAACAGAAATAAGAAAAATGAGATTGAGTTATTTGTTTCAATTTTAAATGTTTCCCTTTCTTCGGTTCTCACTTGAGATGTGATTCCTCTTCTGCATTCAAATTTCAGACACTGGTAAAAACAAGCAAACTGCGCTGATTGGTGGCGTAGCTGCCGCTGGAGGATTTGCTCTGATTGCAGTTGCTGCATTGGCTGTTTTATTTGTCAAGTACCGCATGGCACGACGGTTCATAAACAGAAACAAGGTTGGAGACCTGTACACAACCCAAGATGAACAGCTAAGCAGAAGAAATGCTTACGTTCAGCCTGAAGACATGGTCGAACAAGAAGACTCCTTCTAAATATAAGCTATTCTTTTGAGCCCAGTTGCTCAAAGGACAGAGAACGTTATACAACGGATAAATCACTATCCAGTGAAGAAGTGTATATAAACTGTACTGTGCTATCCACCGGTTAGGGATTTATCCAATAAGAAAGCGTTATCCACCCTTTGAACAACCGAAACCTGCATTGCTTACTTGCCTCCTTATCAAGCAGCGAATAAAAATGTAGTTTAAGGAACATCTTGGCAGTTACGAGGTTCGAGTGTTTTCATTGCAACCTCTGGTAAGAATAAACATTCTCATCTACCTTCTAGGCAATTTAGCCGCCTGAAATTTACGTAACTTTTTTGTCAACCAACACCTTTACAGTATGCAGTCTCTTCAAGACTGCAGGCCTTCCTTTGGATAGATCGCTTTCAACTATATGTAGAGAGAATGTTTTTAAGAATATGTAAACCAAAACGGAATAGATCTTTGTGCTGTGCCTTAATTTAAGAACCGTTCATTGTTGAAAAGGTATTTTCAGAAAGCGAAAAAAATTGAATGAGGTAAGTTGTTATTAACCAAACTGGTCATCATTTCTCTTTTTCAAACCTGCCTTTTCATTCGCATTTTTGTGTTCATTAGCTCCGGTCGTTTTAAAATATCGAGAAAAATTAAATGAGTACACTTCATCTCTTGACTCTCGAGTGTAACTTAAAACTGACATACGTCCACGAGGAGACAACGTTTCAAGCACTTTCAAACAATCCCAAAGATGGAAAGATCACACTGATCAGCCTTGAACAGGTAAGGTCAGTAGCTGTTATTCGAAATGCTATGTTATTGTCCCGAATCCTTCCTATCGTGTCTATTGTGATCAGAAGTTATCTGCTGAGAGTGTGATTAAAACAATTCTATTTTGGCGGTAGAAGGCGAAATCTTAGACCTTTGACGGTTCAAGATTCGCAATAACAAAGAGAAACGAAGAGACTTTGCCTTGGTTCTTCATTAAAGTCTACAAGTTGGCGCATATTCGAAGAAACCAAATTTATAAATTAAGATAAAAAATTTAGCGCTTAAATTTTACCCCCTAGAGCGCTCGTATAATTAAAAAAATAGTCTCCGTTATCCTTTTAATAACTAGGCACTCATCTCGCTCTGGTGAAATTTCCGGTAAACTCTGGGATTGATCTACATTTTAGTGCACGTGTCACGCAATTGGATTACGCTGCCTACAGGCAGACAATCCTGTGGGTTTGAGGTCGCGTGACGTCAGTTACGCGACCTGCATAGTGTGTCGGTCGAAAGACGGTACAAACCAGCCCTGGCGTAGGGAGGGTCGGGTGAAATCCGAGCTTGGTTAGTGATCAATTTGAATTTAATACTGTTAATCGAAGGCTTATGATTGACCTCTTCGGTTCACGTTGTGTCGACGGCAGATGATGAGCGAATGTCGGAAATCGAGCAGGCTTTTGAGGTGGTTAGAGGCGAGCAATTGTACTGATTTTTGGCTTGGCTCTTACACGTTTATTGAATTTTAACGTGCCCGAAGCTGGGAGGTGAACGACATTTAGAAGTGGAAGAAATTCGACGAAGTTCTAAAGGCTTTCGGCCCGACGGTCCTGGAAGTTGTAAGCCTTGTGTTTTTCCTTTGCCTTTGGAGGACCATCAATGCAAAGTGGGGAATTAACCGTCCCAAAAATCTACAAAATCACTCGAGACAACACAGAAAAAGAAAGGTAAGTGAAGTTTATTTATCTGACTATCATTAAGCGGATTTTGGGAATGAACTGTTTCGATTTGCGGAATTTATGAAACATTTCTCGGGATCACTTGCGTGTTACCGAGATCGACCGTAGAAAATAGCCCTTTTAACAGTACTAGCGACTAAATACAGGAATGGCTCCGACCTGTACTTAGATGATAAAAAATAGTAAAAGTTAATAAGTTATATCTTAACTCCATGCTCGTGAGTATTGTTTACCCGTGTGTCTCGAAGCCGAACAATGAAAGAGCAATGCGAGTGAAAACACCGATGTATATATAGCATAACAAAGGAAAGGTCGAGCCTTTCTTTTCCAATGAGTTAGTTCTGCGATACTCCGGCGATGACAGAGTTATTCGCCAACTAGCTCCGCTGACTAAACTCATTTTGCCAGTTCAGGCGGACGAACAGAGACTGGAGCCATTCCTGTATTTCACCGCTGACAGGAATAGCTCCGACTCATGCACTTGTTGGATCCTACATGCAACTGCTATGGAAAAGTACACCCTTTGCTCCTAGATTTGCTTTAGCTGCAGTATTGGTTGTAGCTGTGCCAGCTATGATTTAATGCATTGAAAGATTCTCGTTGTCCACAAACAAGGTAGCAGACGTAAGGAGTACAAAAAACGATCAAATGAGAAGAAGACATGTCAGGCCTGCATTACAGTTCTTCACCAGTGGAGGGTTGCGCCAGAATATTACGACTCTAAGGAAAGGCAGACGAAAGATTACTGTGCAGTCTGAGGGCAGTTATCCCTTTGCTATATAGGAAATGAAATCTGTAGTTGGCTGAATACTTATGAATTCAAATAACTTTTGGAAAAGAAACTTCAGGTGACACTTCAGAGTGTACTCATAGTCTGTACTCTTTTGTAGTCTGTGACTGCTTTATACAGGTTCCACAGACTAGGGATATTAGATATAACCAATAAAAAACATCATTTAATGTCCTAATTGAACACTAAATGTACATAAAATCACTCAAGAATACTACCAACGTTGATTTTGCAAGATAAATATGGATTCAATTTTACTTGAAAGATTTCTCTTGGTATTATTTGTGTGGCCCTGCTTTAACCCTTTAACTCCCGTGAGTGACCAAGACAGAATTTCTCCTCACTACATCTATACAATATCATGCAGACAAGTAACAAGAACAAAGAAAAATATCAATTACGGGATTACTAATTGATCCAATACCAAATTCTCCATGCTCACATAATGAGAACCATTTGGCACACAGAAAAGAGAATTACTAATGAGATCTTGGGAGTTGAAGGATTAAGTGACCAATCAAGAAAGGTGGGGGAATATACGAAAAGGTCATGGGGACTCTGTCAAGGGTGACCACACCCACTTAACCCTCTACACCCTAACATCAATGTGCACATTCTCCATACTGTTACCTATACATTTCCTAAGGTACTGACAGGGAGAAATTATTCAACAATCAAGAGCTCCTTTAGTTAGTGATCATTTCCTTTATTCTCATGATCTCAAATGAATGATTCAGGAGTATTATTGTCAGGAGAAACTAGATGCTTAAATTATGTTTTCGTCCAACAATTGCCAGTGTTGTCTTTACTCATCTGAATTGATTGTCAAAAACTAAAGCTACAGGGCTAGATAATACCTCTCACTCTTAGGGTTTAAAGGGTTAATAAAGACAAAAATTACAGCAGTTAAGGGGAACAGATTTTGGGACTTTAAAACCGAACCTAGTACAGGGTGACCACTTAATATGGTGCCACTTACTACAGGTTCAACTGTTATAAATACCTCTTGTCATACAGAGATAGTGTAGTCATTAATGGTCAGCAGTAACTTGATTAATTGATAGATGACAACATAGGAGGCAAGTTGATAAAAATTAACGGCTACAGTTACTATTTTCCTTAAAAAATACTTAATTGCACATGGTACAAACCTTATTATTCCCAATATGAGATACAAAATGCACAATAATATATACACAATACAAATGCAAAAAGCAATACTCCTTTCATGTGTTATGATTAAAATATAAAAAGTCAACCATAACTTTACAGTATTTCCTAAACAGGATGGCAAAAAACTAGTATTTCAAATACAGCAGACTGATGTGCAAAAGCAGCGAGTGTATCTAGTAAATAGTGCCATTGATACTACTTGTACTAATCATAATTTTTGTTTGGCTCGTTTTTGTTTTGTTTTGGTTTTTTTTTTTAATTTTAATTTTGTTTTAATTTTTTTATTTTTATTTTCTTCATTTTATATTTTTTTTTGGCATTTTCTTTTTTGTGATACAATTTGTAATGTCTACTACACTATTTACAGGCAGTTGTAGCCTACTTTTTTCCCCTATTAAGTTTCCTTTCCCCTAATGAGTTAATTCCCATTGCTTTTATTATTGGAATCTCATACACAAAATTGTTTCACATTCTTATGGTATTTGTCTCCACTGATAAGTATTTCCCAAGTAAAATTCTTTTTGAACCCCTAGGCTTTGCCCTTTTTAATACCTTTTATGGGTATTAAACATCTCTAATATCTACTAAGCCCCCTGAGTGGGTTGGCAGGTTTTCAAGAAGCCTTCTGTCTAATGAACCCCCTCCTCCACCTCCCTCTTCCCTCTGACCCCACCCAGAAGCAGTTTAGTCCCTGTTTCCTTGGGCTAATTGCATTGTAGCAAAATAAAATTATTATTTTGCACCTCAAAGTATCCTTCAGTATTATACTGGGTTTGTAACTACAGATCTACCTAATGTGTGCTATGCACTCTTTCCCAGCAGCACTGGACATCAAAAGGGCATTCATGTATTTATATATTTACGATCAGGTATGCATAAAGGAGCACAAACAGAATAAGGCCAAAAAAGATGGTTCATGGTGTATCACTGCTATTTTGATTTTGATACAATCCAGCTATGGCCCTGCAAATGTCATGTCGTCTTAGGTCATGAATAACTTGTACAAATTCCTTAAGAGAGAGAACTGTCTCCATTGCAGATAAAAAGGTTAGCAATGATTTTGTAGGACTTCCTCCCTCTCTGTTCTCCTCTATCTTCATTGTATCAAGATCTGAATCCGGAATTTCAATCGTACGACCCACTTCCCACCAGTTTGGTAAAGGAGCCTTTTTTGCATTCAACATTTTGATGAGTTCGGTTTCAACTTCAAATGGCAGCTTATCAAGTTTTATGTCTGAAAAAAGGGTCATAAGTTAACTATAAGAAATTGTAAATTACATGGAGTCTTACAGCCCCTTTATCTATAATGAATATGATATTAATAGTAATAACCATAATTAATAATAACTATAATCATGATAACACTGATAATGATTGTTGTGGTGATGATGTTGAAATTCACTTTTATATGTCAAGTTTAATTTACATGACTTAGAATGATATGTAACTGACACATTTTAATACGAACAAGTGAAATTTCTCTAAATTAAACATTGTCATGATTTCCTTGAAGATGCAACATTGAAAATATAATAAAACTAGTTTTTAAAGTGCTTAAAATGTCATAGTCTGCACAAGTTGTATCAAAATTAAGAGTGGCATTAACTCAGCTTGAAATGCTTCAACCCTTTAACTCCCATGAGTTACCAAGACAGAATTTCTCCTTACTATATCTATACCATATCATGTAGACAAGTGATGAGAATTAAAAAAATATCAACTATACAATTACTACTCGATCTGATACCAAATTCTTCAAACTAGCATGATGAGAATCGTTTGGCAAACAGTAAGGAGAATTGCTAATGAGATCTTGGGAGTTTAAGGGTTAAAGTAAAATGGAGCTGCAAGGGTAGTGCACTTTGAGAATAGACACTGTATCATTGAACAGACTGAGTAACTTTCAATTGAGTCTCTGAACAATCAAGTATTACCTTTCATTTTGTTTTATTTCGTTGTGATTGCCACTCTCCAAACCAATCAGTTAAAAAAAATAAACCAAACATCTCTTCTTCCCGACACATCAAACACAATTAGTTTGTTTTTACTTTAAGCTCTCACTTACTGTCAATCAATCAATCAATCAATAGACTTTATTTTAAGAGGGGAACATGTGATAGTGGTGAAACTGATGACCCTGTGATGCTATAGTTCATTGTTGTGATTCTTTTGGTTTTGATTTAATGAACCTCAACCTTATTTTTTAATAATATGTACACTTTAAATAGTATAATACAGTAGGGTTCATCACTAACCTTCAGGTATGACATTAAGCTTTTCCTGGCAGGAATTAGAGCCTGTAAGAAAAGGTCTCCTCTCTATAGAAAAAAATTTCAAGGAGAATAAGAAAAAAGAATAGCAGAAGTCAGAAACTTATTGTACATATACTTAATTGACCACTCCCACAAAGGGGCTTTTTGGTGCCAATACAAATGAATGAACTAATGAATGAATGAATAAACTTACAGTCATGTAGTATTGAAAAATCCCAACTGGGAAGAGTATACTACATGTGTATACAAAGTGCAGGTAAGGAGTTGAACCTGAACACTGGACTGAGAACAAATCCAGTGAGTAGCAAGGTGGAGAGCTTTAATCCAGGACCACTAGACTACAAGCACAATACCCTAACAACTGACTACACTGACTACACTACCTCTGTCATATAATAAGTAATGGTTATAGGACTGACTGAAGTCCAATTCAGTCTGTAATCATACAAGTGATAACAAAATCAGACAATCATGCAGCAGAAGTCTGATTTGTTTATCACAAGCATGATTACAGAAAGAATTAGACAACATGAAGTCTTATTACCAATTAATCATAAAAGTCACTATTTCCAAAAAAGAAGAATAGCCAAGTTAAGAAAGAAAGGGAAAATTTGCATAAAAAGAGTGACAAAGGAGGTTTTTTTTTAATTGTTTGTTGGTTGACTTAAACTATAACTTTGAATGTGAATGGCTCATTGAACTGTCCAATAATAAACTGTCTTATAACAACTTGGCAGGTGAATAAGAGGAAAATAAGAGTTTTTTAAACCAATCACAATCAAGGAAACTGTCATTTTTATGATTATTGATGTAGTAATAGCACTAAGAAAATAAGCAAGTAACTCTAACAAAGTCAGTATTTAAAGTGAAGGATGACAGATCATTATATGGTTATACACAATATAAGTAACCACATTTGTTACCATTTTATTATAAATTTACCTGCTAAGGAGCTACATGTAGGTAAACATGTAACTTTCCTCAAACTAGAGCACCCATGCGATGACTGCTTCTTTCTCTTCCAAGCTAGCCAGCTCAAGAATACAATAACTGCTACACACAATCCCAGAAGACATGACAGTGCAATATGTGCTCTATCAAAGGAGTGACACTGCTTTAAGGCAGAAGACAAATTTTGATTTGTCTGTCCCTTTCCTATTAGACTTGTATTGTTGGATAATGAGCAATTCATTTGTCTGTCACTGCCTTTCAGAAAAGAGCTATCAGATAGCACTGTACAGTTGCAGTCACATCCACTTGATGTAAGATTTTTCTTTGGCAGATCGTTGCATGGTTTTGATGATCTCCTGCAATGTTTCTGGCCTTTTCCTCCAATCACTGTACCAGGTGTTAATTTTATACACTGTGACTCAATGTTAATGTTGTCACCTTCACAACACTTGGTACATCTATGACATTCTTTGTCTGTGCTATTAAAGTAGTAACCATTTGAAATGCACATATCAGCACATTCTCTGTCCTTCGCAGATAAGCAAGGACTAACTTCAAGTCTTTTACCACAAGAAGTACACTTGCGGCACCTGATATTTGTCCCCTTGTTTGAGAAGAAATTCTGCTGACAGCTTTGACAGCTTACATCTGTCCCCATGGGATGCCTTGAACCAGGTTCCACTGTTGGCTCCTGCCCATCAAGGCACTCAGGAAAAGGCCAGCATATATAGGTAGCGGGGTTTTGCTTCTCATATAGCTCAATTTCATCTTTTTTTTCACATCTATTGCCATATCCTTGTGCTACTAAAACAGTCTGCAACAAAGAATATTATAATGTAAAAAAGTTCATTGATTTTCAGTATTAAACTCAGATAATAATGGCAAAATGTTGCATCAGAGTAGTGATTCCCTTTTTTCTGGTCATTTTTGGCATATATCAGTCTTCAAATCATGTTTTTTTTAACAACAGTAATCATACACTGCTTTAATTCCCACACTAACAACAATGACCCAGCTCCTGACCAATCCTTACACCCTTTAACCTTTAACTCCCAAGATCTGTTTGTGTTTCTCTCCTCTAGCTGCTACACATTTCCTTGAATTACAAGAATTTGCTGTTCAATCAAGATAATACCTTGTACCTAATACCTTGTACCTGATAAGTTTGAGTATTCTTACTACCTGTTTGCTGGATAATGTATGGATACTATAGGGGAGAAGTTACATGTTAATCACTTCTGGGAGTTAAAGGGTTGACTGAAAACTTTCGCTACATGAATCACACCCAGGTTTAAATGAAAAGTACACAATTTTGAAATGGGGTAAAAAGTTTGTCAAAGCCATAACTTTTCAAGGTAACAATAGCCCCCACCCCCAACAATTCAGGAAAATTATTTAGACTGTAGCAAATACATGTATATATACTTACGATTGTGCTACAACCATCTAATTACTTTAAAAATTAGTGAAACTTGATAGGGTCTTCCACCATAAAATGGGTGACAAGTAATGAATACAGCTTCTCAAGATTATACTCCTAATTTTGGAATGTTGTTTCATACATGAATTCTTTGGGGGAATAGCCTAACTAGCCCCAGGCCTCCATGCTGCACCTGGCTAGGAGTTGACTGACATTTGGATGACATATGATCACATTGTTTTGTCTGTTTGATCATTAATAAGTTGTTTCTTTACTCACAGAAGCCCTTGTGAGATAATTTTTTGGGGAAAACATTTCTACAGATGAGCCAATTATTTGAAAAGCACGTCAAGGCTTTACGTGAAATAGTAAATAAAAACGGCAAATTAAATATTCAAGTTCATGAAATATTCGGCTACATCAGCATCATTCCGTTCTTTGGTAAAATTTTCGCACAGCCCCATACTATTGTAAAACAAATTTGTTTTCCCAATGGCAATGTATTGTTTTTGACATTGTTTTCTCTATCCAAGAACTGAATACATAATTTAGGATGGGGTTGTGCGGAAATTTTACCGATGAAAACAACAACTAGGTTATGCGTGAAAAATTATTAGTAAATAAGATCGGCAAACTAAATATTCAAGTTCGTGAAATATTCGGCTACATCAGCATCATTCCGTTCGTTCTTCAATAACATTTCACGATCCGATGCCTTCATGCAACGCAACCCTCCAATCAGTAAATCACGTATCCACCGATAACTGCATTTACAGGTAGTAAATTATGTTTAATCTAACGGGTTACATACGAGATGATTGCTAAGAGCGGTTAAGCGATCGTAATAAGACATGATGGCATTCTGAATAAACGAGTCTCGGAGTGAACGTGACCAAACGTCACCATGATTTCAAAATAATTAATAATGAAGATTTGAGGGAATAAAAATTTAAGCTCGCCATGTGATGCCTTTCGCGATCATGGTTGATGAAAATAACTAATAAAAATTTCATAGACTAATGTAAAGTATTCAAAAAAAGGGTACAACTCACAGCAGTGATCAGAAGTCCCACAAGAATTTTCTCTTCAACTTGGGCAAAGTCTTTCATCGTGAGAAGGTATCGAAATTCTGAACCCCTTCCACGCTGCTTCCAAATTCCCCTTCCACGCTGCTTCCAATGTTTCCGTTTGCAGGTATTGAAGAGGTTCTAAACTTTCAAAAGGTGTGTTGAAACGGAGCGGAAAGTTTCAATGACCGAATCAACCTGTCGAAATCAATGAAAATGCTGACCGAGCTAAACGTAAGGTATTCTTAGTCAAATGGTAACATTATTTTGCGACCATGCCGCTGACAAGGAGCCAAAATGACCCTGGGCTCGAGATTGCGCGAAATACTGCATGAGCCGTCAGAGCTGCTGACGAGAGAGGATCCTGAGCCTTGCTGCCTATCATTACATTAACGCGTTCCTACACGGTTTATCGACCAATCCAAGGAGGGGTCAATAGCAATGCAGTCTGTAGCCTGTGCAAGGCTCTCGATCCGAGAGGAAACGGAATTTCCTTCCCACATCGCCACCGTGTTTCTCTCGTATCTTCGAGAGCACCAAACATACCATATAAGAGATCGAACCAGAAACTCGTATCTAACACGTGACAGGATAGAAAAGCAATCCAAAATAAATAATGTTCATTCGGTGGGACTGGATCAATGGCCGCTTGACGATTGTGGTTACGCCAAACGAGCAATACATTAGGAATTGCACTTGGGCATTTGAAAGCCATTATCTAAACTATAAGCACAAATGCTGAACAAAATTTTGGCTTGTTACTCGAACTTTTGCACTCCGATGATATGACTGGAAGGAGAACAATGAACAATAAATGGAATTTCCGGCGTTTCAGTGGATACGAATTAGCCGAAAATGAAATATTTCTGCGGCACGGGAGCAGTGGGGACTGGGGCAGTTGAAGTGCAGTATGGGTAGAATGGAGTGCTATAAAACGGATGTTTATCACGTGGGAAAGCATTCCAGGCTGACACCTCGTCTTGCTCACGTTATTTTTTTAGTATATATTTGATTTACTAGTGACAGTTGGAGTTTCACAAGGGTTTCTTAGCTCTTTTGCGTTTCCTAAAATCACTTAAAGTTTTCCGTGCTTTGTTGGAATACATGTTTAGTAAATTTCTGAAATTAAACGCACTTTGTTATGGCGTTTGCAAGTTGTGATTAAATTATCTTTGGACGTAATTCGTGCGCTTTTGAAATGTGTGATTCGCGCGCTTTGCTTCTGCGTGATTTTGAAAAGCTATCTCAACTTTCCTTAATGTTTATTTTCAAATGGTAATCACTCGTTTTTTCTCGTGTAATGTGTAATAGATAAGCACTCGTAACTTTTTTAAAGAGTACAAGTTGTTCCTGCTCATCGAACTCTTCAAATTTTGTTGAAATCATGTTATCACCTTTCCAAAGCGGATCCTTTATTAAATGTTTTGTTGTTAACGCTCCAATTAAATGCCATCGCACTTGACTGAAAAGCCCATTTAACTCCTAAGATCCGAATATAAAATCTCTCCTCTAGCTGCATGACATTTCTTTGAAAATTAGTCACAAGAATTTGGTGTTGGATCAAGATAACGTCTTCCTTATAGTTTGAGTATTCTCATTACCTGACCGCTGGATAATGGTATGGATATCACAGGGAGAAGGTACATGTTAATCCCTTCAGGGAGTTAATGTGGTGGTGCACCCAGAAATAATCAATCTGCAGCGACCCAGCAAACTGGCTCATTTATTATCCATTGCTCAAGCTGAGTGATAAGGTAAGAATCATTTACGTGTTAGAAATTTGTTAATTATCTCCGTGAAAGCTTTAAATACTTTACCTACGAGACGGGCTTTTTCTCGTTTAGTAGTTTTGACGGCGTAACAGCAAACTTAGAAAATATAGTTTTTCTTTTTCAGAATAAAGTGTTGGAACAAAATGTCATTTGCGCATTAGATTACTACACAGCATCACTATGTAGATGCTGCTCGAAAAAAGGCAAATTGAATAGATATTCAAAATTCTCAGTAAGTTTTAGAAGTTGTGATACCGAAAAAAAGGTAGGGAATTTACTATCAGCCAAATATTTCACATCTTGTATGGAAGAGGAAGAGGAGGTCTTGCAGTTTTTGGGCGTTGCTTCGAGTTTTAAGGCAGTCTGTTTCATGGCCAGGATGCTCCAATAACTACACTGATGCCTTTACAATCACTTAATTTTGCAAACAGTAGGATTCTCGCCCGCTTATCTTTTTAAAGAGTGATTACAGATGAATCTTAGGATCGCAGGTCAAACTTCGATAGAGCATGTGAGGAATCTAGAAAACGCAAACTGATCAATATTTCATTAATTGAGTGGCCGTTTCTTGATGGCCTAATATAACCAAATGTCCCTGTAATTAGCGAGAACAAGTTATAAGAACGAGAGTGAGAAATAGGGGGCTTAGTAAGAAGGGTGACGTATAAGAGAGGGGTTTATCGAAGAGAGGGCTTGAGAAAAGGTAGAAAAGGGGAACTACTTTTGTTCAAGCAGGTGGTTTCAGTAAAGGAGAGTGACACCTGTGCAAATTCCTTTGAGAGAAAAATAGTGTAAGTGGTATTTCGTTCCACCCATATGAAAAAATAGTCAGCTTTTAGATGAAGGTAATCTTGTTTAATCCCGCCATTGTTATATTATTTCTGTAGCATTTTTAAACTTACTATACGTGCACCACAACTAGACAAATCTTGATTTTTTTAAGAGTAGCTTAACCCCTCCCCCCGCTCCCTCACAGTTCGTTTTCAAGTCGATTTGAAAACGGGCAATATCTATATTTTTGGCAATTATTGTTACCATTATAGTCAGAGAGAACTAGGGAAAAGTAGTGGTGAGTATTAGTATTAGTGTTAGTGTCTTTCGAGCCATTAGTTTTAGTAAGTATTTCAAGTATCAGTTACGGGTGTAGTGCTAATAAGACTGTACTGAAAAGGTAATACTAGTATTGTTTAAGCTTTTTTATTGTCATTATTGATAGTATTAAATGTGTGTTAACTGAATTCAAACAAAACAGATGAGCAACGACTAAGTTCTAATCTTTTAACTGGGAGCAGCTTAAACTGGAACGTACTTTTGTGGCAATCCTGCAGTGCAGACGTCATATTAGGGCGAGTTAACGTTACAAGCTCGCGATCGTTTGTTCGACCGGCTATGTTTGAATTACATTTGGCGTGCCTCCTCTCTCCTTCAAAGCCGAGAGTACCTCGCTGACTTCAGATTATTGCAAAGTTCTGCTAACAAAGTCAAAATGTTGCGTTAGAGATGCGATGCTCTCTTTCCTGGTCATTTTTGAGATAAATCAGCACCAATTCTACGCCATTTTTAAAAAAATTTTAAACAACAGTGATCATAACCTGACTTCAGTTACGCACAGCAATGACTCTACTCTACTGCAGCGACCCTTGAGAATTGGGACTTACTAGTACTGAGCTTAAGGAAACAAATCCTAGACTTAAACAACTTTGAAAGAAATGCAAGACTTTGTGACTGAAATTAATTTCTCTTAAATGAGAATTCAAGACCCATTGAAGAGACCAATGCGATTTTAAAAGACGCAGACTGAAATAGCAATTTTGATCCTGAGTGAGCCGACCGCTGAGAACAGTGTGTAAACCATGAAATAATACTTCGGCGTTGAAGCCGCTGATTATTTCATCATTGCATTAACGACTCACTGCATAATTTATTGACCGACCCTCGAAATGAAGTCTTTTTGGACTTCGCAAGGACTTTCGACAGTCTAAAATTCCTAATATGTGTAAGACTCTGGCTCAGACTCTGTTCCACGCCGTTTTTCTTCCTTACCTCCGAGTCATCAACCATACAATCTTTCAAGGAATCGAATGAAAAACTCGTAGGCAACACGACAGGATTGAAAAGCGATCTGAAAAATTCTGTTAACCCTTTAACTCCCTTGAGTGACCAAGACAGAATTTCTCCCTACAATATCAATACAATATCAACCAGATAAGTGATGAGAATAAAGAAAAATATCAATTTGGGGATAATTAGTTGATCCAAGGGATTATAAGAATTGTATGGTTGACAGTAAGAAGAATTACAAATTTGATATGTGAGTTAAAGAGTTAACCCTGTAGCACTGTTTAGAACGGCTACTTGAGGTGGGTTACGCTAAACGATTTATGCACAAGGTCATGAAGTCAAATTCCTTGTCTCCTCCGAAGGTGTTTTTGGGATGTTTAGGCAGGGGCTAGAAGGGAGGGGCAGCGGGGGTGTTACGTGACATCTTGATAGATTGGCTGCACGAGGAGACAATCATCACCTATGACTCAGTTATCAGCACGTCAGGAATAGGTGTCAGGTGTCACCATAAATTCATAATTTGTCATAATCACTCGAGATCTGTTTTAAATGATCAGGATGATGATACCGTAACTAATGTAACATAAGCCCATGCCCCATGTGGGAACATAAAACGGTGCTAACTGCACTTGACTGTGCAGAGAGATAACTTTTCTGCTCTGCTTAAAATGATTTGTGGGTATTTGCTTGCTCTCCTACTTTCTGTTTGGAGTCTCAAATAAACTTGAGACTTGGTCGTAGGTCTGCATCTAATGAAGTAGACTTTCACGCAGATAGTGTGTGTAAATTGGTCATCAAAAACAAAGAAAAGCTAGTCAAACAATTTTGTACTGACCTTTACTTTAACCCTTTTTCCCTAAAAAGCTGATACACTACATACAACATTGAGCACATAGTGCAACATTATGACTCCCAATATGAGATACTCAAATACAAATGCAAATCTCACATTCTATGCAAAAAATACATTTCAAATGTCTATTAATAGTAACTGTAGCTCTTGCACATAAGGTAATGGAAGGTATATAGTCCAATGAAAAATGCTGATGAGACAGGAAACTAGCTCTGTTCACACTGTTACAGGACTTTTAGGTCTAGTGTTGCAAACTAATTAACTAAATTGTATTTACGTTAGTTTACACCGGGGTTTCATTGACTATTTCTGGTGTTTGATTTTGATAGAATTCCACAACATTTTTACAAATATCATGTCGCCCTAACTTATCTGCAATTTCTACAAATTTTCTGATGGTTGGAACATCATGCCATGTACTTAAAATACTGATTATAGTTTTTGTTGGACTTTCCCCTTGATCAACATTTTCAAGCTGTGAACGTGAAATTCCAATTTTGCGACCAACATCCCACCAGTTCTTTGCATTGGTCTTCTTTGCATCTAGTTTTTGGATGAGGACGACTTCCACATCATATGGTACTTCATCAATTTGAACTTCTGTGTTCAAACAAAAACGAACATAATCAGCCCTGCAATGTGTATTCAAAAGAGGTGAGGCAGCAAGGTTTGATAACAATCCCAGTAAAAGACCCATTAACAAGTTGAGGGTCTCAAGATTACAAATAATCACTAAAGATCACAAACATTATGTTTCATGAAAAATAAGTAGCAGTAAATCAGAGCATGAAATTCCTATCTGAGGATGAAACTATTTAAAAGTTAGACTTATCATCTTGTCACTATTAGTGATTTTTAACAGGTACTTGAACATCCCTGAAAGCACAACTTTTTTCTACTAACCTGGAATGACCTTCAGTTTGTCCCAGCATGGCATGAATGCAATAACCTCTTCACAGCAGCTTGAACCTAAAAGTAATTTTCACTCACATTGCATCATAAAGGAGGGACAACAGAACATGTCAATAAGCATTCAATGAACACTTATAAAAATACCCTATCTGTTTGTTTATAGAGACTTATGACAACCACTAGGTAACCTGTGAGTAAACTTCCTGTAAGGATTGGGAGGGAGTGGGGGAGGGGAGATAGTAGTCACCTATTAAATACACAAACCATGTAGTACACATTTCCTTCAAACTCGTTAATGTACATGTACATGAGTGTTCTCACTTCTACATTAATATGATAACCTCAGTGTTCCCATCACAACTCTACAGTTCCAGTTCAGATTTACCTCACAGGTTTTGTAAGTTGCACTAGATGCACACTATCTTAGATGAAACAAACTTGCAGAAGGATGTTAAAATTAATACAGCTTTGATTTGACTCAAGGTCAAACTGTAATTTCCCTTAAAAAGTATAATCACATGCAAAATGCAACAAACACCTGATGAGAAAACTTATTAGCAGAATGCTGTTCCTGCAACAAAACAAAAAAAATTCCCCAGGTAATGCATAGCAGTTAAAAAGGAAAGTTGATATTTACATTTAAGGGTTGAAGCTGCCTGATTCAATGCAAAAATACCTGTACAAGTTGATGAGTCAGAGATGCAGAGTGGAGGACAAGTAAATATGCAGCTCCTGGATGAAGTTTCATGTATGTATAAGTTGTCACTTTGTGGACTCCACTTTCTCCTCCAGTACAGAAAGTAGACCAGTATAAGAGCAACCACAACTACCAGAGAACATGAAAGTCCAATGATCCAAAACATGTGTACCACACAGGGCTTGTGAAGTGAAGAGCTGTCACTGTGCAAGGTTGATGAAATATTCATGGCTGGAAAGTTTCCTACTGCAATACTGGAATTGTTTGATACTGAACAGTTGCATGTACATCCTTCAGATGAAGTAGTTGGCAGGTCAACACACCTTCTATTTGAAATCCTACAGTGTTTCTCTCCTTTTCCTCCTATAACTACACCTTTTATAAGAGCAATGCACTGTGGCTCAATGTTCTCATCATCACCTTCACAGCATTCAACACATCTGTAACATTCTTCCTCTGTGTCATTGAAGTAGTATTCATTAGAAATGCATTTATTGGCACACTCTCTGTCCTTCACAAGTGTGCATGGATAAAGTTCTTGTTTTTTGCCGCAGGAAGTACACTTATGGCACCTATTATTTGTCCTGTTATTTGAAAAGAAACCAATCTTGCAACTTTGACAGCTGATGTCTGTTCCAATAGGGTGTGATGAGCCAGGTTCAACTGATGGCTCCTGTCCATCATGGCATTCAGGAGGGGGCCAACATCTATATTCATTACGATTTTGCCTGTTGTAAAGCTCAATGTAACCTTTCTTTTTACATCTATTACTGCCAAAGCCCTTCTCCACTAGGACAGTCTGCAACAAAGGATAGTCACAAATTCAAAAAAGAGTTGATTTAATCATCCTTAACTCTGTGGGCACACATGTTAATTTTTGTGGAGGGTGGAAAAACCAAGGCTTCAGTCGAGATGGCAGGCATTTTTTGTGATATATATCAGCTCATTTGTTATAGCATTTTCAAAGACTTCTGTTGCTCAGAGCCTTGTTTTTCAAAGCTGGATTAAGATAACCCAGGGCTTGAGTGAAATCTGATTTCAGATCCAAAAGCTTCAAAAGCTTCAAAAGAAAATTCAGTTAAATTCTTCTTGTCTACAGCTTCATGATTGGATGGTCTGAAAATAAAACTAGAGAATATTATCCCCCAAAGGGGCTTTTGAATGGAGAATTAAAGAAATCCAGATTAAAATTTAACCTTGGGTATGATAACTTAGCTCCACTGGTAGCTTCCCTTTAATATGACTAACACATTTGACAATAACAACTAATCCCTGACTTTGAGAACTCTTGAAGAAATGTAAGACTATGAGACTGAAAATATTTAGTATTATACTAAATAAAAAATGAAACTTCTTGATTTATCACCGAGAATGATGGAATCTCAAGTTTGGATGAAAGGTTTGCAAGACCCACATTTTTCTTTGACTTTTTATTAAACCGAAACAGGGTTAACTGTAACCATACAAATTAATTGAAGAAAAATAGATTTTTTTTACTGAGTTTCCTTCGTTTTAAACTACCTTTCAGCATAGTTAAACCCAAGTTGGTGGTCTCTAATCAATGCCTTACATTGTATCTTTTTTTTTTTGGCAAAATGTGTCAGTTGTCACCATCCGTGTGGGAGATGTTGTCCTACATGGCACAAACAAGAGCATAAGCTTCTGAAAATAGCATCTGGTAACAAAATTTACATTACCCAAGTAGTGCAATTATTTGCCACACAATTCTCTATCGGTATACTGCTGCTCACAAGCAAGAGTCATAAATAGTGAAAGAATACGGCTAAGCCCTTGAGAGAACTCAATGTTCATTCAAAAGTACTCTCTAAAAAAGCTACACGTGGTACATACATACATACATATACTTTACTTATGATTGAAATTCACAGTGTAGCTGTAGAGCTAATATCTTTGAGAAAATAAGCTAAAATAAAATAAAAATATGCTCTATTACAATTCCAATATTATTTATAAACTATATACCACATTATGCATGCAGAGGGAAATATAACTTGTAGATCTACTGTGGAAAAGCTTCATATCTGAGGATCTCCTGCTTGAATTCTAGAAAGTTTAATATTATGTAAGTGTCTGGGAGAGAGTTCCATATTTTGCTAGCTAAGTATGAAAAATGGTACAATTCATGATTTCCTAAATCTATGGCTGATTTCTCAGATAGACCCAAACTCAGGGACAATTCAGTCAATGGCCAAGGAGAATACTTTGACCACTGGGCAAAATCAACATCATGTTCAAAAGAACTGCCTTGGAAGTTTGAAGAATGAATTAAAAGCGAGACATTAAATCAAGTTCACTCGGCTCTTCATAACTCACCAGTGCGGTTGTTGAAAATAACACCCTGTTGCTTCACCTTAACCAACTTTTCACCAAGTTAAAAGGCTATTAGAGGCTTGAGCAGTTCCTAAATAGTCTTCAAATTTCTGTCATTCAAATCTGTCATGCTAGCCCTCCATAGATTTTGGTCAGAGAAATAGGGTAAATGTTAAATGCTTGGTAACCACCTTACAACTGAAATCAGTTACAAGGGCTCAAAATTTCTAACTGCCTTCAAAAACTGCCCCAAATAAGTTTGTTCTTGCCTTCTTTCGATCTCATATTAACCCTTTAACTCTCCCATGGGTGACCAAGACAGAATTTCTCCTTACAATACAAATACAAGAGCAACCAGATAAGTGAGGAGAATAAAGAAAAACATCAAATTGGGGATAATTAGTTGATCCAATACTAAATTCTCTGAACTAACTTTATAAGAAGTGTATGGTTGACAGTAAGGAGAATTACAAATTTGAACTGGGAGTTTAAGGGTTAAGAGGGAGGTTTCAGTGGCCAATTTGGTTTTCTACTTCAAATTTAATTTGTACATTAGGAGGCCATTCAAATCTGAGTTCATATTGAGTGATTTTAATAGGTATACTTGGAAAGTTGTGTGGTCTTCTTGTTAAAGTTAACCCATCAACGGAGGCTTGCATTAATAACATGAGGTCCAAGAAAATGAATACTGCTTGATTGTACTCCATCTTCATTGGGAACATGCTGTTAACAAAGCTGATTGATAGGAGGGAGTGCAATTCAACAGCTGATTGAACCCTGTTCATACTGTGATGATTGCAGGACTGACAAATTAACTTCAGTTGCAGAGGTTACCACAAATAACAACTGAATGATGGCACACTGTATAAAATAGGTCTTGATTCATGATCAAAACTTGTTTAAAAAAATTTCCAATTCAGCTAAAATTCATACTGCTTTCCGTATGTTCTGAATCAGTGCTTGAAGTGCCACAAAAAGTGAACTATTTGTTTCCATCCATTTCACAGAAATGAAATGGCCTTTTTGAGTGTCAGAAATGTAAGAAATTAAAAAGAAATTCTGGATATATACTGGTAATGAGGCAAACGAGGTTGACATCATCATAAAGCTTGAAAGAATTCGCAGGGAACTTTTGTTATTAACCCTTTCCTTTTGACTTCAATTAATCTCATAAGGAAGGTCTGTGAAGGAAAACATTGTGGCAAATGACATTTCTGATATCAGGCTGTAAATTCTAAAGTTTCAGCCTAACTAAACTGTGAATGTTAATTTAGAACTGCTAGGAAACCTTTGCTAGGACAAATGCAAGGGAGTTAACTAATTCTAAAGTTTCAGTTGTCAAGCCAAAATGTTAGTCATTCAAAAAAAAATTCACCTGGTGACGAGGAATCTGAACTTATAAATTCTTCTCTAGTGAGATATGAATCTTTTAGAAAGAATTAAACTTCAAGCCTACGTAGACGTGACATCGTAACTGTCAATGATCGAGCAATAATAGTAAAAAAGGACAATTTTGAACAAATAAGTCTCAGAGCAAATGTGACCATGACTTCTTTTTAAAAAATAACAACATCTGAAGTCCATTGCAGCTGGCTGTGTTATACCAGTCCTACCCAAGACTTATGAAAATTCCATAAACAATTAGGATTTTAAACGTCATGATCATTTACCCTTGATTAGTACTTCTTACAAAACAAAAGTAAAAGAAAGACCAACTCACCAAAAGGAAAAGAAATCCAGCAAACATTTCTTCAGGATATCAGGACTAGAACGATGCGTTGAAATCTCGTTTAATTTTCAAAAATACCCCGTCAAACCTTCTGCATTAAGCGAATCGAAGAGAAGAGGAATTTGCTGAGTTGGCTAACAGAGGGCATATGTTGCGCATGTTCAGTAAATTCTAGTTTGATACGAGAAACCGCTGGTATGCGCCTGCGTCGGTTTCCCGCTCGAGAATCACGAAAGAAAAGAAGCAGTGGAATACGTCGGAAAAAACAATGGTTCGAGTATTTGAGACAACCTTTCTTCTCATTTTTTCTTCTGTAACTTAGATGGAAGCGGCAAATTCTTGAAATTATTGTGTGATGTGTGGAAGGAAGTTATTTTCAGAATGTAAAAGATTGTTCGAGTCGTCTCGTGATTGTCTGGGCGATCGATGATGTTATTTTTGAAGGATGCAAGTGGCCTGTCGCAGAGTACAAAAGAATTGGATAGTATACTTTTATCGTGTCAGTGCTATCTCAAGTTATTAGTGATCATTTGAAGTACTCCCCTTTCCGTAAGCGTTTTTTAGAGCTTCAACTGTATTGCTAGTGCAGTGTACCTCAAATTTTGGCAAAGATGTAAAGTTTACAGAGGTTTATGTTTTGTTTCAAAAGTTTTTTTTGACATGAATCACAACCGGCAGGGCCGATTACCAAAATAAAAATGGTCAATGTCGAGTGAAGAAAAGTAAGACAATTTCTTGGCGCATGCGCAACAAAGAAGTTTGTTGTCAGAGTCACTTTTACCCAGGTTTTTCTCGGTCAGGTTTCTCCAAAAAACCCTGGTACACAATAGATGATTTGTACGCAAGATTCTTTCCAAAATATAGGCCTTAGTTAGCGATAGAAGATCTGCAATTGACAGGCTTTGGAAAAGGGAAAAAATGGTGACCAGGAAAAAAGATGCGCGTATGCGTGCAAAAATGAGTTATGGGAATACGATGTGTGATGCACTTATCTGTAATTTGATATGTATGTTATTCGCCAGCCGGGAGGTCCGTATTGGGAAAAACTATGCCCTCAAGACAGAGGCACAGTTTTTCCAAATACGGACCGACCAAGGCTGGTGAACAACATTTTTATTTTTTTTTTTAACTTAACGAAATTCTTTCCGAAAGAACCCGAATAATTTAGGGCTGTAAATACGGCAAGAACTTCCATAAACTGTACAATTTTGGAGCGAGTAAATGGTAGTTAAAATAGAGGTGATGCAAATTAAAGAGAGATGCTTCAACGAAATATTTTTATTTAAATTCAAATTTTTTATTTGAAGTTGTGAGAGTTTGCTTGTTTGTTTGCTGCAATGGCGTGCGTAAACCTGGTCTTTCCTCCACAAAAGCTAAATTCGCATGAGACACTCCAACGAGACACAGGGGATTTAAAGCGGCCTTTTCTCATTGAAGGCCTTCAGTTTCTGTTGTGCAATTTACGGTAAAAATGTCCAAATTGAACGGACTTGGGAAGACTCACCGAGAGCGTACATTTGTTGTAGAATTGAAATTGATTAATTATTAAGTTCGCCCTTTCACTACGAACAAATGGTTAGAGTTGAGTTGGGGAACCATAAATTAAGATATTTTTATAGCTGAGGTCACAGTATGCCATTTGGTTAATATTAGAAATCGCAAATCCACCATTAATAAAACACAACACAGGCAATATCGGGATCAAAAATATTATATTGTTTCAGTATTGTATATAGCCATTGACAAACAATTATGACTGAAAAGGGAAGCTAATTTTGATATAGTGAGTTTTTTTGGAAAATAAGTGAATCATTTTATCAAAGAGTGCCGTTTATTCTGAAAAGTGTATTCCACTAAATTTCATCTGCCAGTTTGTTAGACAGATTCATACCAATCATAGTGAAAGAGACGCCAAACTTTTAATGTAATTATCAAACCTTCACCAAAACGAACCCAAATTGAGTAAAATTATACACTTCAAGTTTTAAGTCTCCAAACAGGACTTTGCCTTCGTGTGGCCGTACTCCCCCCCTCCCCACGGTGAAACAGGGGCGAGGGGACCCACCCTCCCTTCTGTTTCACCTTGAAGGGGAGGGTACAGCTACACGTAGGCTAAACAGGACGTGGGGTTGGGGGCTTTTGCGGGGGAACTGCAGTCTTGCAGTTGGCCAGTGGGGGAGGCCTTGCATTACGGATAAACCTCGCTATTAAGTATTTGATTGCACGTCGGTGTCCCTCTGTCAGATTATTTGTACTTACATGTCTAGAATCGTAGATCGTGCAGTCATCAGACAAGACTTGCCCAGGAGTCATATGAGTAGAGAAACTCATGAATGTTGGGAATCTTAAAAAACTGATGTTCTTAAGTCGCCTTTAACATAGGTACAGAAATGTGTCACTGATTCCTGTGCTTCTGTGAATATCTTCAAAGTTTTGAATTGAGTATGATAAACGTTCAGCCGTTTTCTTTGCAAAATCTTTGCGATCAACAAAAAGAGAATGGCGCGCAAATCATGCGAGAGTCAATGCATCAGTCCAATCGAAATGAACGAAGATTCAATTCCAAAACAAAATTGCACAGTTTTTATATTTTTGAAAAACTTTCCTTGACAAATTCTGCTTTAAGAAAAGGAAACATTTGCCGCGTTTTCTTCCTTGCAAGGAAAGTTTGTGACAACTTGCAGCTAATATAACTTTGCTCAGTACAGTTTACTTCGGCCTACCTAATCGGGAAAAATATCGAACAAAGTTAGAACGCGTTCAATTGTGTCTCAAAAACTCAAATAGCCAAAGTTGCCACAAGCGATGAGAACGAAGCCAAATGGACGGGAAGTGGATGAGAAGTCAAATTAAAAACACAATCTAAAACCGCAAGTGAGCAAGTCGCTTCCGATTAGCCGAGAGGGTAGTTCGAGATATCTAGACCAAAACAGGCCGAGTGAAGCAAACCAAAACAAACTTAGGATACTTTGACACTAATTATAATTGAAAACAGTGCTAATGTTGAACCTCTCTTTTAATGGACCAAAAAATTCCTCTATTTCTTTCTCACAGATGAAATAAGAAACGCCTAGTTTAAAATGTCGTGATACCTAAATATTGATTGCGTTTACGGATTACAAAAATCACGCAGGAATTTATTTCATTATTTTTCGATGGGATGCAACTTCCGTCTTCAGTAATAGCGATAGGTTTATTTATAGACCTCCTTCGGAAAATTTTGGTGTAAACAAGAGGTTGTAATCTCTTGGTGTAAACCATTCCCTTGAAGTAATGACACATGACGTTAGAGGCAACTCACTTATAAATACAATTGCATGCTCTCTATCAGTTTCCGTTGAAAACAAATTTTTTTTAGAAGCTCTTGAAAGAAACAAGTTGTTGAATTCGTCCGAAGTAAGGTCATATTGCATGATGTTTTGGGGAATTCAAGTTGTTGCTGTAATATTTGATGGTAGCAATGTTGGTCACTATCTTGACATCAACTACAGTGTCTTAGCCAAGATACTTCGGCACTTTTTCAATGTCTGACTTAATAACAATACCTTTTCGTTATGATTTATTTAAAAAAGACTGGCGAAAGACTCCGAAGTCTTGTTCTCCATCAACCCTTCTGGTATGTTCAGGTCAGCCTGCAGGTACACGAAGGGACAGGCCGCCATTTTCTTTCTTGTGAGATGACGCAGACGCTTAAAGTATATAGTCATCTATTTGTTTTATTTAACTATTCATTTATTTATTATACTCGTATTAATTTTTAGTGAGACGGCCATTTCCAAGTTAAGATTAATCAATGCCCGAGCTCAATTTGCCAAGATGACAGATGCAGTAATCGTAATCTTTTAGTCGTTATTGAAAAAAAGTTTTGTCTTTAACAATTGAAGGCCTTGTGACTCTTTTATTCCTATTAGTAGTCATGCAACTTCTAGTCACTATTTCAGGTGATATGGGAATACACATGTAAGTTTGGAGAAACTTATCGGCTGAGTGTGTTATCTCGATATGATTCACACCAAAAAAACGTGTTTAGTTAAGCTAGGTTTAGCTGAATGAAAATCAGACATAGAGAACTGAAAAAGTGAATTTTCTATAGGATTCGGTTAGTAACTTGTATTTTTAATTTGCTAAATTTGAAGCCGACCAATATCAGTTTTAACAGCTCCCACGAAGAAAACCGAGTTTGACCAAACAGCTGTAAAACACACGTAAGTTTTGGTATGAATGGGGTATATTAGTTTAATATCTTTCATTACGCAGTAACCGAAAATATCAACAGGTTGTGCAGATATCAATCTATCCTGGAGCTTTCAATTCCCCTCTAAGCCATCTTGAATGTCAAAGCTTGACGTATATGTGCATATTGGATTAACAGAACTTTTTAGGCAGCTTCGAATCGAAAATCCATTCGTGTTCTACTGATATCAGACGGTGGTTATTTAAGACTCGGCCACTCAAAGTGTCCTGTATCGCAGATTTTCCTATTTTTTCTTTACTAACCACAAGACATATGTATTGAAAAAAACTTGTCTCTTTTTTGTCGGATTCGTAACCATGGATTCCTGAAGTAGATTTTTTTCCTCCTTAAGACTCCACTCCTGCCAGAAAATTTTCCGTCTTCGCGCTCGGCAAGCTAAAGTTATCAAATTGAAGCAAACTACTAGTACACTCTACTTTCAACATCTCATGTACGAAATCTCAAAATAATATCAGCTCACAAGAAACTTCAGACACATTAAGGCATAATTTCACGTCGACTGCTTACCTTGTCTAATTTGAAAAAGTTTCGAACAGGAAAGGTACTGTATATTATTTAGTGGTCAGTCAGGAGACACTCACTTTCCCATTGCTTTCTTTACCCGGTTTTTATTTAACGATCATCTACCAAATAACTTAGTACAATCGTTTAACATAATTACAGTATCTTTACATCATTCAGTAGTCATACACTATATTACTTATGTTGATGCAAGTAGTTGTTGTTATAGTACTAAAGACACCACAGGTACATTTTAATGATCGCACAACACTATTTAAATAGCTGTCTAAAGAAGCATGTTTCGATATGTGCTACAAATCCAGATACTTTCAATTGTCGTCAGTAAGGTATCCAAAAATTAACTTCCCACACATGTGAG